AGGCAACCTATACGTGAAACTGCCGGCAGTAAATGAATGAAACACCATCAAAACTGCTTTATTATTCTTAACGTGCAAATTAGAAAATATTCTGTCCCTCGAGTATATTTTGTTGCACTGCAGTTGAAAAATACTTTTTGGGCATTCTATTGCTTCATTACATGGTCATGTATGTAAAGCATTCAAATTAATGACTTAGTCTGTTGGATTTATACGAAAATATTATCATGCAAAGGTGCTGTATAACCCATTATGTAATTCCCCAGGCTTGGGTCCCATATTACTGTTGGTTTTACATAATTTCCCCTGAAACATGCGTTGAAGAAAAACCTCTTAAGTATTAAGTTTTAGTTTAAATGTCTAAGTGAGCGATTTTTATTGTTTTCTACAGTGAATTTCGAAAAAAGTTACCAGCTTAAATGCATGTCCCTCATATATTGAACAGATACGTTACCACACTTAAGGTAAACCTGAGTAAGAGTAATATGAACTTGTAGCATATTAATAGTTTGCTATTGAACTCAAGTTTTATCATATTTCATTATTCAAAAATAATTTTGACTACAATATACATGCTAGAACCACAATGACTTTGCAATGATGAGGCAATTTGGATTATACTTTAAAGTGAAACAGATACGTTACCATGATATCCCACTGAGAAACATTTACTATTACCAGCACTTAAAAGTAGGATCACATTTATGCATTATTCAAATATATGCTTTACAAAACTTAATATTTTAATATATTTGGCAAACATATGTGTATATCTGATATATTTTAGTTTTTTGACCAACAGATACGTTACCAACAGATACGTTACCAATATTTATTGTTTGAATCTTAATTGACGATTTTGCTCAGTTTTGAAATGGTTTCATGTAAAAGAAATCACAGCATAACGTACGTGTAGCCGATAAATGATGCTTTGGTCTCGATTTTATTGGAAAACTGAAAATGTGAATCAGGCATTTGAAATTCAAGGATTAGTTGAGTTTTCTAGAAAATAAAATGTTGAAAAACAGGAAAGAAACATATAAAGATTTACTGTTTTATTTCCTGGAATAAATATTAAGAGGATATTTTTTCGTTTGCGTGAAATATGGAATATATTTTCACGAAACATGATAAAATGCCACATATTTTCACGAGCCGGAACGCATTTTATCATGTTGAGTGAAAATATATACCATATTTCACAAAAAACGAAAAAATAACCTTTTTATTTATTTACATTATCAAAGAAAATGGTAACGAATCCCCTTGCTTGCTACCAACTGCACAAACTCCTCACAGCGGTTACGTCACGCTTTGTTACTGTACAGATCAGGGGAAGTAACCGCTGCGAGGAGTGCCAACTGCAATTGTACAGCGCGCAGTAATTTATGCGTAAGCACGCGCTGTTTGGCGCTACATTGTGACGTCATGTAAACAACTCTTTAAACGTCTGTACAGCTTTAATTACTGAATTAAAGATATTGGTGTTCGGATTAATTTTCTTAGTTAGACCATTTTCTATCATGCTAGATAGTTTTTAAAACAATATTCAAGAAAAAGTTGTTTTGTATTTATCAGAGTTTTCAAACAAAACGGCGAAAGAAGTCCCTTAAAATTAATATGAGTTTTGACTCCGCCTACTTTCATATTTATATTTCATATTTATTTTAAAAAAATATGAAATATATTTGACTGATATAGCACCATATTTCATGGGTAAAATTAAATAAATGTTGATATCTTTTTGGTTTGCAAAATTTGTATTAAAAATAAAATGTAGAGGGCTGTATAACTTTGGTAATGTATCTGTTTATCATAGTAACATATCTGTTTAGAAAGAGATTTGAGCACTGTTTAATAAATATAACAAAATCTTCAACAAAACTTTGGTTTAAATAAGTAATATATGATTAGGCAATATATAACTACACTGTAACTTAATGGAAAAAAACCCATTAAAATATTTTTAAATGAATGTCCGTTAGTTTCTAAATTTTAGTCAGGGTCGTATCAAAATTTTCTGTCTATGGTAGGGATGGACTAATTGGATATAGCTTAAAATCTTGGAGGTGAACATATATGGTTTGATTATTACTAAGTTGGTTTTCTTCAAGCGGTACCATTGTTTCTGATATAATTTTGTTAAATGTAGATAAGCATATACATGTAGGCCAAGTATGACAAAATCAAGGATCGAGATTGTACCAGTATATAAAGAAAAAGTATATAGAAAAATAAAGACAATTGAACAGCAGATGAACCAAAAAGACAAACGAAATACAGAATGTCAATTCACACTATGAAACACTCACATTAATCTAGCTGTTACATATTCTAATAGATGAGTGTCTTTATTTAAATGTTCTTGTTAAGTTCAATCTGTTTCTTTAAGTCACAATGTTATTTGACTATTTTAAGCTACACATAAAACAATAAAAGCTAAAAAAAAACTGTTAATGATATTGTGTGTTCTGTTTAATATTGAAAGTACTGGTTCAGACATATTATTTATTGGTCAGTTGTTTAAAAAACTTTATGAATATCTATCTACGTGTTCAGGGCTTTTCATAATTTTGTTCATAGTAGAACGGTGAAACAGATACGTTACTATGATTTAATATTCGTTTCCATTTAGCGGAATAAATTTATACTGTTAAGTAAATCCGAGCTTCATTGTGTCAATAGATAAGTATGGAACATCAGTATTTTTATTGGCATAAAATACTTTTATAAGTTAATCATGTATTTGGAATAAACAAGTCTGATTAATAAGTAACATTTTCATCAGCTTCAGTTCACAAGCTATTCATAGACATAGATTTTATTAAAATGCTATTGATGCATAATATTTTGTAATATATACTGGTGCTATATTGCTGAAAGAATGATAATAAATTTCTAAATCGAGTATATGCATGCGTATTATTTTTATCTTGTCTCTGAAAGCAATTGGAAAAATGGTAACGTATCTGTTTTTGCACAAATCTCGAATTCTTGGTAACTTAATTTCAGGAAATATTTCAAGTTTTTTGGTGAAATGTTAAAAGAACCAGTATGTGTTCAATGTTGTACATGAGCTAAACCAACAAAAAAGGTGTCTTGGTAACTATTCGCAAATGTCAATTATTCACTATTTCTTACAGCCTATTTTGAATGTTTAGTGGAGAATCAATGTATTATCGCCTCGGTCAATTTGATACTCTCATATTCAACGGCTCACAAGTCAATAGCTGTATACTAGTATCTTCTAAAATTTACTTTTACTTTAATAGTAATATCACAGGCCCCTATTGAGACAATTCATGTACTTTGTTGATAAACATCAATGTGTTTGAATGTAACCTTCTAAACGCAAGTTGCAATAATTAACAGAAACTTTGACGCTACTCTAACAAGGCTCTTTACTGAAAGCTACTATATGCATACATCCCTGTAAACTGTTTTTGATTCAAAACTAGGGTAAGCATTCCACCTACGCGACCGATGCAGACCTAAATCTGGTCTATTTAGTCAATGTATATTTTTTAATGTTTCCTTATAACGAATGATTTTTACCAAAATGAAAGATGGGCATATTTAGCATGGCAAGTGTTAAAGATAATTGTATCGAGATTTACCATGTACATCAAAGGTGAAATAAAAGCCATGTAGTTAACTGCCAATGTTCGATATATCATGTTAAAATAGCATGTTAAGATTCATAAAAAAACAGTTTACTTCAAGTTCTATATTAGAAGTATAGAATATACAACATATGGTGTGATTTTCTATATTCCAATCTAGGTTAAATGCACATTAAATAAAACATTTGAGCCGCACCATGAAAAAAACAACATAATGCTTTTGCGACCAGCATGGATCCAGCCCAGCCTGCGCAACACTATAACATGTAAAGAAACTGATAGCGAACTGCATGGATCTTGATCAGACTGCACCGATGCGCAGGCTGGTCTGGATCCATGCTGGTCGCAAACGCATTACGTTGGTTTTGTCATGGCGCGGCTCATTTCTTCTTCAGATAGAGCAACTAAGAGGTTTATAACGTTTGAATAATGATTTAGAGCATGTTAGATGCTTACCACCTGAAGATAGTAGTGCTAAGTTAATTTATTTGTCTTAAAAGAAGCAAAATGTAAACAAAATAGTATTTTGACTACCATACAAAATACTATATCATTATAACTGTACTAATTGCCAAAAAAGCACCAGAAGCAAAGGATGGTTTAGGTAAATGGCCATGGAGTAAGTTTTTTGAATTTTTAAGAGGATACCAAAAATAAAAGCTATAAAGCATTTCTGGGGCATAATGGGCCTTAAAAAAAGATAAAGAAAACAAAATATGTTACAATGTATAATCATACTTTATTTTATTTACAAATTACAATATCACTTCTCAACAATCAACAATCATGACAAATTTCTTTTAAAATAGCCAGTCAGCTCACATCGCCTTAACACCATAATAGCTTAACAAATAAGATAAAACAAACTTCAACCAACTTGAATGATTCCAATGACAACTTTAACCTTTAACCTGCTGGAGTTGACAGTGGCTAACCTTTGCCATCAGTATAGAGCCAGGCCAGGCTCAATCATCAGTGCAGTCTGACGACTAGACTCTATACTCTTGGCTGACCAACAATAAAACTGCATACCCATTTCTCTTAAATTGATAATGGAAAGTTCTAAACATTGAAGCCGGACAGGTCCATTTGAGAATCTAATGGGTTAAATGTTAGATAACTTGTATGTTCCTTGACTACTAATTCAATAAATTTATTCTAAGAGGTCTTTTTGAGCAATCTTTATCATATTATCATAGTTTCACTATACAAAATTCATAGATGAATATTAGTATGCACATCTAAAGACGCATTCCAAAAATGCCCGTACTTATCAGCTCAAGTCCATTAACACTTGACATATACCATCGGAGCTATACCAAACTTGCTAGTTTTTTGGTCTTCCAGACCTTTACTCTTTAAGTATCAATACCGCAACAAATATATAGTTTGATCATTTATGCCACAGTTGTTTTTCCACTTTAACAAATGAAGCTGTACTGGAGAAATATTTGGCGTTGGCTTCCTGGACCCTCTTCTCTGCTGCCTGTGGATTGACTATCTCCAAACCCTGAAAATACACACCATTGGATGTCATCAAATTTTGTTGCATTTGTGCTAAATTGTGAAAAAAATTCTTATATCAATACTTTCTAAAATTTTCAAATTAATTTGGTGGATTATAGTTTGATAGAGTTTATTGAATTCAGATTTTTTTGAAATGTACATGTGAACAAAATTTCATAACTAATAGAAATCTTAGTTCACAATAATTTTTTATGCTCTGTGTTCAGTCATGCTTTGGCATATCAATTAATCATGCATCATCACCATCATTTTTCAAATAAGACAAGATAAGATAAGATAAATTAAGATAAGAAAACTAACCTGTAAAGGTGTGAAAGCCACACTTGAAGCTGTACCAGACACCTGTTTCTTCACTGTTGTACTGCCTCCCCATGTCTGCTTTTCTTTTGCTATTTTTTGCTGCAATGTGTAACATTAAAAACAAATGTTAAAAAGTACTAATAAACAGAATGTTTTATGTACAATACTGCATGCAGGAAACCTTAAAGCTTTGAAACTCAACGTCTTAAATAACTTAACTATATACACTAGATTAAATCATTAGATTAATTTGGCGCCAATGTCAGTTAGTCATTCAAGCTTCAATCTAGAGACCACTCTGGAAACAATGAATAACTATCTATTTCACAAAGTTTATCAACCTCCAACGTTTCGAGGGGCAATGTAAAAGTAAAAACCCCTCTTTTATCAAGGAGTTTGCTGTTCATAAGCTTCAATCTAAATCTAATTACTATATTAAGAGTAGTGATATCTAGTATCAAGCCTTACTACTGCATATTAAACCTCTCCCTCCCTTTATATTTACTAAACCCATAATCCAATATGGAACCATTCTATTATCATTATAATTCATAAATCTTTCTTAATCCCCAGTAGTGTAGTGGAGTATAAACATATGTGAAGGTAAAAAAGTCTATTGAATTTTTTTTTAAAAGCATTCTTGGTCAGTTAACATAAAAAGATTCTGAGTCTTTTTATTCTGGTATCAATTAATGGTCAAATTAGTGTAGGTACATGTATACAGACTATACACTGTACAATATAATATAAGGGCAATTACCTGTAAAGACTTGGATATTCTAGCTTTTGTTTTAGAATCAACAACTGGTCCCCGGATTCTACCAGTCTTCGATTTACCGATGGTTCCCAGCGAGAATCCAAGATCTTCTTGATAGGCATCTTCCTCGATCTAAAAATAACCAACCAATCAAATCTTATACTTTTCTAAAATTATGAAATAATGAATGTCAAATTTTTCTTTTTATTCATTTAGTTAAATAACCAAAAAGTGTTCAAAATAAGGATAAATAGCCTTTACTGCGTTACTAACGCAGTAGAAATATAGTTGTAAATACTGAAAATCAGTCATTAATTGCACATAATATGTAAAATATTATTACTTGAATCTCGAAACATTTTACTTTTCCTTACATCTTAGTACATTTTTATTAAGTTTGATTTTATGAAATATTTTAACTCATCTGGAGGCATGTAGCTTTAAATAATCACATTGATTTAAAAAATAAAAATGTGTAAATATTTTATCACTTCTACACTGCTATTAACACATAAGTGGTTATTTCTACATAATTGCCACACTAAATGTAATTTCTGAAAAGTGTGAATGACAACTGTTATATCACCTACTTTGTACATGAGAAAATATATCTAGAAATTGAAACAATTCTTCAATTTTTGCTTAGCTTAGCAAGACTCTTTACTTCATGGAAGAGGAAGACTAAAATGTCTTAAGTGTATCATTTCAAGCACAAGGGAGTACCCAAGTAGAAATACCAATCTAATGTAAACTAGCATATAGCTTCCACACATAACAGAATTAAAAGTGCCTCATGGGATTCAAACCCACAGCAGGGAGGGTCAAACCATTTGAAGTGAGCAACCTTAACCACTCAGTCACAGAGTCCACATGAGTTTGAGGATTGTATCGTTAAACATATGCAATGACAATGCATTAGATTTACTTACCTCTCCGAAGTTCATTCTGTTAGCCTGCTTTCTCATTTCAGTTAGACCCAACCTTTCCTTCATTTTTCTTGCTCTGTAAAAATAATTCATTTTCTATCTGTCACTCTTGAGCAAGACATTATCATTCATGTGCATGACAAAATAAAACTAGATCATAAATACCTTACATACTTGTTAATGCTGTTAACTATTGTCAAAAGCAACACAAGAAATTTTCATTTTCAAAATGATTTATTTCCAATTTAAATGAAGCCAATGAAAATTTTGAAAAAAGAATAGAAACAAGCAATTATCATAGTATTGCAAGCAATCCATAAGTCCCCTACCGGTTAGAACCCTATCAACATTCTGAAGGGCCATTGGCCATTCACTAATGTTTCAATTTTTCTCTATTTTAAGTAAATTTGTTGGAAAAGTTCTTTAAAAGTGATCACAGGAAACAGTTTTTATGAACAGACAGACAGACAGACGGACTGAGGACACTCTAAAGTTAATATTTGAAACATCCCTGTTACCAAAATATAACATTTTAAAAGCAAAATTCTTAAAGAGGAGATAACTCTTGAATTAAAGATGCAATTTCATAAAAATTTTCAGCTCTTTTTGACTAATCACAAATATTGTTATATTTGCCATGTTTTAAGCCTATTTGTTGCCAAGGCAACTGATATTTTATCAAAATAGGAAGAACAGATAAGACATGCATAATCTCAAGACTGCTATCTACCCATATGTCAAGTTTCATAAAAATATTTCCAGTACTTTTTGAGTTATCACTGGATTCAGTTTATGTGTAAAATTTGCCAAATTTTCAGTCTATGTGTTGCCATAGCAACCAGAATTTTCAACATAGGAAGAAAAGAAAAAGACGTGCATAATCTCAAGACTGCCATCTACCCATATGTCAAGTTTCACAAAAATATTTCCAGTACTTTTTGCGTTATCACTGGATCCAGTTTATGTGTAAAATTTGCCATATTTTCAGCATATTTGTTGCCATAGCAACCAGAATTTTCAACATAGGAAGAAAAGAAAAAGACGTGCATAATCTCCATACTGCCATCTATCCATATACCAAGTTTCATAAAAATATTTTCAGTACTTTTCAAGTTATCGCGGGATCCAGTTTTGTGGACGGACGGACTGACAGACTGACAGACGGACGGACGTCCGGCCGAAATGGAATAAGGGGCCATTTCTTTTGTTATTTTCTATTGTTTAATAGAGGGCCAATGGCCCTTTACTCTATTGTTACGGAATTAACTCTATTGTTCTCTTTTGTTCTGTTTACAGTTAGATGGCCCCCTATCCTGATTCGGTAGTGCGGACAGACAGACGGACGGACAGACGGACGGAGGGTAAACCTAAAGTCCCCTCCGGTAAACCGGTAGGGGACTAATAATGCACTATAAAGAATTTTTCTTTTATCATGATTTGGCAATAGAGGTAAGCAGTACATTTTACAGTAACCATCAATTTTGCTAGCAGCTTAAGCCTACAGAGAGCACTGTTATACACAAAGACATAAAATGTTAAACATAAAGACATAAAAATATTTCAAACAACAAAAATAACATGCCACAAAAAAAATTCTCGAGAAATTCAACTTATAAATTCTATACTTGACCTGGCTATGTGATATTCACTGCAGCCTTAGGCCTGGGTTAATATCACATTAGTAAGGTCTGTTGATTCATAGATTTTGATATTCACCCCAACAAACCTTCATATAAAAACTGTTTTAATTATAATAACCAAATTAAAATTCTTCATTTGGTAATATGTCAAAGTTTTCCGATTATTTTTTCCACACAAAAAAGCCCTAAATAAGCAGATGGAAAGTGCAGAAGTTGTTAACCTATTTTCGGCAATATTTGTAAAGCAGGTTTCCTTACATAAAAGAAATCATTTCCCAGGTTGGTATTTGAACCCATAAAGTTGAGAGACAGGCACTTAAAAGAGTCAATAGTCTTAACCACTCTACCATATATAACTACAAAATACCTACAGTATGATATAGAATAACGAATGTAAAATATAAACATACCGTCTACCACCTCTCTTTTTTCTGGCCTGATCTATCGGGGCAGGCAAAGCTTTGGCCTGTTTCACAGGTGGTGGTTCTTGTAGCTTGTCTAACTTTCCCTCTATATCTGTTCGGAACTGGTCGCCATAACTACCATCTACACTCTCATGACAGCTGTCTACTCTAGCTGCTAGGGCACATTTAGCAGACACCAGTCGAGCTGCTTTCTTTCTTAAGTCCTACAAAATCATGTAAGATTACAATGTAAGATATATTAAAGTCTTTCAGTTTAGTTAAATTTAAACATGTTTATTTCAGCTTGACTGCGAGGAAAGTTTGAAGCTTCTCTGAACCAGCCTTAAGTCAATTTCCTTGAATTAACGAATACAGCTGTCAATGTGTAACTTATACTAAATCAATGCTGTTTTCTTTCAAATAAAAAATTTAATGCTGAATGACAACGCAAATAACACTATGAAAGTCTAAGTTTTGATCATTCAAAAAGTAATTATTTGGCAATGACCAATAAAACACTTTATTTCATGCTTTCCAGTGTTTTATTGTAATATATCAGATGATTATATTCTGATAAACCACTAGTGAAATTTATAAAATATAATTTTCACTGTAGCCGGACTATATCTGAATGCGGATGAAAAGAAAATCATAACTGAATGGAATAACAGGCAGAAATAAATGCCGTCATACGTAAATTTTGCTTCTTTAGAAAAAGAAAGTCGATGTCACCATACATTATGTTAAAAATGTAACAAAATTAGAGAAATTTAACAGAACTATATTTCAAAATTGTTGATGTGACGTCATGATGTGATGACGTCACAAAGAAGAATGCGCGACGTTACGCGGCAAAATCAGTAAAAATTACTTAAAATCACTTAAAACGCATGAAATAAAAAGAAAATTTATTTGTTTTACATATAAGATTGAAATATATTTCATTCGTGAACACCAGCTATTATATTTTCACTCGTGGCTACGCCACTCGTGAAAATATTGCATCTGGTGTTCACTCAGTGAAATTATATTTCAATCTTACATGCAAAACAAACAAATATCCTCTATGTGTTTTATGAAAAATAAAAAATTTTCAACTTGATATATACATTTAAGTTTTACAGAAATTTGATGAGCAGCTAAGAAAACTGCATAAAATTTGAATATGAAAGAAGTTTTTGACATTATACACTACAGGAGCTCCACTGAGGTCCAAATGCATAACAACAAGATATGAAAAACTTATATAGATCAACTAGGGCATTTAAAACAGAAAAAAATATATATGAAAAAGATAATAAAGAAATATACTCAAAATTAAATTGAAAATTTATAGTGAATCTCTGCCAGATTTGAGTTAAATGTATTTCCCATAAAAATGACTATTCTGGAAAAATGGAGATTGCTAATGATCTGAAATTTTGCACACAAGTTATTTGTTAGACCCATATCAAATGGTAATAAAATCTTGAAATAATTATTTCCAGTCCGCTGATGTCTTGGTAGTCACGTGGTTGAGTCACTTGGTTGAGTCACTTGGTAGAGCCACGTGGTAAAGGCACGTGGTGAAGTCTTGTGGTGGAGTCACATGGTGAAGTCACGTGGTGAAGCCACGTGGTGAAGCCTCGTGGTGAAGTCATGTGGTAAAGTAACAACAAGGTCTTGTCCATTATAATATGAAGTTCATCCCTTCAATAACAGCAAAGTTACAGCCAGTTACAGCCAAAACAATGAAAATATCAATAATTTGAACTTCAAAGTCAAGGTCATTAATAAGTGAAGGTCAAGGTGTGTCTGGTTATTTTTAAGGGATATCCTTGAAGATTATTATGTTCAAGTTTGAAGACAATCCATTCAAAAATAACAAAGTTACAGCCAATAACAGCATGAACAAGCAAAATTTGGACTTTTAACCTTGAAGGTCAAGGTCAATTATGGATGAAGGTCAAGGTTAGTGTGGTCTACTGAAAGGTCTTGTCCCAAAGGTTGTTGTGGCCAAGTATGAAGACAATACACCAAGAAATAAAAAAGTTATGATCCAGGTACAAGTTTTCGGACGGCAACGGCAACGGCAAAGGCAAAGGCAACGCCGACCTGACTATAACAATACCTCTACTTTTTTTTCAAAAAAAAATAGTCGAGCTAATAAAACTATTTGAGCCGTGTCATGACAAAACCAACATAATGGGTTTGCGACCAGCATGGATCCAGACCAGCCTGCACATCTGTTCGCTATCAGTTTCTCTACTTGTAATAGGGTTTGTAAGTGAACAGCATGGATCCTGATCAGACTGCGCGGATGCACAGGCTGGTCTGGATCCATGCTGGTCGCAAACGCATTATGTTAGTTTTGTCGTGACCCGGCTCATTTTAACTTACTGGTGGTGATTTCTGTATGAGGTCACACTCGTAAAGTATGCCTTGATGAGGCTGCATCACTGTGGATGAAAATCCAGCTAGTATTTTCTTCTGTGATCCAAGCAACATGATGTTACATGCAGGCATCTTGGACAGGTTTGTCAAACCTCCGGCTACACCTGCAATAATAGTAAAAACTGATGTAAATTCTGTACTATAGGTCTAACTCTCCTCATAAATACTTATCAGTTGTTTGTTTGTTTTGCATAGTTTTATGGCGCACCATACATTTAAGTCATATGGCGCCGAACCAGGAAATATGATTTTAGCTTAGCTCGGTTGTTACAAAAGCAACACAAAGGGTCAAAACCACCTCACCTGCTGGAGCTAAGAGTGCATAGACTCCAGTAATTCAAATACATTTAGTTGTCTCTTACAATCATGCAGGTTTAAACAGTGGCTGCAATTTTTATGCCTCAACCCTTCAAGGCAACCCTTGTGCCACAAGGGGAAATACTTATCAATCATTCATAACATCATAGAATAGCAAATTCATTATTGTTGTTAAAACCATAACTTGATTGTAAAGAAAGCCTGTAGCTTATACATGTATGAACCATATAATTTTTTGGAGTTAATTTTCTGGAACTAACCAGTACTGGTATTGTATGTCTCCGGACTGACAATGTTATGGGACACCTCACCTTAACCTAAAGTAGAGGAGACTTAAAAGTGTTTGCTTAACATTTGATCTTTTTGGTTTAACACTTGTTTCACAGAAAATCTGCAATTACTTTTCTCAAACCAGGAAATTGATGTTGTTATGAAAAGGGCATAAATATCACATAAATATACATTTGTGCAATAACAACTGGAGCAATAGAAAGTTTGAACTTTGATAAGTCAATCCCTATGCTTATGTAAGTGTTTATTCAGTAAAGAAGAGCTGTCGGTCTGATAGCCTGCTTGACTTTGTCAGTGCTTGACAGTAAAACAAGAGCCTAGATAATACAGAATTAGTAAGGTCAAAAAGGGCCATATTTTTGTTAAAATCCATGTGATGTTTTCAAATAAGTGTGTGAAGCTTCAACACAGCCCTTCAATAGTTTTGGAGATACCAACTTGCAAACAAAATCTTCACCAAATGGGTGAGTACAATACCTCTCCCTTTTGTTTCAATAATCAAGCTAAAAAATGGCCGCATTTTCATCAGGCATATAAATAATAACTTGCATTATGCAACTAAACCAAACTACTTTCCTGACATTTCTTAAATTATTTCAACAGGAGAGAAATACATGTATAATAAGCCATGGCTTTGATTAAACACAATCAAAAAGCAATTTTACAATATTTATAATAATCCTTGTTTTTATGCCTGTATATATGAACATATTTTCACAAGCATTTTTTCTAAAATTTGTCACTGGTATATAACTTACCCATTATTTTAGCAGCTGTAGAAGCACCCACTATAATAGACAAATTTGGTGCTATATATGTCATTCTAGACTCTACATACTCATGTATCTTTCTCTTAAACTCACTTAGTTCTAAAGCCTGCAAAATAAAAATAGCACAACATAAAATGTCAGGCAAACATAATGATTCTATATAAATATCTTAACTTCTTACATGAATATATCTATATAAAATACATGTACATTACATATTTTGGTTCTGATTAAGCCAGTAAGTTGGCAGAAGACATATATACCATATAAATATCAAACAACTTATGAAATCTAATTTACTGCGAGTTATGAACATTTTAAATGACCCTTCACTCCTTTTTACCATAATCATTTCCCTTACTTTAAAAAAAAACCCATAAATTGTGATAATATTGGCAAAACCATAGAGTGCTATAGGTTATCAATATTAAAAGAACAATATGCTACCATGTCACAGGCTTCTTCAACAATCTTCATTTCATCATCAGTAAGTAATGACCTAAAAACAAAATACATTGTATATAAATATGAATTTTAAATACATTTTTAATATTACCATTTAAAGATATACTATGCTCAAAATTGATATTTGACAATAATGATCAATGCTTCAAGTCTCTTGTAAATATAAAATAAACAAGCTTTAACTTCACACAAAGTAAAGAACCAACCTGACCAGTAATAGAGAATGTTGCTTCCCATACATAGTTTGTACATTCTTTTATTCAAATTAGACATATTCAGTAAAAATTTCATAGATTTCAATAAAGTTCTGCAATAAAAATATTTTACTCAAATATGATGCACCTTTCCCCTCTGTGCTTTATTCAAGGTACAATTAAACAGACACATCTAAATAGAACCACTAACCTTGCATACACTAGCTGGGTAGCTTCCTCACATAAAAAGTACCAAACAATAGTAATGGCTAAATGATTTACAGTTAGTGGTCTACATCATTTGGTAACAGAGGACTCTATATTATTAATATGTATATACCACTTGAAATTGTAGTAATACACCATTTAGTTAACCTGGAATGTACTCCCAACTACTACTGATATATGAGTGCAGAAACTAGAACTGCCACTATCATTGTCAGAATCAACAGTGGCCATTTAGAGCTCAAGGACAACCTCCCTGCCAAATCTGAGGTTACTAAGCCAGTGCATTGCTAAGTTATGTATTCTACATGCTTCAAATGTGAAAATGTCAAAATCAATACATTGTGGACAGGACATTCTTTAGTAATTGAGAAGAAAAGCTTTTTTTTGTCAAGGTCCCTGTGACCTTGACCTTTGACCCAGTGACCTCAAAATCAATAGGGGTCACCTTATAGTCATAATCAACATCCATGCCAAATATGAAGACTGTGGGTCAAAGGAATCTAAAGTTATTGGGCAGACAAACTTTTTGAAGTCAAAGTCCCTGTATCCTTGACCTTTGACCTGGTGACCTCAAAATCAATAGGGGTCATCTACTAATCATGACTAACCTCCATTCCAAATATGAAGACTGTGGGTCAAAGGAATCTTAAGTTATTGGGCGGACAAGCTTTTTGAAGTCAAGGCCCCTGTGACCTTGACCTTTGACCTGGTGACCTCAAAATCAATAGGAGTCATCTACTAATCATGACTAACCTCCATGCCAAATATGAAGACTGTGGGTGAAAGGAATCTTAAGTTATTGGGCGGACAAGCTTTTTGAAGTCAAGGCCCCTGTGACCTTGACCTGGTGACCTCAAAATCAATAGGGGTCATCTACTAATCATGACTAACCTCAATGCCAAATATGAAGACTGTGTGTCAAAGGAATCTTAAGTTATTCGGCGGTCAAGCTTTTTGAAGTCAAGGCCCCTGTGACCTTGACCTTTGACCTGGTGACCTCAAAATCAATTGGGGTCATCTACTAATCATGACTACCCTCAATGCCAAATATGAAGACTATAGGTCAAAGGAATCTTAAGTTATTGGGCGGACAAGCTTTTTGAAGTCAAGGCCCCTGTGACCTTGACCTTTGACCTAGTAACCTCAAAATCAATAGGGGTCATCTACTAATCATGACTAACCTCCATGACAAATATGAAGTTTGTAGGTCAAAGGAATCTTAAGTTATTGAGCGGACAATCTTTTTCAAGTCAATGCCCCTGTGACCTTTGACCTGGTGACCTCAAAATCAATAGGGGTCATCTACTAATCATGACTTACCTCCATGCCAAATATGAAGACTGTAGGTCAAAGGAATCTTAAGTTATTGGGCGGACAAGCTTTTTGAAGTCAAGGCCCCTGTGACCTTGACCTTTGACCTAGTGACATCAAAATCAATAGGGGTCATCTACTAATCATGACTAACCTCCATACCAAATATGAAGACTAAGGGTCAAAGGAATCTTAAGTTATTGGGCGGACAAGAAAAAACCGACGGACGGACAAGCTGATTCAAGTATACCCCCCTGCGGGGGGTATAAAAAAATAGTTGGTACATTACAATTCTTTGTAAAGTAGGAATTTCTAGAATCTTGATTACCTACCCTTGAGTTGTAGATGCTGTAACACTAACAACCATTATAGTGGCTGAAGTGAGGATATCTTGTAAAGCAGCATTATTTTTACTATTCTCCAGAATGTTGTTACCTAACTCCTGTAACATATAAAACAATATCATAATTATTATAAGTTACCTTACTCCTGTATCATATAAAACAATATCATATAACAGACATGGTCTCACAATTCTTTACCAGAGGGGGTCGAAATAAATTTGTCAAAGGGTAATGCATATTCCAAATAGGCGTTGGTATTTTATTAGGTTCTGCGTGATTTTTGTTTAAAAAAAAAGTAGTAAGTGAATATCCAGAGGTTGGAGAGGTTCCACAAACTTGGGCAATTATAAACTGATAAGATAAATAATTGCTATGCTTCCATGTAGTAACATATTTGAAATAATTGAATTAAGAAGATAATTGTTTTGAAAATTATTATAGCATTAAGTTACATTGCTCTTGACAAATGTTGAACAAAGTTGTCTATTCAACTGATTACAACTGAAACTTGTTTTTAAACCAGAGATGAACATTCAGTTTCAAATTCATGCACTTGATTGGATGATTTGAGCATAAACTTGACATTGCCCAATGAAAGAGCTCTATGACAAGACTGGTTCCCTTTTAAAAATAATATTGTAAGACTGGTTATAAATGCAGATAACACAATAATACAAATGTATTACATACCTTAACTGTGCAAACATACTGTAGTGGATCACTGATCAAGGACTCTAACTCTGGAAATCTTTTCAAGTAATGATCTCTTGTGAATTTATGTATCACATCTGTAAGAAGTATATATATTAATTTTCTTTATTGATGTCAATTTCTAAATATTCAGACATACTTGGCATTTCTTCATTATTCTTTGCAATTCTTCCATCTCTAATGCTTGATTAATACCCATCTTTTTTATAGCAGCTAGTCTGTTCTTTATAAGAAACTGATATATTTCCATCATAGGATTCAAATTATTCCTTGACAAAAATCATTAAGCTCAAAACCTTTTTTCACCGAATATGTCATAGGCAATACAGTGTATTTTGTCATAAGAGTCAATGAATTAAAGATTTTTAATTAACTGGCCCAAATTCTAGTTTTGAATTTATTCTACTATATATTTAACTTAAATTTTTTAAAATTTTCACTGGCCCGAACTAATTTTCACTGGCCATGGGCCACCGGGCCAGTGCTAAATTTGATGACTGTCATTATCTATAAACCATCACCTTATATCTAAATTATAATCAGAACCAGAACAGGTTACTTAGGTCTTAAACTGTATCATTAATAGTCTCTTACAACCTATAAAAATATTCATATTAACTTTTTCTAAAATTCTCTGAGTAGAGCATGTATGTAATGAACAACCAATATGCTTGCTACATGTTCTAGCTCATTTGGCACATGTATGAGTTTTATTTCAAAACTAATGCAGCACTTAAAAATATCAATATTTACTTACTTATTTCATTATCAATTTCTACAGTAAGGTTATTGGCTTGTACAATCAGCTGGTACTCTGGGTCAAACTCCACTGGTCCTGCCACTGAAATGATACAAATATTGAAATAGATACTGTCTTTTAAAGGAGCTCCACTGAGGTGGACAGTCTAAAAACATAAAATTTGAAATTTTAACATAGATCAAATTTAGCAATTAACCCATTACTTCATGAGCATTTTGTGAAAAATGGCTGTTTTCATTGAAAAGTCTCCCGTTACAAGTTCAAATTGCTATAATACTATAAAAACTGCTTCAACACTAATCAAACTTGGCACAAATGTTGACTGGACCATTGCCCTTGCAACAACATGCTCAGGCTTAAATTTTCTGTTACCATGGCAACGAGGGGACATCTCAAAATTGCCAAAAATCACTATTTTGCGTTGATTTTTTCCATCAAAATTGATTTCAAAGTGCTGCAACTTCTCAATGGATTGAGATAGAGTCAAATGCTTTTCAGCGTTGGTTACATGTTACCTTATTATCAATCTGGGGTCATTTACAGCCTCTCACAAGTCCAAAATTTTCTTGGCGATGAGGGGGACTCTGCCCCCCTTCAAACCCCCCAAACAGAAGGGGATGTGTGATTCTAGTCCAATTCGAGTGAAAAGCATTTTATAATCATTTTGCACAATAAAAATGATCATTCTTGAAGAATGAGGTAAGGGAATGATCTGAAAATTTGCACACAAGATATTAGTTCAAACTTACATCAAATAGTACGCAAATCTCAAAGAAATATTTCCAGTCGCACCATGTCAAAAGAAAACCTCATTGGAGTCCCTTTAATAATTTAGGACAACATAATAAACTGACCAAGAATTCTAACTTCAAATCACTGCTCACTGACAACTTTTTTTAAGTTTAAATAAAAACTAGAACTGTGTCCAAAGGACACGGATGCCCCCACTGACAATATATATATGGTATATAGTAAAAAAATCAACAAAGGGCCATAATTCTATTAAATTTGGTCACAGCAAAAATTCCTTCCTTTACTTCTATCTACACATTAAGGTTGTTCATCCCTGGAAGTTTAAGCAAAATCTGCCATCCGGTTTAAGAGGAGTTGCGTTCACAAAATTTCTATATGGTATATAGTGAAAAAAATCAACAAAGCGCCATAATTCTGTTAAATTTGGTCACAGCAAAAATTCCTTCCTTTACTACCACCTACACATTAAGGTTGTTCATCTCTTGAAGTTTAAGCAAAATCTGCCATCCGGTTTAAGAGGAGTTGCATTCACAAGATTTCGCGACAGAAGGACGGACGGATAGACAAGTGCAACGCTATATGCTCCCACTTTGTGGGGGCATAAAACAGAATATTATTATGTCTTGTGAGAAATTGAGAATTAGAGGTGATGTTATTTAGTTTTAAAGTGATCCTTATATCTATAATTGGCCAATTATAACTGATACAGTTTTGTAATTTTATCATGCCATAACTTACATAAATCTTATTACAATTTGCAAAGTTAAGTAACTTACCAGCTTCTTTTCTTTTCTGTTTGGAGTATACTTCCACCTTTTTAATCACATCAGTCAGCTGAAAGAGTTAATATTAAAACTGAATTAGTCACATGTTTCCTTTTTAAAAACTCTACTTTGAGACATTCTACCAATAAGCCAATGTCAAACTCTCAAAAATCCCTAGAAAATTAATAAGAGTTGTGTAATGAGAGGTTACAAAAAGGAGAAAATTAAAAATCAGGGTTTATTCGATTCATAATTATACAGTATAAGTTAAAAAAGTAATTTATAATTTTACTAAATTTTAAAAGAAACATCAAACATTATGATATAAAACTATAACCTAACCTCATCACTATCTCTTAATTTGGCAATGTTCCTAACAGAATTTTTGGTCAAAGTTTGTGTTTCCATGGTAACATCATCAACATCAGCAAGTTCCATGGTTTGACCATCGCCATCATTCTCTTCGATATCATCTCCTGCCTCTTCAAAATCAGCCAGTAATTCATCAGCTAACGACATGCTTTAATCTGTCTGAATGGGTGTATGTCTGCAAAAAGCATTCAAAGGTTATCATTATTTATAGCCACTCTATACTTTCACAAATGTAGACTGACATACTCGATGATAGGAATAATCCCTTACATTATTAACTGTATATGTCTGTGCAAAGAACTCATACATTTTATACGATGGTGTATCAGAGATAAGGGGCGAGTTTCAAGCATTAAGCTTTCTACTCAATCCTGGATGCAATTTACCAGTATGTATTGAAATTTTGTTTGAAAATATGGAAGAAACAAATAGTTTAAACCAAATCATACTTCAAAAGACTACATAATAAAATTGTCAAATCTATGAAGTTGCAGGCAAAAAAAATTACTTACAATGTATTAGCCAAATAGCATGCTGTTGTATTTGCAAATTTCATATGCCAAACTGAGATATTACCTATGAGATACATGTATAATATAACCAGACAACAACTGTGTCTTTATATACAGTCTTGTGTAATGTTGTTTAGACATTCAATTGGCAGATGATTGATCAAAAGGCATTGTGTTCAAATCATACTCTTACATTACTTGGCTTAATATTCTTAACTAAATTAAACAAGAGGGCCATGAGGTCGCTCACCTGTATATAGGCCCCCAGAGCGGGGCCAGTTTAAACCCCAGGGCTTTTATTTTAACAAACTTGGAAGACACCCATTAGAAGAGCTGTTTCATGTCAAGTTTTTACTACACACATATTCTGAAAAACAATGATCTCCCCCTGTCCCCCCTCCCCCCGGCAGGGCCAATTTTAACCCAAGGGCTTTTATTTGAACAAACTTGGTAGACACCCATTAGAAGATGTTTCATGCTAAACATCTAAGCTCTAGCTCATTGGGTTTTTTAAAAGAAGTTTTTTAAGTTTTTACTATACACAAATAGTTAAAAACAATAACACCCCTGGGGCGGGGCAAGTTTTGACCCCAGGGGTTTTATTTCAACAAACTTTGTAGACACTTACTAGAAGGTGTTTCATGCTTAATATCTAAACTCTAGCTATTTGGGTTTTTTCAAAGAAGATTTTTAAGTTTTTGCTATACACATATAAGGAAAATCAATGACCCACAGGGCAGGGCCAATTTTGACCCCAGGGCTTTTATTTGAACAAACTTTGTAGACACTCACTAGAAGATGTTTCATGCTTAATATCTAAACTCTAGCTATTTGGTTTTTTTCAAAGAAGATTTTTTCAGTTTTTGATATACACATATAATTATAAGGAAAATCAATGACCCCCGGGGCCAATTTTGACCCCAGGGCTTTTATTTGAACAAACTTGGTAGACACCCATTAGAACATGTTTCATGCTAAATATCTTAGCTCTAGCTCTTTGAGTTCTTTAAAAGAAGATTTTTTAAGTTTTTACTATATGCATATAGGGAAAATCAATGACCCTCTGGGGCGGGGCCAATTTTGACCCTAGGGCTTTTATTTGAACAAACTTGGTAGACACTCACTAGAAGAAGTTTCATGCCAAATATCTAAGCTCTAGCTCTTAGGGTTTTTTTTAAAAGAAGACATTTAAAGTTTTTTCTTTCAGTTGCCATGGCAACCAGAGTTCTGGAATTAAATTCTTTGAACAATTTTTAAAGATGACCACCAAAGGAACATTCTTGTGAAGTTTGGATGAAATTGGCATAGTGGTTTATTAGGAGATGTCATTTAAAGTAAGTTTACGGCCAGACGCCGAACAGATGGATGCTGGACGAAAAGCGATCACAAAAGCTCACCTTTTGTGACAGGTGAGCTAAAAATAAATCCTTTTATAACAATCAACAACATAACATGGAAGGGTGAGCCCTGATCGGACAACACTAATCTTTAGTCAACTGTCTCATTACATTATGTCCCAGATGCATACACTTTGTTGAGTAGGCTAACTAAGTAACTTTAACATTCCTTGAAAAGGAATGTTAAGAATTAATTCGGGTATGAAATAGAAGTGGCTATTGTACATAATCATACAAGTAAACACCATATGAAAAATATATCTATATGGCAGTGTATACAGGGACATTCTTGCTTGATAACATTTCAGGTTACCTGGTAATTTGTGATACCGGTATTATTTTGTTCATTTTATGATTATTTTAAAGACAGATGAAAGTTTATTGTAGCTTAAAGTCAGGGTTCTAGCCAGCCTATTATTGCATGAAGTGTGTGACATGCCTTCAAGCATTGTGGTATAATTGCGTCTTTTGTGTGTGTATAACTATTTGATACTAGAGTGGGTGGACCAATGCTTGGCGTAAAAATACTATATTTGATATATATGACAAATTCAAATCAACGTCAACAAAACTAAATGTTATATGTCCATTTTCAAGAACGATGATATTGTTTTAAATAGCCATTGTGTAAAATTCACTAATCACATAATGACGTACATGGCGGGAGCTATAGATAGTCCGGATAAACAAGTGCTGTGTGGTGAGGTATGGTAGTGTAACCGTAATCCGGAACATACCGTTCCCGGAAGGTACGAGATTTAGTCCGGGCAAGACGAGAACGATTCCTAGCCGCCATCTTGTAAGAAGGTAATTAGAACGGCAAGATAAATCCGAAGAATCTGAGAGATATAAATGGTCATCCGTACAGGGAAAGTGTTTCAAGGTAAGCAGAACACTTTAAATGGTGGCAGCTACTATTCGAATTCACGTCAACTTCGTAGGAATTCTACGCAATCCGGAGGTAAAACCAGCGATTTTCTCAACCATAAAAAACTTTCGTTTTCAAATATTGAAATCTAAGTATTTCCAATATTTTGGAGGGGGAAAAGGGACTGTTGGTTTGGATTGAACAAGCACTGTACGTTTAGATGATTTAATGTGGAAATTTTGCTAAAATTGAGTATTTAGAGTACTCTTTTGGTAAAGTTTAGAAACTTCGGATATTCGGACTTACGACGCATGCGTATTGGAAAGCTAAGCTTCCGCCCTGGATCAGTTTCGCACGTGAAAACTGTGCCAGTTCAGCATTATATTTTTAAATATTTTTGAATAATATTTGGGTTAAATTTTTTGGTATATTTTCAGCGGTTCAGTATAATTGATTGAATTTATTTGCATTGTTGTTTTTTCAAGGTCAATACACAAAGTAGATTTACTCTTTTTTGGATTTTTGTTTTGTATGTTTTATAGTTGAAGGTTTAAAGTCTTCCCCTTTTAATTTTAATTTTACAAATTAGAGGAAAAATTTCCCATTGTTTTTTAATAATAAACGGGGCCCCCCAAAAATTTTGAAATTTTATTTTTCGTTTTTGTTTTTTGGAAATTACTAATAAATATTTTTATCAAAATTTTTTATCGGGAATTTTTTAAAAAATTTTAAATGAAAATTAAATTTTTCCAGGAAAAAATATTTGTTTTTAAAATTTACTTTAAAGAAATTTTCGAAAGTAAAAAAAATTGGGAAAGGGTCTGTTTGGTCAAGGGACTGATTGACTTGACCAACTTTAGCTAAACCTTCACTGAACCCCAATTGAAACGGAATTATAATTAAATTCCTGAAATTAGTCTTTCTTTAATTTTTTATGGGGCAAACCAATTTTAAGAAAAAAAATAATCCCAGGTTCAGCGAAAAGAATTTGTGGAAAAATTTTGTTTCGAAAAGGGAACTCTAAAGATTTCCCGGGGCCATAAGTTCAAGGAATAGCTGAGTCTATTTTTAAATTAAACCCCAATTCCGTAATAAGTGGAAAGGGAATAATAACACTTTGGAAAAAGTGCCCTGCAAAGACATGTTAGGAGCCGCACTTTAGAAAAAGGGAAGAAAGGAAGCTCTGCTGGGACTTCTTCACTAAAGCTTGAGGGTTTTGCAATTAGATTGGGGGAAAATAAAAATTTACCAAAAGGTACCAAATCTTCTCAAGGGAAAAAGATTCTGGTGAAGCAGGGCGACAAGTCCGAGCATTTTGCGACAGCTTTGTTGGAAAAATGTTCAAGAAAAAGGGGAAACTTCCATTTGAAGATTTCTGAGGAGGCCGACAGAAAGTTTCCCTTTTTCAAGTAAGGATTGGCAAGAGGTACAAAAAGTCTTTGAAAAGTAGCCAAAGATATCATTCGCGCCAAAAAATGCAAGTAGTGCGGTTGACCCCCTGTCCTCAAAGGCCAAGTCTTTGAGTGGTGGGCGCGTCCCAAGCTAAACACAGCTGCTAGGTATGATGATTCTTCAAGTGATGAATTATCTGGACTGAGTAGACAATCTTCTCCGCATCCTAGAGTTAAAATAGCGCGAAAAAGTCCGAAACTGCAGCATTTATTCGGAGTCTGCCGAAGAGGTTGCAGTATGATGGAAAGGGAAACTGGCTGGCATTTAAGCAGAAGTTCTTTCGTTATGCTAACGCATGCGATTGGACGTCAGACGAATGCCTTGATGGTTTATGCTGGTGCCTGACTGGAAAAGCCGCTGACTATCATGCAATCATCGTGGAGAGAGATGGCGATATTTCTTATCGGAAGCTCTTGCAGAAACTGGAGATGAGATTTGGTTCCAGGGAAAACCTGCTGAAAACACCCAAAAGGTGTTTCCACAAATTTTCCCAAAACCGGGGGTTTTTTTGCGGGAGTTTTCTTGTAATTGCGGGGCAAAAGGGTCATGCCCCTTTCCCGGACAAATTTTTGCTTTTCCCAAAGGGCCTGCCTGAAAAACTTATTCCAAAAAAAGGGCAGACAGTGACAAGTTTTTGGGGGTTTTGGTAGAAAAAAAATTTGGGGCGGAAAAGGCCGTAGCCAAATTGGGTTTAAGACCTTCAACCATGGAGAGGAAATTTGAATAAAAGCCCCCCCCCCCCCCCCCCCCCCCCCCCCCCCCCCCCGTTTTCCTTCCGCCCCCTGCCCCAAGTCATTTTTTATGCCCCGTTCTAAAGAGGGTTTTTTAAAAAGAAAGTTGTGGGGGCAAGGCGCTAATTTTTTTTCCCCCCAAAAGAAAAAAGCCCCCGGGGGTTTCGAAAACCCAAACGTTTTTGGCCCCATTTTCATTTGGGGGAGTTTGGAAGTGGGAAAAATTGAGAAGCTTCAAGATTTTTGACAACAGGGTCCTGAAACTAGAGGGAGGAGAACCCACTTCTAAGGGAAGAAGCGGGAGGGGTTAGAAGAAATTTTTTTGGTTTGGAAAAAGGGCCCTTTTTCAAGTCTGGACTGCCCCCCACGAAAATAAAAAAAAACAAATAAAAAGGGGGGGGAAGGAAGAAAAAGTTGTTTTCCCCCCTTCTGGGTTTTAGCGCCAAAAGTCGGACAAAAACCAGCGTCTTTTTCATGAAAAGCATGGAGGAGCCCCCAGGTTTGTGAAAAACAGTCAGGGACTAACCATGTTTGGAAGTTTTTTCTCGATGTAGACGGGCGGGTAAAGAAACAAAAAAGAAAAGGTGTTGGAATTAGTTCAATTGGGGGCCTCTTTTGGTTTTTGTGGGAAAGAAAGTAACAAAAACATTTTAAAGCCGGGTTTCCGGGAAGGAGGGTTTTTTTCCCATATAAACTTTTTAATCCTAGGGTGTTTTTTTTCAGAAGAAATGTCAAAGCTGCTTTGTCACAAAATCCCGGGTATGGGGGCATTTACGATATGTTTCGGGGGTCAAAACTGAGGAAATTTCCCTTTTGTTGGGGGGAAATGTTGATCATCGAAAAGGGTTAAACTTGGAACCTCGCATGAGGGACAAAATTTTGGGGCAATTTCTTGGTTTTTGAAAGGGGTGTGTGAAAAAAATGAAGTTTAAAACCGCTGACAATTCATAATTTATCTTTCACAATAATGTCGATAACCAGGTATCACGAGGGTGCCGAAAGAAAAATTTTTGCAAAAAAGTCAAAAGGGTATCATCCCCAAAAAGCTGTTTAATTTCTGGAAAAAGATTGCCCGGATCCATTGTATCGTCGGCAATTCCAAAAGGTTCCACAAGGGTCGGCAAAAGGTTCACAAGGAAAGCAAAATGTAAAAATTTTGTTTTGGGGGTTGTAAAAAAAGGGGGCCAAACAGAAAAAATCAAGGTTTCAAAAATGTTGGGCCAAAAAGTTTAGTGTGTTTGAAAGATGCTGTAAAGATTTGGTGAGGGCAGATATGAAGAATACAGAATCGAATGCTCTTATTGGTTTGGGAGGGAAATAGGGGCCCAACAGTTTTGAGTAGTGGAAACAAACTTTTCGCTAGAACCTGCAGATGTAAAAACTTCCGCCAGCAGCTTTTGCTAAAGTTCTAAGAGCTTTTAGTGCTTGGGTATTTAGTATTGGCCAAAAGTCAAATTAAATAGTTCTAGTAGGTCCTGGGCTAAGGTCCACTGTTTTTTTTTCCACGGACTGAATAAGTTCTATTGAGGGACATGGGCGATACTAAAGGTAAGATTCCCATTAAGTAGAAAGGTTCTTCAGATGAGTCAGGATATATACCATCAGGTGGTCTCAGGGGTGTTGCAGTGACCAGGGCCAGGTTTAAGAAGACATTCTTCTGGTATGGCAGGGGTCAGGATTACGCAAGTCATGTGACGACATGTGGAATTGCATTTGCAGCATGAAGACGGATGGTCATGGGCAGGTTGGCACAACAGGTCCTGTTCTGAAGATACAAGGAAAACAGAGGTTACAGCCAAAGCAAGCTGTGTGGTGCCTTTGATGCTGTTGGGCGATCTTATTGGGAAATAAACAGAAGCCTGGGATATTAACAAGTACAAATGTGCAATGCTAAGTTTGTTGCTTTCTTGTTCTGTGTTAATGTGGCTGCTGTGGTGTAAAAGGTATCTCCATAAATCTGTAGTCAACACTCAGGTTTTTGGTGTGGAGGTGTAAGCTGCAATCGGCTTAGGAACTGGACGCTGGCCGCTGTTTAAAACAGTGCCCAGGAAGGTAAGATATCTAAGATATCAGTTATCCAGTTAAGCTATCTGTCAATAACTTGTCAGATAGGCATTTGCAGATTACTGTTGCACAGGCTAAGCCTGCCCACTTATAATCTGTGTTTACAGGCCAACGCCTGTAAAGGCGGTATTGTGGGTACTGGTTTGAAACCCAGGAGTGGACTTGAATCTCGGGTTTCCGCACTTCCGGTGAGAGGACTTCATCTTTAAAGTCAGGGGGAGTGTGGTGAGGTATGGTAGTGTAAACCGTAATCCGGAACATACCGTTCCCGGAAGGTACGAGATTTAGTCCGGGGCAAGACGAGAACGATTCCTAGCCGCCATCTTGTAAGAAGGTAATTAGAACGGCAAGATAAATCCGAAGAATCTGAGAGATATAAATGGTCATCCGTACAGGGAAAGTGTTTCAAGGTAAGCAGAACACTTTAGCTGTTTGCGTGAAAATGTACCATAGCTTGGCGTACAGTGCTACATGATGCAGGTTTTTTTTTAATAAAATCTTTTTATAACTTATGAAGAAAACATATTGAATCAATTGTAAAAACCAAATTAGGTTCATACATTTACAAGTACCAACTTTTAGTTTAAATTTTACAGCCCCAGAACTCTAGTGTAAAAAAATTTTAATAATTTATATGTTGTGGAATATTTACGGTCGTTCGTCTGCTATTAGCATTATCGTCTGCTATTAGCATTATCATGTGACTTCACCAGCAGTAAACTGCACCAGGATAAAATGGTGAAAGATGTAAAGAAAAGCACTGATTACCTTAATCGGAGATAACAGTACTCTTGAAACATTTTTAGATATTCAAAAGAAATATTTTTTACGCCGAGCATTGGTCCAACCACTCTTGGCTTATATTTTGAGCCTTTCTGATAAACGGGCCAAATAAGGTTTACGTTCCCGGTGGATAACTACCAGGAATAAATTATGCATGATAAGGGGTTGAAACATTTTGAGGTCGAAGCGTGTGTCATTATTTTTATCATTGAGCTGACATATGTTATTATAAACAAGCTTCTGAAATCACCCAGTGTTTCTATATTCTGAAACTGAAAATATCTTCCCCTTGTATGCAAAAACAGTAGCTATTATAACTAACCAAATAACTGAAAACGGCAACAAAACGTCCATGCAAAACACCGAACAGTCGCTTAGAACATAAGGTAATAAAAATTGTATAAATCCCGTTACATAGCCGTACGTCAATGATAAAAATTATAAAAATTTAACACCACTAAAAATTCTTCAAAGCCAATAACAAGCAACATAAATTATTCGTAATGAGCAGTTTATTCTTTTCGGAAGTCGTCCACAGCTGAATAAGTGTAACACCAAAGAAATCAATATATGTGGTAATGTTATTGAATCACAACATTGTATACGGTATCTTGGTGCTTTTTTGGATGAGTCTCTAAATTTCAAAGATCACATTAAAAGAAAGTGTAGAACTGCTATGTTAAACTATTTCAAGATCAAGAGCATTCGAAAGTATCTGACAAAGGAAGCCGCTGAAACACTTGTTTTATCTTTAGTAATATCCCATTTAGATTATTGCAACATCATTCTATACGGCATATCTCAAAATGAATTAGCCAAACTTCAACGTATTCAAAATATGTGTGCCAAACTGGTGTTAGGTCGTTCCAAGTATGATAGTTCTAAACGGGCATTATTCGATCTGCACTGGCTTCCGATTAAAGCACGAATCAGTTTCAAGATACTGACATACATGTATAACTGTTCGGTAGGAAACGCACCATCATATTTAATAGAGCTTTTGTCTCATCAAGTGTCAAAACGAACCTTAAGATCATCTGAATCCTCAGTTGGTTGTTATGTTGTTCCTTTTAATAAGAAGAGGACTTTTTCTGACAGAGCTTTTAGCACGATAGGACCAAAAATTGTGGAATGAACTACCTATTAATATGAGAAAATGTGAATCTGTTGAAATTTTCAAAAGACAACTGAAATCATTTTACTTCAAGGACTTTTTTGCACTTTTTTTAAGTGACGCTGAAGGCATTGTCTGTTCCTTATTGTTTTGTGCATGTTTGTATATTTCTAGTGTTTTTTTTATTATTTTCAATGTGTAATAATAATAATAAAGTCTAGCCCATGTGTTATCATGTGCAGGGGTGCAGGGGTGTAGATTGTTACATGTTGGTGGGGATTGACCCAATCACTGTGACCGTCGCACTGCTGGGAGTATTGTGTATGGTAGCACTGGGAGTAGCACATATAAGGTATATAGCTGTACAACGCCATTGAATATGTATTCTATATGTAGAAATAGGCGTTAAATCAAGTTTTCAAGTTTCAAGTTTCATTTTCACCTACTCTAATGTAATTATTACACTTTACAAGAACATTTTCCACATTGTACAATAAACTATGACTATTTTCTTATAAATAGTTTTACACCATTTAAAAAGATAGTTTAAGCGAAATTGGGAAATCAATGTAGAAAATTGGGAAACATGATTTAAAATAAAAAGATTAATCTGCCTGACTGGATAAAAAATATAGAAGTACAAATAATGAAGACCAAGATAAATGGAAAGAGTATAGTGGCAATATTTCTATCCTGCCATTTTCATAAAAAAAAAAATACAAAATGGTAAGATTATGAAATTTCCTTTCATGTTAAGAATTTAAAATCTGAAAATTCCCCTTATGTCTGATTGTCATTGATTTATGCTATATATTTTACAGCCATTCAAAAGCAAAAATTCTATACTCCCAGTTCTAGAGTCCGTCCCTCTCCCATACACCCATTCTTTAGTTTACCCCAGTGTTGTAAAGAGAAGCTTTGGAACTTAAAATACCGTTGCTTTAACCTAACCTAGTCAAATTTATCTTATAAGTACTTCGGATTACTAGATATCTAGAGGTTATCAGCAGATAACCAGCAGTTAAGACGTATCATGCATAGATCCAGCATATCGCAAATATGAACTTATAAATCAAAACCACTCACATTCATTTATTTACCAAATGAAACACAAAATTCCGCTATTTATAATATGAAAGAAATTGAAGATGTTTTTTAAGATCATTATATTTTTCCGTGAAAAAAAAATCAGTTTACACTTTTAAATGTGTTAAGCCCTATTTTTATTAGATGATCCTTAAGTTTATGTTTAAATGTTGACAATGTACTTTGCAGTTTTATGTCAGCTGGAAATGTATTCCATAAAGCTTCGCTTTGTATGTAAATGCTTGTTTCATATATGTAGATAAGGTTAAATTTAGCCAAGTTCACTTTTTATAATATATACGGTAGTTATTTCCCTTAAAGGCCAAACCAAATCTATTGTGGTGTTATGTGTTCATGTTTGTCTTGGTTCCTTTTGTTATGAGTGATTGAACTGGTTTTGCAAGTTTAGTGATGGATGATTGGTTTTGGTATGCAAGTTATTTTTAGATGATTTGGTTCTGGGATATAATATTTTCTTGGTAACTGACCACTCCTTGTCTCGCTTTCGAAGTGTAAAGAGCTATAAAAATATTTAACATTCAGTAATTTCTTTATAGAAATACTTGATTCTGATTTCTATTATTTCATTAGATCTCATCTATATAAAGCCTGGTATGTATATTTGTATATATTTATTTGTGAAATTGTTTTTATTGTAATTTGAATTGTTGTGTAATATTCTGTATTATGTATTTTGTGAAATGTATTTGTCTTGTATTATATTTGGTTGTAATGTGATGTCTTATACTTATATTATTTGTTACAGGTTTTATTCTTTATTGAATAAACATATATAAACATATCAAGGTGTTTATTGTTGGAAACCCCCTACTACATATAATTTGTCCGTGGCCTGAAAGTGAGAAAGATATTTATGCGCTAAAGAGCGAACATGTATATAAATATTTATTACCCTTCCAGATTTTTTCCGCCTTTTTGATTGGATATTGATCACCCGAAAGAAATTGATATAACCGAGCCAGACGGGTAATATACGCACTAAATTTCCCCGTTTGGTACCCAACGTTGTAAACAATATGCGCTGAGGTGATGCGCGTACGGTTCGATTTTACGCGGTGTAAATTCCGATTTAAAAGCACTTTTTAACTGTCAAATGATAAATATTTACCAAAGTAGAGTAATGATACATATAACCATCAGTATCGAAAACAAATATAGACCTTGTGAAATCTTGATATTAATTACAAAAAGTGCGTTCAACAGACTACTCCTTTTCTCTTGTTTACTTTCTTAAGGTACGGGAAAAATACGTCATGTATTTATGTGACGTCATGTTGTGACGAAGAGGTATCCTAAAGGGAATGATATTTCGACGTTTCATTTGAAACAGCAATGATTTTTTTTAAAAAATCGTCTAAACTCGGGAGGGGAAGGGTAATAAAATTATTATTTTGGTTTTGGAGTGATATATGTGGATATATTACCTGCCAAGATAAAATATCACCCTCGCCTAACGGCTCAGGTGATATAAAATCTTAACAGGTAATATATTCACATATATCACTCCAAAACCAAAATAACATATAATATCATTATTAGAAAAAAACTAGTATTTCAGATATATCTGGGACAAAAAAAATATTTTATTTGTCCCTGGATATATACATGTGCATGTATTTTGCTGCAATTAAAAACCAACAAGGCCATGTGGTAATTGCATCTGTTTCAATATTACATGAAAGATAATCCCTTTAACCATCCAGTCTAGCACCAGCTTAATCATAAACTTCTTTGCTGAGAGGCTCGATGCTCATTAAGTTTCGAATCAGCACAATATTTCTTTGTATTAATTTATCAATAATAATTACATATATTTGCATATGTACATGTAAGGTGTTGTGCTGACGTACGTAAGATTTTACAATACTACATCAAGCAATTTTAATTTTATTGTCCCCCAGTGTAATTCTGTGATGAAACAGACCTTTTTTTATAATGGAATTAAAGACTGGAATAGTCTGCCAGAATATATAAAATTCATTAATAATTTTGTACAATATAAAAAATCTGTAAAAAGTACCTAGTAGAAAGTTATAAAAGTCTAGCAGAAGATGTATATGTGTACTACTAGTGTGTTAGTCACTGTGATCCAATATTTGTCTGTGATAGTTATTAGGTTTATTTAAAAAAGGGCATACTTTAAAAATATTTTTCCTTTTCAACCAAAATCTTGACCAAAGTTAGTTAGATTAGTTTTATTTGTTTTTTAGGGGGGAATGGGTTGTAATTATGTATTTTTTTTATTATTTCTATGGACCCCATTGGAAATAAGCTTTTAGCGTAATGGGCTATCCATAGCTGCGTAGTGCCTCTTATTATTTCTTATGACAAAATTGTGCTCTTTTATCCTGTTTTATGATCTCATTTTATATATGATTTATATGTTATCTCTTAACTGTATGATTTTATTATTTGTATCATGTGCCATGTTCCTGAATGTATAAATAAAATATATAAAAATAAAATGTGACTCATGCCAGTTATAATCACAAATAACAATAATTTAAGTGGTTACTTTTAATGACACAATCAGGTTTAAAATAATTATGGTTTTTCTTTCCATTGAGAGAATAAATTTAAACAAAATAATAATTTCAAGGCAGAATTCGTAAATCAACATTTAGTGGTGTTCAATATTAGCTCTAATCGATAAACGGTAATATGATACGGATTAACCCAGGAATTATCTCTTTGATATTTTTTGTGATGCTGCAAGCGCTATTTATCACGAGATCGAGATGTCTGCAATCTTTTCTTGATCGGCACTAGAATGTCTGGAAAATCGCAGTCCAAAGATGAAAATCTTAAGGACAAGATTAAGAATTTATTCCGGCGTAAACAGGACAGTGCCATTCTTCAGAAAGGCCCTGCTAGAGACTTCTCCACTGTTTTTACACATGAAATTTTGAAGGTTTTTTTTCATTCAATTTTATGCTAAGTCCAAAAATTATGTTTATATTTTTAATTATTTATGACAGTGATTTAATGTTTATTTCACCAGGACTAGTGATGGCTACATGTGGAATACTTTATGTTTTAAAGTCATGGGTTATTGTATTAATTTGTATATTTTTATGTTAAATCTACAAACGTCGCAGGTTAACCAACTTGACAAAGAAGTTCTTGGGGCTACTATAGTTTAGTATCAAAACAGTGCACTGGAAACTTGTGCACCAAGTACTCTAAGATACTACTCAAGTACGCATACTTTTACTGCAAGAATTTATGCTTGATCTGCATTCCGCTGCATACCAGTCTTACCAATATGCCTTTTAACCTTGCCAGAGATTTGCCCCCAACAAAAGAGCCAAGTCAAATATGCTAATACGGGAAAGTTTAGGTTAACATGTTTGCTAAGCTACCCTGGAAATTGTATTGCACTTAGTCTAACCACCTACAGTGTCAAATATATCCCATATTGAACAAGCAGAATAAAATTATATTATGCAAGCCTTTGACCAGCATGATATGATTTTATACAAATTGTTCAATGAATTAAGTAATGAAGCTACATGGATATAATATCCTTTTGATCACATATCCAAAATAAGAACTGGTTAGGGTAAAAAGAATCACTGTTTCATTGACACGCTAATAGTATACTGCTAACAGTCAGCACATCTACACTATGTTTGTATAGCGCAAATGATGTCAGATCAAAATATATGCACAGCTGTGCAATACCCTTTTTACAAAGTCACAAAATATGCATGGGTATATGATAGAGGCTTTTTATACATGTTTAGAAATACTTATTGTGCTCTACAATAAGTTCTTGCAAGATGTTATTCCTTGTGCTTGCATTAATTTGCAAGTTCAAAAAATAGAAAAATTCAATTGCTGACATCTCTTGCATAATCACATTTTGACCTGTGGAAGTTGAGAAGAGAGCTTCTGACAGGTATAAAGCATGTCAGCTGCAAGCAGTTATATTTGCTAGCTAGAATTGGAATTCATTCATGTGCCAAAATAAATCCCTTGAATACTAAACTGTTTTAGGAACAGTTAAGATTTTTAATCATACTTGAAGTAATTAGTGTTTTGTTCAATTTAATTTGCCTTAGCCCTAGTAGAAATAAAGCTAAGAATAGAAGAAAATGAAGCTTTGTAACCAAATTCCGTTTGGCAAGGCAATATAATATGCTAGTGGATGATGCAGAACCCTCTTGTTTTATGTACACATTGAATAATATATAATTGAGCCGCGCCATGACAAAACCAACGTAATGGGTTTGCGACCAGCATGCATCCAGACCAGCCTGCACATCCGCGCAGTCTGATCAGGATCCATCCTGTTTGCATACAAACCCTATTACAAGTAGAGAAACTGATAGCGAACAGCATGGATCCAGATCAGACTGCGTGGATGCGCAGGCTGGTCTGGATCCATGCTGGTTGCAAACCCATTATGTTGGTTTTGTCATGACGCGGCTCATATTATTTTGTTTTGTGCTATATTTTTTTGTAGGATATTGGTCCAGAGAGTCCTGGTAACAACAGAATTAAAACCATAAAAGAGCTTGGAGATGTTGTTCTGAAGAAAAAACTTGAAGAGGTATAGTAGTGTTAATATTTTACCTGACTGGCTTCAAGAAATAAACATTTCTTACTTTGAATTGTATACTTTTCAGGAAATATTACATTGATTTTGATGTCAAAATATTGAATGAATCATTTAGGCAACAAAGTGTTGTGTGTGCAACTTTGTATCACATTAACCAATAAAAATATTCACTAGAAACTTCATTTACATCTTCATGGTCATTATTGTAAGTCTCTGACCAAGATCCGTTGCTTCAGCAAGGATGTTATTGAACCATTTCTGTGTCAACTTTGAAAGTTTTTGCATGGCTTTCTTTGGCTATTTAGCACTTTCAAGAATAAAGTATGCTGTCCATGTACAAGCTCTTGCTTTATTCCTTAACCTTCTGGGTTTCTAGAATGGATTTGCCCTCCTTTGAATTTGGAACAGTCCATTTAAAGTTAGAGGGATTGCAGTATCACAATACAAAAATTAAGTAACAAGTACTTTAGAGCTACACTATACCAGCTCTTTACTGGTGGATATACTGGTTTCAAAGGCTAATCACATATTCACATTCATATTAAGTTGAAAAAGGAAGAAGGAAAATAACTGTATGAGGTTAACTAGATTTTTCCTGGAATGTGAGAAGACTTGGGAATGAGCATTTTTTGTTTATTTTTTTATTTTTTTTTTTTGAATGATCAGATAAAAGTGGTTGCAAAGGGAAATCAATTTAATTTCCAGCAGGTTGAGGATTAAATACCAGCCTACATGTATATAACAAGGACACTGTAGTTTATCAATACTTTTAAGATTTTAAAGGCCCATTATGCATCAGAAATACTTTTATTTCTATTTCTCTAAGGCTTTTTATATTTTGTGTCCAAAAAGTAAGTTATTTGCCAATCACCTGAAACATCTGTTGCTATTTGGCAATTAGTACTACTTTAATGTTTTAGTATTTTATATGGAAGTCATAATGCTACTTTGTTGACATTTTGCCACTTTTATGACAAATCATTTCACTACTTTCTTCAGGCTAACAGCATCTTACATGCTCTAAATCAGTTATTTAAACATTACAAAACTCATATTTGCCCTTTCTAAAGAAAGAAAAAATAATTCAGTTCTGAGGCACAATGTGCCTCTAATTAAACACTTGTGTGTTTACTGCAACATTGTTTATGATAAAGTGATATTGGTATTTGACTGTAAAAGTTGTTTTTTGGTATTTGACTGTAGAAGTTGTTTTGCTACTTGAAATAAAATGTGATTTACAAAAATACCAATGTTATTTTAATATGTTTTTTGCCCTCTATTTTAAAAGAATGCCATAGAGGCAGTATGGTGCAGCATACAAGATTTGTTTTTGCCACAGACCGTGTCAGAAAAGAGACATGTTGCCCTCCAATTTCTGATGTACCTTCTGGAAGGTCAGGTAATGTGATGATTTATTCAATTTATCATTTACATTTTCTTTATTAATAGATTTTGAGAAAAATACAAATATCGTCAAAGCGAGCAATTGAGAAGGTTTTAAAATATTTAGTTTGTTTCTTTTGTTAAAAACGAACTAAAATAAATTAAGTATAAACTAAAACTTTTATAATTATTCACTACAAAAGTTATTGATAATCACACATACTCCATGTTATATTGATTTTATTTTTGCTCCATATCTTAAATGCTCACTTTTTCACTCATTAGTTAGAACTGTTACAACAGGCATATTATGGAAAAAACTTTACCCGCTAATGTATAGTTAGGATTTTATATTTGAGCCGCGTCACGACAAAACCAACATAATGGGTTTGCATCCGCGCAGTCTGATCAGGATCCATGCTGTTCGCTTACCAACCCTATTACAAGCAGAGAAACTGATAGCGAACAGCATGAATCCTGATCAGACTGCGCGGATGCGCAGGCTGGTCTGGATCCATGCTAGTCGCAAACCCATTATGTTGGTTTTGTTGTGACGCGGCTCATTTGTTTACTTAGATTTTAAGCTGAAAAGAAATAGAACACAGTTGAAGTAGAATTTTAACTTGGATATGGTGTCACATTTTAATTGATTACATTTTCATGTTTTAAAAATCTTCTATTATATTTCAGTACCAGAATCTTGGCAAGCTGAGATGTCATTTCTTCCATGTCATACAAAGTTTAACTCTGCGAGAAAACATTGACGAAAGGTAAGCAATTTTAAAGTTTTTATTTGGGTTTTGTAATATTATGATATTATATCAATAACTCATAGGTTTGTGAGTAACAGTAAACATATTATCCCAGGGAAACTACTCTTATGCCTTGGGTATCAGTATTTGTGTTGTAACTTACTAATCTACCTGTTATTTGATTTATTACCCTGAAGAGCTACTTCATTGGGACAGTGTTTCTTAAGGTTTTTATTTTTCTGATTTTTACTGTGAAAAAAACCCCAAAAAAAACAGTACAAAATTTTTAGATGGTGCACTAGAATTAACAGTAACAATAACTCACCTTGGCCGATAGGAAATTAACATTACAAAAATAGTGAGGGGTAATAACAAACAATGACAAGTATTAACTTCATCTTTATAAACATAAGGTGTGCAAATGTCTACATGCATTTGCAACTGAATAACAAAATAATTGTCAAATCAGGTGGTTCATTTTCTATTTGAATTTATTATCATAAAAAATATTCATAAGGATTGTGATGGGAATTTATAAAATCATATTAACTTGTTAATCACTTTGAATGTTGTTTCAGTGGAAATGGAATTATTTGAAATTTTTATTACATTTTATGGGCATACACATACATTTATAAGATTATACCTTCAAGATAATGGTTAGTGTCAGGAGTATTATGCTTAAACTTAGTATGTACCATTGAAAATATTGATGATTTTTTTTAACATTTCAGGCTTGCTTTATTTCGCATATTGAGTGAGCAAGGAAAATGTTTGCTAGAGTTTGAGGAAGAGGCAGGTAGGTTAAACAGAACAATACTGTTCATAATGTTTGTAATATCTGTATGATGCTCAATGTAAATTGAGCTGCACATTTCACACCATAAAAGAAAGAAGGATATTTTATATCATTGAATAAGAAATACTGTATGTTATATTTTCATGATAATAATTGCAAACCTAATTGTATGTCTCATAATGAAATATAAATTTGATATTGAAATATGTTTGAACTTCATGCTAAAAATTTTCAAGATTCACATTGTGTTTTCCAATATTTCCACAATTTCTGATTCTGTTTGGAATAAGAATAATACACCTTCCTTTGAACCCAATCTAAAAACAACAACACAAAAACACCTGATATGCTAAAATATGTTTGTATTGTTGTTTTTGGTTGTGTCTTGTGTCACACCAGGACAGTAGTATAGATAATATGGCGGCTTTTCAGATTTACTGATATAGGAAGGCCTCAGGGTATTATTCCAGAGTAAAACCACCAATGTTCTGTAAGCTAGCTAGATAGCTTCCTGACATGAAAGAAAGTCCCTTGTGGTATTCAAACCCACAGCTGTGAGTGGCCAATGTTTTGAAGTCAACAACCTTAACCACTAAGCCACTGACACCCCTAAAATATGGTATAACTTATTTTTTTCTTCCTCTGAAAAGTGCCACCTTTAAATAATGTATACCAAATGTGTTTTTGAGAAGTAATTCATGTATATACTGTTTTTGTATAAAGGCATGTTTCTGCTGAGCTGGATGCCAGAAGTGATAGTATGCAGGAAGATCTGTGATTTTCTACCTTTGTTGATAAGTGTGGTCAAGTTTAACGCTGCATACTTAGATGAGGAGGTTGTTTCTGGAATCATCAAGTAAGACTCTGTGATAAATAATTCCTGATTTTACAATATTTACCTCCCTTGCCAAAAGTGACAGCTATTTCGGGGCTAATCTAATGTTATTGACAAAATGTAAAAAAAAAAATCAATAAAAACAGTTGATTTACATTAATTGTCACATTATTTTATACATATTCAGCAGAATATTATTATAGTACAAGATTTTTATCAGTTTTTGTGAAGATGGTAGAATTACGAGAGATTTTTTTATCTTATCTATTGGGAATGACCCCCAATATGACGGAAAGGGGAGATAATAACTGCTATGTGAAAAGCATCTACGTGTATATTGTAGTCATGGAGTTTGATCAATATTATTTTGTTTTGAATTATTTGACATGTATCCATTTGGGTCAGTATCTGGGATTTATAAATTTACTCTGGTGATAAAAAAAAAAGAAAGAAACAACAAAAAAAAACAACGAAACAAACATCATGTGTTTGTAGCTTGATTTATTAGAGATATTAACTAAAGTAGAATTGTTTTTAAGAATTATTCCAATGTATGAATGGTAGAGATAATTTTTACAACTGATCGTTTCATTGTTAAGTAAACAATAATATTGTTGCAAGTGTTCGTTTAAGTTTTGAATAAAGCATGGACAAAATAATTTTTGGTAATTACTCTCTATATTGATTTGGACAATAAAATGTTAAGATTTGTAAATATCTTATTGCAGACAGACATGTGTGATTTGTAACAGACCAAAGGTAGAAGATCAAGTATTTGATGATGAAATTAAGGTAAAAAATTCAATTAATAGTTCCTGTGTTAAAGCTTTGCATGTAGTTTGCTATTAAAAGAATGATTTATAACTTGCATGAAACTGGTTACCATAAAGTGTGGCTGGATAACTTAAGACAGGTTAGTGTTTTAAGTAATGTTTTTAAAGTTTTAAAACACCAAATTATTAAGTATTTGGCGACTACAGTTACACCAAAGTAAGAATATATTCAGGGTTTTAATTCTACCATAGTGCATGCCTGTGGATGAAATAATGCATGGAGAAGAATCTTGGAAACTTTCTCCATTTGTAAAGCTACAAAGTTGTCATATGGCCTCACACTTGACATATGACCTCACATTGTCCGTGTGACATTAAAACACGTCCTGTGTAAATTAAATGAAACATGATGTTTTCGATGTCTAAAATGTTGACATGTTTTTAATTCATTTTGATTTCAGTTAAGTTTGGATCTGATTGCGTCAGTACTTGGTTACAGCTACTTGCCTTCCGATACGCTACAAGATGTGGTTGGGTCCTTATGTAGAATGGTTAATATTCGAAAATACTGTGAACCAAGTTGGGGGGTAAGTTTACAGATTTATGTCAAAGTAGTGCTTATGTCCCTTACAGTTTATGTCAAGTTGTTTTGTGTTATATAAAAGGGTCTTCATAATCAAAGAGTTAAGGTACTTCACTTCAAATAACTTGACTACCAATGTACTAGCTAGCTTTCAGAACCCTTTACCTGCTGAATTTGTAAAATGGATTTTCCCTGCTTTGAAATTTTGGAACAGTCCATTTGAAGTTTAAGGGATTTAATATCAAAAATACAATAATCGAGCTACCAATATTATAGAGCCTGGTCAGACAGCACTTTCAGTTTTAACAGGTAATATGTTACATACGTCTTGATATTTCTTTTTCAGTTGATGAGAAAATTGTTAGGGACACATCTCGGACACAGTACCATATACACCATGTGTAATATGCTACAATCTAGGTAAAAACATTTATCTTGTATTGCATGTGTGTGTCCTTAACTTACTGAATAAAGTAAGATAACAAAATACACATTGTATTGTTCATTTGTTACATGATAAAAGTTTCAGCCACTCTTTCTGAAATGATGAATGGATCAAGTGTTTGACAGCTGTGCAACCTCTGTTAATAGTCTCCTCTGAAAACACATTTTCCAAGAATCACAAGGCATTTATTTCACTGGCTTTTTCAACAAGCGAGTTAATGAATGTATACGAATGTTTGGTTTCTTGTGATTGTTTTCTTGTGAAACCTCAGTAGCTGAATGGTAAAAGACACTTAATTTGCATCAATGTGCCCCTGACTGCTGGGTTTTCATATCCTTCAAGGGGTGTTGAATACATTCATGCAGAAGGAGTGACTGGTCCGTTCCTCAAGCATGGCAGAATTTCTCTGTGCTAATAGATCTCAAACGTTGTGTTAAATGTTTATCTGTCACTGCTGATTCAGAAAACATGTCGGATTAGTACCATTGTCAATCACTTGTAACAGAGAAATTGCAGAGAAATTGGTTTTTATTGATAAGTTATCCAGGAAAGACGGTTGGGCAGATCAAATGCAAAGATCACCCAAAATGTGTTAAAAGCAGCATAAAAACCAGAAAACAAACAGAAAGATATCTAACTGGCAAAATGTTGTTGTTGTTCTTGATTTGGTGATTGTATCTGTAATAATTTCTATAATAATACACAGATAGGAGATATGGTGTCATCCTCCATTAGTAAAGGTGTTACGTCACCATGTGAGCTCAACTGTTTTGACTTGCCAAGACTTTAGAAATACAATATGTTAAATAAAGCTTACCAACTCAATAACATGTCATGAAATTTGAATACTGTGCTGTAAATATTTGTATATATTGTTACTTTGTATTACAGAAAACAGCCTATAGACTATACATTACTGCGTGGTGGAATATTCTACATTGGAATGGCACTATGGGGCTCTAGAAAAGTGGCGTTTCTCAAGCATACCCCAGCTGCTGTCCTACCTTCATTTCTTCATGTATGTTGAATAAATTTAATTTAGATAATTTTTTTCCTGTTTGCTTCATAGAAATTGACAGACTGTAGATTTTTCCTTGTGAGAAAGCTATCCAGCTAGCTTACTGAACGTCAGTGCTTCTACTCTGGTGCCAGTCTGTGCCTGAAATAAAGCACAGAAGGCCATCCTAGGTCCCCCCTTCCCAAAAAAAAAAAAATAAATAATTATATAAATAAATAAATAAATATATTAATTAATTAATTAATAAATAAATATAAAAAAATAAATAAAAAAATAAGAATTAAATATGATAAAAAAATTCTACTTGAAAAATGCTGTTTGTTTTCAAACCACAACAATCCATTTCAACTCTTGATTGTGCAAGAAGCCCATGCAATGATATTAAATTAAGTTACATATTTTGCTATATTACAAAATTACAAAATATTTTCAGTGTTTCTTCCATTAATATACATCTCTGCTTTATATAGTGTCCCTACAGAGTTCACTGTCAATAGAAAGCAGTATTATATAATATTGATTATATTGTAAGTTCGTGACAATAGACTGTGCTTAGAAATAAAAGCCCAATATAGTTAGTATATTATATGATAAAGTATTCATGATAATTAGATTTGTTTTAAAAGGAAGCTAAGGCCAACCTTAAAAAATTCCTTATTTTGAGTTACACAACCCACTATTTTTTTAGGTGGGTAGGTAAACATTTTTTTGTTTCATCTTACTTTATAAGATTTCAAGATTTCAACACTACTGTATATGTAGAGATGTTACTCAAACAAATGCTTGGTATGTTCAAGTAATGAATTTGAAGATAAAGTTAAGTTGCAGCAAATTTCATGAGTTGCTCGGGTACCTCCAAACAAGAAAATCTTGAAGGTCAGCCTAGTAATTTCAATGTGTTCCTATTTGAATAGTTGTTGGGAGGAACTTGCTGAAACTTACAAATTAATTAATTAGCTGATGTATTTTGGGTACTGATATAAATTCTTTCAACTTATTGATTGTGAGTCATAAGTTAGGGCAGTTAAACCTATACATTGATGTATATTACATTTTTACTGCTTTGAAGAGGTTAAAATGTACATGTATTTGAACAGATTGCAGTTATAGCACTACAATCATGAGGGCCATATGTCTGAGTGATTTATGTTCAAACCATCTCAATAGTAAAAAGTGTAATATTGAATGATAATGCAAATAAAATTTATATCATAGAAAAAGTAATCATTTGAAATTTTGATATGATGATTAAGAACCCTGATAGAATATTACTGATAAAATTGGATATATATCTGTAATATTTACTGTGAATTCACTTAATTTGGTGGGCATGAAATTTCGTGGTTTTGTCAAAAAAATTGTTTAAGGGGGTTCTTAGATATATGAATTGTCTGTCTTGCAAAAAAAAAAAAAAAAAAAAAATACAATGCAAATAATGTAATAATATTATTCATACAGAAGACAAAACAATTTTTTTGGGACCTTGAATTTGTGTATTGATGTATCAATGAAAACCACTAAAAAATAAGTACACCATGAATAATGATGATTTTGCAGTATTAGAGATTGTTGTTTTATTTGACAGGTTAGATTTACCTGTCATGATTTTGCAGTATTAGAGATTGTTGTTCTATTTGACAGGTTAGATTTACCTGTCATGATTTTGCAGTATTAGAGATTGTTTTGTTTTTTGAAAGGTTAGATTTACCTGTCATGATTTTGCAGTATTAGAGATTGTTGTTTTATTTGACAGGTTAGATTTACCTGTCATGATTTTGCAGTATTAGAGATTGTTGTTTTATTTGAAAGGTTAGATTTACCTGTCATGATTTTGCAGTATTAGAGATTGTTGTTTTATTTGAAAGGTTAGATTTACCTGTCATGATTTTGCAGTATTAAATATTGTTGTTTTATTTGAAAGGTTAGATTTACCTGTCATGATTTTGCAGTATTCAAGATTGTTGTTTTATTTGACAGGTATTATCATCCGGTAATGCTATGATTGCGTATGAAGTGACTCTGTCTGTTCAAAGGTTGGTGAAGAAATACGGGAAGGATCTCCCAGGATCAACATGGGATATTATCCTAGACATTGTAGAAACTGTACTTAAACAGCTAGATGTAAGTGAGAATATCTTGATATGAAATTTCTCGTTTGAACGTAACTTGTTATAGCGGATTTGTGCAATTTTAGACTGTTTCTTGTTATATGGCATCTTTTTGCAATTTTAGACCATATGGAACAGTCTGTATGGCTGTTTCTATCATATGCAAATAGACCCTTCTCATTTCTGTATAAATAAGCATCATATGATAACAAAACCAGAAAGAAAGGCATCTTTCATCATGCTTATACCAACAAAAAACGATAAGCAAATATTGGTAGTTACATCTTCTCCAGAACTGATAATCTAAATATTTAAAAATCTCAACAGCCAACAGGTGATTCTTTTTTTGTAATGTTTAGTAATGATTAAATATAATTATGCATTTAAAAGATAGTCAGTTTCTTATGGACACTTGCTTATGGATAAAGCATCCAATTACACTGATTGTTTTCAAAGGTTGATTAATTTGTAAGAAAATATAAATTTTTATTACAGCACATAGAAGTAGATTTTAATAAGTTACCTGCTCCATATGTATGGGAATCTATTCTTTCTATGAAAGTGTGGGCTTTATATTATATTATTTCTTTACATAAAGTAAAAAAAAAAAAAAAGAAACCCAGTTATCTTTATCTTTTAATTAAAGAAGATTTCTGTAATTGTTCAAAATATCCTGGGCAAATACCCTGTTATTATAAATATTATAATTGATGCCCTGTCAGTGAAAGAGTTATTACTTTTGAAGAGGGGGGAATAAGCATATCCCCAGGTAAATAAATAATGAAATTTTCTAGCTTTAATTGTTTAAAACAACAGATCTTAGGAGATGAAATATGTGTATGTTCTTATTGAGAACCCAAGTAAATTGTAAAAATGCTAATCTCATAGATATGATCATGTTTGTCATTGTAGACAGCGAAGGACTTGTCTGGTCATCCACAGACTCCGGTGGAACTTCACGATACTCTCACTACTATAGAGCAACTTCACGAACTCGGCCAGTTCTCAGGATCAGTGGATAGATTCTTTACCATCATAGAAATGTGTCCAGCGAAGAGACCGGTATACCCTTTTTAAACAACAGTTTTAGAGTTGTTTTAACGGTAGTTGTATGTGGGACTGCATTTTGATTCAGACGCTGAATCATTAATGAATAATGATTAGAAATTTTTTTAATATTTATCCATGAATTTAGTAATATTATAAAATGAATTTAATCACATCTAAAATGGTTTCCATATCAACCACAATTAGCAATTTAGATGCTAGTGGTCTAAAATATTGGATTTTTTTTTCTTGCGAAATAATTTTGTTCAACCCTTGACTGTGAAAGTAATTCTGGCATCATAGTGAAGTGATGCTACTTAAGGTGAAAGTGATAATTTTACAAGAATGCATATTTGATATGTAAAGAAACAATATTTTTATGTGTAGTTTAATGTCATGATTTTTCTGACCGACCTCATGTTTAACTCATACTAGGACCAAATTGGCATACTTGGTACATGTACAGTCGAAACTGTACTAACGGTCACCTCTTATCGGCGGTCACCTGACCTTAACGGCCGTTAACGAACGACGAAAACCACTCTAATTTATACATCTGTTCAACGGTCACCTGCTGTCCGCGGTCAACGGTCACCTAAAATGCTTCCCGAATCTTAAAGTCGGTCATCTTAAGCGGTCAGCCAGGTGAAACGGCCAGGCAATCTTCTGCGGTCAGCCAGGTGAAACGGCCAGGCAATCTTCTGCGGTCAGCCAGGTGAAACGGCCAGGCAATCTTCTGTCATTTATTTTCAAAGATGACACGTGTCACGGATTAACAAAAGCTACTTGTCAGGTGCTAGATATTAACACAAACCACAACATTTTAAGAAGTTTGCATAATTGCTCATCCGTGTCGTAATTACAAACGTTTGGAACGTCTCAACGCACTTGCAATTCGTTCTTTTGAGTTACTGTACAGTACGCTAGTTTTTTATTTTTCAATTTACCGATTTTAAGAAAAAAAGAAAGAAGAAAAAATGCATTGTCGATGGCAGAAAGAAATTTCAGTTTTTTCCGATTCAGATAAATTTTGCGCGTACATGGTACTTACTAAAGAAATGAAAATGAATTACATCGCCGATTGTCTAAATTCCTCAGTAATAAATTCATAAACACATAACACTTGCTCCATGTGTGAAAATAAAAGTGCATGAATATAATGAGGTCACTGTTAAATCACACCCATTAAGTTTACACACTAGATGACCTCTAAGAGGTAACTAGCGGTCTCTTCAAAGGAATCTTTGATGACAAACCTGTAGCCCTGCTGTTTCAATCCGAAACATCAAAGGAAGTGCCGACACTTAGATGACGTGTACACAATATTCTATTGATCAAAAGTTAGAAAAAGAAACTGTCATACTTTTTTTGTGAAAAAAAAATTACGCATTTTAAATTATTGTGCAAGAAGATATTTTTATGGGATAATTAGTTTCAATTATTGACATAATAAATCGTGAGTGCATTTGTTTATCTGTGTTACATTCATGTAAAGCTTTATATGTTGGAAGGATTGTGTACATGTTAAACCATTAAAAGCATACCTTTGTAACCTGTTGATAATGATGATGATGAATCAGACTGGTTTATTTATACTTAAATTTTACAAAGAAATGAATAATTTATTTGGATAAAAACGGGATCCTCCATTCAGCAGCCACCTGTCTTAAGCAGCCAAAATGACTGCATCCCTTGGCTGGCTGCTTAAGACAGTTTCGACTGTATATTCAATTTAGACTTTGAAATGACTTGAAAAATAAAAGTTTACTTGCTACTAGGCATTCATTTAATAAGATTGCAAAACTTTAAAATTAATTTTTGTAGTTGATGAAATACTGACATTATAATAATAACATAGACAATGTTTGATTTTACAGGAGAATTCGGTGATCCTTTTGATATCTCATCTTGTACAAAATATAGATCCTGTCAAAGAGAGCTGGATCAATAACTTGTGTCATCTTCTAGATAGATATTTTAGGTAAGTTTTATATCATTAGACATAAGAAAAAAGTGGGGTTTTATTTTGTGTAAATTTGTGTTCATGGGTTCTTTAATTTATTTTATTAAATCTGAACTTGGTGATTTGAGTTTGAGTCTGTCTGTACATGTACACTGACAAAACAGTGGAATGTGAGCAAAACTGAATAGGGATAGAGGGCCATCTAACTGTAAACAGAACAAAAGAGGACAATAGAGTTGATTCTGTATCAACAGAGTTAGGGGCTATTGGCACTCTATAGAACAAAAGAAAATTAGAAAAGAATGGGGTTATTCCATTTTGGCTGGACGTCCAGGCATCTGTGTCCTATTGACACATTTTTAATTGGTTTTGATACTGAATATTTTGGTACTTTAAACATAAAGTAAATCTACTTAAGAATTTGATATAATGGAGGTCTACTACAATAATATAACCGACTGCAGGCACACAGTACAGTAATTATTCCTTGTAGCTGAAGTGTGATATTTATTGTATACTTTTACCTGGGGATTTGAATGTGTAATATAACTCAGTTTTGTCTCAGAGTTATTGCCCTTACATAATGTGTAAGACATTCAAATATACATGTGTTGTGTATTTCAGAATTGAAGGAAGAACAAAGATTCGGTTAAAAGCATTAGATGTCTTATCCTTTGTGCTCAGTATTAATAAGCATTTATATGAGGTATGTTGTTGCTTGTATTGTTGTTGTTTATTGTGTTGTCCATGTTGATGTTTGTGTTGTTGTTATGTTAGTGTAAATGTTATTGATAGTGATGATAATTTTGTTGATGTTCATTTTAATATTATGCTGTTTTCCATGTTGTTGTGTATATTTAGTGGTTTATATTTACTTGATTTCAAGATTGTTGAAATTTTTCTTTATCCTCGGCCTGTACTTAAGTTTTCATTACTGGCTTTTTAAAGGAGGAAACATGCTTGTAGTCAATGGATTATTTAGAGAAATTTATATATATCTATCATTGTCTTACATTAATGATAAAAATATGTACTAGCCAAATTTAACCATAACAGGTGCATTTATAAAGTTGTGTGCTATTTTTGCATCATTTGACAGTATATGATGAAGATAACAGGATAAATACATGTATTAGTTGTTCCCTTTTACTTTAAACACAATCGTACATATTGACTATGTGTAGCCGAAACAAACTCTTCTCAAAAATAAAACTGTTAACTAAGCTAAAAACCATAGAAATCCTATAAAACCTGAAAACTGGTGAATACCAGTGTAGATACAAACACCAACTTCAAGTAATCTCCTAGAATCGGGTATGTAAGATTCTGTTTGACAGCCAAGCTGAAATGAATTTGTTGAAACTAAAGTATGATATTGTTTGTATGATAGGAGGATCTCATACACCAAGTAGTATTACCACATCTGTGTCATATTGAGTCAGACGAGAACGTAAACATCAGGAAGTGTTCTGTAGAAATCCTTATTGGTCTTGCTCAGGGTTGCTCACCATCTAGTTTCCTAGATGTCATAAATGTTGTTGAGAAGGTATGTATGGAGTTTTGTTTTTGTTCGTATTAAATTTATAACTCACTAGTATAGGTAGATCAAACCCTACACAAAAGGGGTGTGGTGGCCCTGTGTTAAAGGTTTCTGCCTCTTAATTCAGGGATCCTTGGTGCGAGCCCTACTGGGATCACAACCTTGTTTTTTTCATGTGACACCAGAACTGGTAAGTTCCATGAGACAGAATTGCAAGAAGTGTAGAGAAGCTTAAAGCTTTTATTATTATCAAGTTTAAATAAATGCATTATCAAGTTTAAATAAATGTATTATCAAGCTAAAATAAATGTATTGTCAAGTAAAAATGAATAAATTTAAACTAATCTAAACAACACCTGATTAACTTTGTCTGGTGTGTTTCTTCGAAGGAAAAAAGCAAGTTAGTACTAGTACAAATCCATGACTACATCCAAAGTGAATGCCTGCCATCATATGACTAAAAGTATTGTTTATGTTGTATATAAGCCAAAGTAAACAAACAAACTAGGATGATATTCCGAACATGTTAACACTTTTGTCTGGGTATCATTCATGAAAGGACTTGCAAATTTAGTAAGCAACTGTTTGCTTATACTAAAAGAAAAAACTACAAAAATGTACAAATACAACTTCTCATTTTTTCAACATTACAGATTTTGAATTGTCCATTGGTTGGGCGTCATATATCACCATACCAAGCTGTTGACAGTCCGGAGGTGATTATAGATGAGTCACATCTTATAGATGTCAAAACAGCCGTTGTATTATTAGTAGATTTATTCAAGGTATACACTTTATTATAACATGTAATAATATTATAATTTTAGTTAAGGTTACTGTTATATTGATATTGTTTAATGTGAAATGCTTCCAGATGATTTAAATCTTGAACAGTTTAATTATTCACATAAATCTTCTATATTGATATGTTGATACCCTTTTGTTATATTTCTTGGACCTATGTTCCTAGACATCAGCCCATTTTACTAGAAAAAGAGAGCATTTAATTCATAATGCAGGGATTCCTTATTTGATCTTGGGCAAGACGAAATTTCTATGTGATAAATGACTGTGAACATGGACATATTTTTCACATCATCGATTCAAATATCATACAGAGTTAGTATTCACTCACTTGTGGAGAAATTTGTATTTACTGGTTAGTTATCCAGGTAAACTGGTCAAGATGAATGATTGCTGATAAATTACTCAAAAATGTATTAAAATTGGTGTAAAAACCAGACAAAGCAAACACTGTCATTAGATGGGGAATCAGGTTGATATGGTTGAGGCCACTGTGACTGAACACAGTGTTACCTTCTTTTTTATGCCCCCACAATGCGGGAGCATATAGCGTTGCACTTGTCCGTCCGTCCGTCAATCCGTCAGTCCGTCCGTCCGTACGTCCCGAAATCTTGTGAACGCAACTGCTCTTAAACTGGATTGCAGATTTTGCTTAAACTTACAGGGATGAACAACCTTAATGTGTAGATGGTAGTAAAGGAAGGAATTTTTGCTGCAACCAAATTTAACAGAATTATGGCCCTTTGTTGATTTTTTCACTAGATACTATGTAGAAATTTTGTGAACGCAACTCCTCTTAAACTGGATGGCAGAATTTGCTTAAACTTACAGGGATGAACAACCTTTATGTGTAGATGGTAGTAAAGGAAGGAATTTTCGCTGCGACCAAATTTAACAGAATTATGGCCCTTTGTTGATTTTTTCACTATATACTATGTAGAAATTTTGTGAACGCAACTCCTCTTAAACCGGATGGCAGATTTTGCTTAAACTTACAGGGATGAACAACCTTCAGGTGTAGATGGTAGTAAAGGAAGGAATTTTCGCTGCGACCAAATTTTACAGATTTATGGCCCTTTGTTGATTTTTTCACTATATACTACGTAGAAATTTTGTGAATGCAACTCCTCTTAAACTGGATAGCAGATTTTGCTTAAACTTCCAGGAATGAACAATTTTAATGTGTAGATGGTAATAAAGAAAGGAATTTTTGCTGCAACCAAATTTAACAGAATTATGGCCCTTTTTTGATTTTTTCATTTTATACTATGTTGAAATTTTGTGAATACAACTCCTCTTAAACCAGATGGCAGATGTTGCTTAAACTTCCAGGGATTAACAACCTTAATGTGTAGATGGTAGTAAAGGAAGGAATTTTTGCTGCGACCAAATTTAACAGAATTATGGCCCTTTGTTGATTTTTAGTTTTCAACTTGTGGCACATGTAGTCCAAAAAATATTTGACCTAGAGTCATAAGATTGACAGAACAGTGGCGTGTGGGGGCATCCATGTCCTATGGACACATTTCTAGTTTATATACAGTAAGGCCATACCTTTAGGTTTGTAAAAAGACAATCATGGAACACTGATCATCATTACCATAATATTTGTATTGTACACAGAATGTTCCTTTTATAATTGTATATGAAATGATATGTATTTTTTCAGAGCAAATTGTACACATATCCACCAGGGATATGTGTGAAGTTGTATGATTTATTACTTACACATCTAAACTTACACTTTATGGAACCCAAAGATTACAGTGGAAACACTGCAGGAGCTGTAAGAAAAACAGTAAGTAGAAAGATGTATATACAAGAATGTTTAATAGTATCTGAAATAGTGTGGTTGTTTTTTATCACCTTATGTTACTTTTTCTGACCAAATTGTAAATGTCATTTTGTGTTCCATAGGTGGTCATTTATGAATAGGTATAGTCCAATACACAAGTTGGTTTTTGTTACAGATATTTTCTATATGTTTTCTTTGGCTGACGGTTAAATTATCAATATCATTCTGCATTTTACTGACCACTGATCAAATGCAACAGGTTCAAGTTATGAACAGGGAGCATATATTGGAAATTCTTGCCATTGCTCTAAATACTGAACATTAAAACTAAAAAAATTACCACTAATACAGTTTTTATTGTAAATGAAGAATGTGTCTGTGTTATATTTAGCATGCAAAAAAAAGTATCGGTATTACTCTCTTTTTGTTTCAGATAATAGAATGTTTACTAAATCTTCGAGCGGATGTTTTTCACAGGATTGGGATGTATGATAGACAATCAGATAAACCAGCTAGATACAGTCCCTATGTTACCTGTGATAGGTCAGTTATAACTCATTCAACAAGTTCTATAATATTGACAAAATCAAACTTACTAGATTGGGAAATCAGTACATCATTTTGTTTTGTTCGGCATATTAATAATATGTATATTTTGTAAATGTGTTTTAGTCACATGCCCAAATAGGTCCAACTTTTTTGACTAGTAAAACTTTTCCCTCAAAGGATTTAGAAATTTTAAATAATTATCCTTGGCAAAAAACTGGAGACTTGTGAAAGATTCCAAATGGATTGAGCTTGAATACGCTTCTGCAGAAAATTCATCTCTACTGGGGAATAATAATGTACATGTAGGTCGAACAACATGTAAGCATGCTTTGCGTATACAGGTGTTTGTCATAGGCAATTATGCATTGATCAATTATTTAATGATCAAATTCTTCCTGATAAGGAATTAAGAAAATTCATGCAAAATGTTAATTGTATACTAAATAAATACATATTGTGAATAAATTTATTTGAGATTTGAAACAAATTTAAAAATGTGTTTAAGGAATGAAAGGAGTCCCCCTAGAAGCCCAGTATCTCCAACACCAGTGATGCCACAGTGGGTAACAATATCATACCTAGATTATACCAGAACCTTCTCTATCTTCATACAGTGTCTGGAAAATGTAAGCTTTTTAGCTCGACTATTCGATAAGAATAAGTAGAGCTATTGCAGTCACCCGAGCGTCGGCGTCAGTGTCTGCGTCGGCGTAACCACTTATGTTAAAGTTTTTGTAATAGTTCAAATATTTTCAAAGTCCATTGACATATGGCTTTGAAACTCTGCACACTTGTTCACCATCATGACCCCAACCTGTAGACAGGAGGAGGTAACTCTATCAAGCATTTTGACAGAATTATGCCCCTTTTTCGACTTAGAATTTATGTTAAAGTTTTTGTAATACCTCAAATATTTTCAAAGTTCATTGACATATGGCTTTGAAACTTTGCACACTTGTTCACCATCATTACCCCAACCTGTAAACAGGAGGAGGTAACTGTATCAAGCATTTTTATTTACTATCAAGCACTAAGAATAGTCAAGCGTTGCTGTCCTACCGACAGCTCTTGTTTATTAGTCCCCTACCGGTTTAACCGGAGGGGACTTTAGGTTTACCCTCCGTCCGTCTGTCAGTCCGTCAGTCTGTCCGTCCACAAAACTGGATCCCGCGATAATGCAAAAAGTACTGAAAATATTTTTATGAAACTTGATATATGGATAGATGGCAGTATGGAAATTATGCACATCTTTTTCTTTTGTTACTATGTTGAAAATTCTGGTTGCTATGGCAACAAATAGTCTGAAAATATGGCAAATTTAACACATAAACTGGATCCAGTGATAATTCAAAAAGTACTGAAAATATTTTTATGAAACTTGAAATATGGGTAGATGGCAGTCTGGAGATCATGCATATGTTTTTCTTTTCTTCTTATGTTGGCATTCTGGAGATCATGCATATGTTTTTCTTTTCTTCCTATGTTGAAAATTCTGGATGCTATGGCAACAAATAGCCTGAATTTCAAGATTTCTGATTTTAATTTTTCAGCTTTTTCACTGTAAGTTCTTTATTTCTTAAGGTGTTTACTTCAAACTTTAAATATAAGTTTCTGGTCATCAACCACATCATATGTGACAAGGTTTACAACTCTAGCACAAAAATTATCAGTATTACCTCCCTTGAACTTAGAATTTTTATGAAAAAAAAATGTCTTTTTTAAATAACTTCTTTATTTCCTAATGTATCTACTTCAAACTTCATATATATGTTTCTTATTATCACTCAACATTTTTGAGAAGGTTAAATACTCTAGCAAGACTATTTCCAGAATTATGTCCCCCTTGAACTTTTTTTTTGAGAAATTGGTATTTTTTACTCCAACTTCTTCATTCCTTATAGGATTTACTTTAAAATCCCACATCGTAATAATATGACAAGGTTGGTTAAACATAATTTCCTTACTAGGCAGGGAAACTTAACACATTACTGTGATATAGACAAACTTAGAACTCAAAAGATTTAAGTTCATTCATGTCATTCATTCACTGGTAAAATTGAATGGCCAATGGCCCATCAGAATGTTGCTGTGGTCCTAACCGGTAGGGGACTTATGGATTGCTTGCAATACTATGATAATTGCTTGTTGTAATTCATTTGTATTTATTCTCTTATTAAAATTATTACTGTACCATCTTGGGAGAGCATCTGATTTGTAATCAAGGAGTTACTGGTTATGCCCCTACAAAGTGGGGAGCATATAGCGTTGCACTTGTCCGTTCGTCCGTTCGTATGTCTGTCCGTACGTCCCGAAATCTTGTGAACGCAACTCCTCTTAAACAGGATGGCAGATTTTGCTTAAACTTCCAGAGATGAACAACCTTAATGTGAAGATGGTGGTAAAGGAAGGAATTTTCGCTGCGACCAAATTTAACAGAATTATGGCCCTTTGTTGATTTTTTCACTATATACTATGTAGAAATTTTGTGAACGCAACTCCTCTTAAACCGGATGGCAGATTTTGCTAAACTTCCAGGGATGAACAACCTTAATGTGTAGATAGTAGTAAAGGAAGGAATTTTTGCTGCGACCAAATTTAACAGAATTATGGCCCTTTGTTGATTTTTTCACTATATACCATATAGAAATTTTGTGAACGCAACTCGTCTTAAACAGGATGGCAGATTTTAATAAAAGTTCCATATAAAAATCTTACATACAGATATGCATGCTCTTGTTTACGAGCTAATCTGCACAGTGGGGGCATCCGTGTCCTTTGGACACAGTTCTAGTTTGATCCTAGGACGAGGCAAAATTTCTCATTGACAATTGATTTGTAATCAAGGGGTTACTGGTTTGATCCTAGGACAAGGCAAAATTTCTCATTGACAATTGATTTGTAATCAAGGAGTTACTGGTTTGATCCTAGGACGAGGTAAAATTTCTCATTAACAATTGATTTGTAATCAAGGAGTTACTGTTTTGATCCTAGGACGAGGTAAAATTTCTCATTAACAACTGATTTGTTGCTGGATAGATCGTCGGGCAAGTGAAGTTTCTCTGTTACAATTGATCACAGACATTAAGACTTATGGTCATTAAATAATTTTTCTCCAACTGCTGATTCAGAAATCTTTCTGGGACTAGAACTCAGTCACTTGCGGAGAAATTATTACTGGTAAGTGGTTAATAATCCAGGAAAGCAGGTAGATGGACCGACTGACAAGGTATGGTGTGAAATGTTTGAAAATTGGCATAAAACCAGACAAACAATCATTAAGCTTATTCTTCTGTAATATATACATTATTGGATCATTCTGTCCACACTACTTGGGAATTGACAGAGTAGTAGAACATTGCCAATGAATGCATTAGGATACAGGTTCGGATACACTGACTTGACTTTGGTGAAGTTATCCTGCTAAGCTTACATCAGCAAGAATATATAATAAGCATAGTAGGATCATCTTATTTCTCTTGATTTATTTAACTGATAGTCTAGTGTGTGCTCAGTTTCTAACATTATCTTTACAGGAGACAGATTGGGAAGTGTTGAAGGGGGTATTAGAAAATTTGCCTGTGTTGTTACAGAATAAAACGATCATACTGTCATCAACACAGGCAAATCTGGTAGACCTTCTGTGTAGCAAGCTTTGTGCCATGGTAGGTATACCAATATCAAAATATGCTTGTAATATGGCAATTTCATGACATAATGGTTATCCTTATTGATATTTTCGAATTATTTATCTCCCAGAAGTTTGGGGTTTTAAACCTCTGGAATTGAATTTATTTTTGTGAGAAAACATCAAAATTATTAAAAAGAACATTGTTTGATAGCTTGAATATTCGAAGAAAAGGGAGAATAATTGTACTCACCCAGGTGACGCTGTCACTTTTTGGTTTAGTTTTTGCGAGAAAGTTGGTATCTCCAAAATTATTGAAGGGAATAGATTGACTCTTCAAACTTATATAGATAGCATAAAAGAAGGTCACTTTTCAAGGCTCATAACATGGATTTTGAGAATTATGGCCCTTTTAGAACTTAAAAATTCTACATTATCAAGGCTCTTGTTTTACTTTCAAGCACTGAGAATAGTTGAGCAAGCAGTTCTACTGACAGCTCTTTCGTATTTATAAGAACAGATCACATTTACTAGTTCACTGAGAGAGGAAAGATTATTCTATCGACAATTAATAAAGATATGACTTGCATCGTAAAATTTCTTAAAGGTAAACGATAGACAGCTTCGTTTCCCGGAAAAACTAGTTGGAGCTCCGGCAAAATTGACCAGATCTGACTTCCATGCCTATGTTTTCCCTGTGCTGGCTGCCATGGTCACATACCATAATTATTTAGACAGAAATAGACAGGTAAGTCTTTTCTGGAAGCATGTTTTGGTTAAATTGCATATAGAGTTTTGTTTTCATTGGGTTGTCAAAAAAGAAAAAGATTCTTTTTTTTGCAAAGGTTTTCAAGTTTGCCAGTTTTATATCTGTAATAGACGATCAGTATTTAAATATTTTTCTAGCTTTTTAGATGTTTTTTTTTTTCTAGGCAACTTATGATTTATTCTCCAAAAGAATTATGCATAACATTTTTCTTACAGTATTTAACCCTTTGCCTGCTGGCGGCAAAAGTGACCTGCCTTTGTCAACAGTATAGAGCCAGGCTCTATACTGGTGGCTGACCATCTTCAAGTTCTTATCTTGATATCCCTAAAAATGATAATGGATACTTCCAAAAATGGAAGTTGGAAAAGTCAATTTAAGAAATTCAGCAGGTTATGGGTTAATACACATTTTTCAGATTATATTATGTATGTTTAGGCTGAAAAAATGATGCATGACTGAAATTTTAGAATTCTGATTTTTTTGTATTACAGAGGGAGTTAATAAAGTGTTTAGAGTTTGGAATGGTATCAAAGTTAGCTAAGTCCTGCGTGAATGCACTACGATTGTGTACGTTAGAGATGCAGGAAGTGATGATGAGGTTACTTCCCTTGGTGCTTTTACAATTGTCTAAAATCTCGGCTACCATGTCCATGGCAATACCAGTGCTCGCATTCCTGTCTAGTAAGTAAATCTTGATGATAAGCTATGTAAATTTTATATTCCATTCATTGATAGCTTGTATAAATTCAACTGTTGTGTTGCATTTTCTTCTTAAAGAAGTATGCCTTCAGATTTGTGTTAATTTTCAAGAAAAATTTAATATTATTCTAATTTGTTCTCTCCTTCTCTTGATTTACCTGTTGTATTATTCTAATTTGTAAAAATGTTGTCATGTGTACAAGTTAATTAAGAGATTGATTTAACCCAGTTTAGTACAGTTATAAATACATGAAGGTGTAGTGACTGACAATTGGTTAAATAAGAAGTTCTAATCAGAATTTTGCTACACCCTTTATTATTATGAATCTAAATCAGCAACATTTTCATTGTAACAGAATGCTTTACTTCACTATACTTATACAATAGACCTGTCCTTTTGTCATTTAGTTTAGTTTTTAAAATTCTTTCCTTATAATCTTATCAAGTAGAGCTTTTTAGGACCTGTTCATATTCCACTATCAAGAAGTTATAATTGTTGAGTGCACTATTTTATGGACAGCTTTTGTTTAAATGAGCCGCGTCACGACAAAACCAACATTATGCGTTTGTGACCAGCATGGATCCAGACCAGCCTGCGCATCCGAGCAGTCTGATCAGGATCCATGCTGTTCGCTTACAAACCCTATAACAAGTAGAGAAACTGATAGCGAACAGCATTGATCCTGATCAGACTGCGCGGATGCGCAGGCTGGTCTGGATCCGTGCTGGTCGCAAACCCATTATGTTGGTTTTGTCGTGACGCGGCTCAAATATTGTAAAGGACATTATGGAGATGTTTTATTGCAGGTATTGTAAGGCTGCCAAAGATGTATGCCAACTTTGTAGAAGATGAATACATGAGTGTATTTGCCATTGCATTGCCATATACAAACCCTTTCAAGTAAGTTTTATGAAGAGGTAGTAAATTTATAAGCTGTATTTCTTATATTTCTTAGTGATTATGAGAATGTACCGAGTTATGATAAAAACGGCTCATAATTAAGTCAAACTTTATGAAGAATGGCATCACTGTGGCATCATTTTTTTAATTAATCAAATAATAGCTTTAATGTTTAAAAGCTGTTAAACTTACTAGTTATAAATTCTCATCTACCGGATTTAATTTATAAGATGATCATGAGGATTTGTATATAGTGAGACAAGAAATTTAATTTAATACTGGTGATATAAGATGCAAGGTGTTGCCAATTTCAATACAAAAAAGTTTCTCTCTAATTACAAGAGCTTATAAATTTTTGACATTATATTTGCACAGATTTTTACATGGACATTTGCCAATATTTCATTAGGCTATATCATCATTGGTATTTGAAAGAGCACTAGATCATTTCATGACAAAGATGAAAATGTATCCAAGAAAAACAATTTGCTTAGAGTTGTGTGCATAAATCTCAAACTAAGTTCATGCCATGTATTTTCAATGCTTTAACTGAAGACAATGTTTTTTGAGAAAATATTTTTGCACACATATGAAAAAAATTACATTTACTTGATTACAGGCGGCATATATATGAACTATAAAATGTATTTTACTTTAAGGTTTAGTCATTACACAGTGTCATTAGCTCATCATGTGATAGCAATCTGGTACATCAGATGTAGACTTCCCTTCAGAAAAACTTTTGTACAGTTTATCCAAAAGGTTTGTAGTTTCTGTTGTGTATATTTCACTGCCCTTTAAATCCCTTCCATTAGAATCTCATGAATAAATACCACTTGAAACTGACAAGTTTCATTCTTGCGCTTGCATTGACTGTATTGCATGTATGTGTGTTGATGGCGGAGAATTTAATTAGTAGAATGGTAAGGTTTTTGAATTTGTATCACTGGCCTCTCACCACAGTGGGTTTGAATCCCACTTGGGACTTTGGATGTATTTATGTCCTTGAAGCTATTAAGCTAGTTAACAGGTTGATGGTTCTAGTCAAATGCCAGCTTGTGCACAGAGGGGCACCTGAGGTCTTTTACAAACAGGAAAGATGGAAAGTTGTAATACAACCTTGTCAGTGTTCCCAACCAAATAGAATTAAAAATAAATTGACTATGTGTAATAAACGCCTCCTGCTATTTATTCTAGATATTTATGCCCCCATTTCGAAGAAAAGGGGGTATATTGCTTTGCACTTGTCGGTCTGTCGGTCCGTCGGTCCGTAGACCAAATGGTTTCCGAGTGATAACTAAAGAACCCTTAGGCCTAGGAACTTCAAACTTGGTATGGTGATTGGTCATGACCAGTAGATGACCCCTATTGATTTTGGGGTCAAGGGGTCAAAGGTCAAGGTCACATTGACCTTGTAAGCAAAAACGGTTTCCAATCAATAACTAAAGAACCTTAAGGCCTAGGAACTTCAAACTTGGTATGGTGATTGGTCATGATCAGTAGATGACCCCTATTGATTTTGGGGTCAATGGGTCAAAGGTCAAGGTCACATTGACCTTGTAAACAAAAACGGTTTCCGATCAATAACTAAAGAACCTTAAGGCCTAGGAACTTCAAACTTGGTATGGTGATTGGTCATGATCAGTAGATGACCCCTATTGATTTTGGGGTCAAGGGGTCAAAGGTCAAGGTCACATTGACCTCTTGGTAAAAACGGTTTCCGATCAATAACTAAAGAACCTTAAGGCCTAGGAACTTCAAACTTGGTATGGTGATTGGTCATGATCAGTAAGATGACCCCTATTGATTTTGGGGTCAAGGGGTCAAAGGTCAAGGTCACATTGACCTTGTAAACAAAAACGGTTTCCGATCAATAACTAAAGAACCTTAAGGCCTAGGAACTTCAAACTTGGTATGGTGATTGGTCATGATCAGTAGATGACCCCTATTGATTTTGGGGTCAATGGGTCAAAGGTCAAGGTCACATTGACCTTGTAAACAAAAACGGTTTCCGATCAATAACTAAAGAACCTTAAGGCCTAGGAACTTCAAACTTGGTATGGTGATTGGTCATGATCAGTAGATGACCCCTATTGATTTTGGGGTCAAGGGGTCAAAGGTCATGGTCACATTGACCTCTTGGGTAAAAACGGTTTCTGATCAATAACAAAAGAACCCTTAGGCCTAGGAACTTCAAATTTGGTATGGTGATTGGTTATAACCAGCAGATGACCCCTATTGATTTTGGGGTTAAGGGGTCAAAGGGCAAGGTCACATTGACCTTGTAGGTAAAAATGCTTTCCGATCAATAACTTAAGAACCCTTAGGCCTAGGAACTTCAAACTTGGTATGATGATTGGTCATGACCAGCAGATGACCCCTATTGATTTTGTGGTCAAAGGTCAAGGTCACATTGACCTTGTAGGTAAAAACGGTTTCCGATCAATTAACATAAAACGCTTAGGCCTAGGAACTTCAAACTTTGTATGATGATTGGTTGTGACCAGCAGATGACCCCTATTGAGTTTTGGGTCAAGGGGTCAAAGGTCAAGGTCACATTGACCTTGTAAATAAAAAACGGTTTCTGATCAATAACTTAAGAACGCTTGGGCCTAGGAACTTCAAACTTGGCATGGTGATTGGTCATGACCAGCAGATGACCCCTATTGATTTTGGGGTCAAAGGTCAAGGTCACATTGACCTTGTATGTTAAAACGGTTTCCGATCAATAATTAAAGAACCCTTAGGCCTAGGAACTTCAAACTTGGTATGGTGATTGGTCATGACCAGCAGATGACCCCTATTGATTTTGGGGTCAAGGGGTCAAAGGTCACATTGACTTTGTAGGTAAAAACGGTTTCTGATCAATTTACTAAAAATGCTTAGGCCTAGGAACTTCAAACTTTGTATTATGATTGGTCGTGACCAGCAGATGACCCCTATTGAGTTTTGGGTCAAGGGGTCAAAGGTCAAGGTCATGACCAGTAGATACTTGATAACCCTTATTAATTGTTTGATCACTGGGTCAGAAGTCATGCATAATAACCTTATCACATGACTAATTGGCTGCTGATAGGGGGCATACATGTTTTATAAACATATCTTGTTAAAATGGACTTGTCCATCTTTCAATCTGGACTAATCTATTCATCATTTTAAAGAAAATCTCAAAATAAGTACTGACTGAAACAGTGCAAACAATGTAAACAAATGATCAGATGGCAGGGATGTTCTGGCTGATCTTGGTATGCACTGATAGCATGGGTAGCAGGCTGAATGATGATTTGAATAATTTCTGTATAATATCATTTACGACTGGACTATGGTATATAGGATATATAGGTTAATATGATTTTAATTTCTGCCTGATGTTGTGTTCAGCTGGAATGCAATAAATGAATAATTGACATTATAATGTATTGAAGTCTTGATTTTACACATTTATATTTTGTATTTGCAGGGATTAAGAGCTAATGTACTACAACAGTTTGAGGAGAATTCGAGACTAGCGTTACAGAACCAGAATCAGGACTCCAGTGATAGAGTGCGATCTGGTAGCTACAGCGAAGCCGCACTAAGAAGGTCTGTGTCTATAATCTGTCAACTTCTAAATACTCCTGTAGAACTTGAAATAGATTTCCTTTTCATCATTATAAATTTTTTTGTAATTTTAAGTCCCTTTAAATTACTTAATATAAAGTTATAAGGTGTTCAGAGAAAGTAAAATTGTCAAAATGAAGAATCATGTTAACAGATAAATGGAAAGAAAGGTATTTGTACAAATACTCAATTGTCATTAGATCGTCTATAAGATTTATCAAGACCTTGTTTTGTGTGATAAGAATTGCAAGCTTTGAAATCTGTAGAGAGAGATTTTGCTATTATAGTGAGTGTAGCAAGGGGATATCATATAGACTGTATTGCTTGGCTTTGAGCTATCACACTAGGATTGGAGATTAGTGTTAAGATAAAAAAAAACCATCTTAAGATTGTTAAATTTTTTACCAAGTTTAATATGGACGAAACAGATCAATTTGATGAAAATTTTTGCCCAGAAATTGATTAGTTTAACCATATTTTATTTCCTATATACATGCAAATATACACACAAAATAGAAACAAAAGCAAATGTGTTAGGCAACAAGTTCTAACAACATTACATAAAGCCCTTCCCAGAATTTGATTGATGCAACACTTTAAAGCGGATGTAGATTTTAATTGAGCCGCATCACGACAAAACCAACATAATGGGTTTGCCACTAGCATGGATCCAGACCAGCCTGCGCATCCGCGCAGTCTGATCAGGATCCATGCTGTTAGCTTACCAACCCTACTACAAGTAGAGAAACTGATAGGGAACAGCATGGATCCTGATCAGACTGTGTGGATGCGCAGGCTGGTCTGGGACCATGCTGGTCGCATCCCATTATGTTGGTTTTGTCGTGACGCGCCAGCTCAATTATAGTTATAAGAGTACAAACTGATCTGCTGAAGTAATCAAGTTAATTTTAATATCCGGCTTTTCTCCAATCTATGAATTATTACTGGGTGTAGTCAGATAGAAAACAAATTCAGCTTTTTCTGCCATTTTCATTACCTGATTAGCCTAGGCCTGAGTTAACAGCTATGCTATATGTAAATACAGCTGCAAAAAGATTCTGCAGGTGCTATATGGAGCAGTTATTTTTTATTCTTTCAATAATACCGTGTAATACTAGGTTGGTCTTACTTGATAATGTAAAGAAAATATATGAGAAAAGGATGACAAAGTCCCAAGTTTGAGTTGTTAGTATAATTTATTTTTTTCCATGATGATAGAGTTGAATGAAGTTATGATATTTCCATGATCCCGTGCATATGTAAATAATATGTGTCAAGAAGTTGGCAGTAACTTAAAATTAAAACACTTATTAAGTATAACTTGATAAATAAGCTGTATTATATATTAAATAATAATGCTGATAATATATATAGGATATTGAATGAGAGTAGATTTAATACTTATTTTATTGATTGAATAATATTGTTTTATTCAACAAGTTCAATAGATTTAGTATTAAATCTATACAAACATAATATTCTGTTTATCACATACATATTTGAAATAAGAACGGTTTACAGATAAAAACATTTTTAGTTGACCCGACAATAGTGTAACACTAACATTAGCGCGCTATAAAGCTATATGTTTGTATATAGCACAATTGGCATCATGTCAAAGTGTTATTACACTAGTGTAATATCGTTTTTATTAACTGGGTTTATTACACTTCTGCGCCTGTGGTTTATGTGATAAAATAATAAACTAAACGTTATGCTTAATTGAGGCTCAGAGGATTAAGGAAGAACCTTCACATAAAAAAGTTTTAAAAAAAGAAGAAAGAAATACCTTCTAAAAAGTAGTCAATAATTTTTCTGTTATGTTTTATTATTTTTATCTTTTTTTTAAATTTTAATTTTAAAATTAAATTTAAAATGGTTTTAAATTAGGGTTTTCCCTAATTTTTTTGAAATTTTTGTAAAAAACTTAAAATTTGATTTATTATCACAATTAATGCTTTTCTAGGGATGTGAAAGAGATACAACACAAGAAGTATTTCTACACTGGTGTTGTTCATGAATTATTTTGTTCAGTTTAGCATGCCTGTATATTATATCAAAATGAATAATAGAAAAATAGTAACAACATGAATTATCTCCCTTTGTGTAATGTAACTCAAAGAGTTGATGCATTTTCGGCTGGTAAATAATTGAACCCAAAATGCCCATTTCAAGACAAGTCATGGAAGTGGGATTTTGTTATACTTAACCTTTTACAGTATGGAAAGTGAAAGTTCTATTGATCTTGTATAAAAAAGTGAGTTCAACTTCAAGACAGGACTTTTGTGTGATGGTTGTGATGGTGGACAATAAAAATATGTCTTAAATTCATTCTTCCACCATTGTCTTTCATAGTCATATTTGTGGAGCAATAAGTTACTGCTCTAACAAAAAAAAGAAATGAAATAATACACTAGTTAATTGTAACTGATCTCCTCACTCCTTCGCCCAGCTCCCCCCTCCCCATTGGCCCCTCTTCTAAGGGGATAGTGGAGAATCAAGCTAAGTTACTACCTTTTATTTCTACCTTCACCAAAATAATGGGAGACTTTTTACTAGTATTTCTCCATGCAGAGGCACTTATTGAGGATTTTGTCATCTGACTGTCTCTGTCTTGACAGTTTGTTAGTCAAAACCCCCTATTATTCCCCAGTTGTTGGGGCTTGTAAGTCAAAACCCCCTAAAAAAAACCAGTTGTCAGGGCTGGGAACTCTAGCTGGATAATATTCTGCTTGTAAATCCTTGAATTGTTACTAAACTGGTGCTAAAGGCATCAAAACCATCCCAAGTTATGGATAAGTATTGTAAAAGAAGTAAAGTTCTGTTTAAAATGTTAGTTATATTCCTAAGAATTAATTATTGTAATTTGTAAAGCACAAAAACTTGACTGGCCGAAGCTTGTGTTAGTTAGTTAAAGAACAAAATTAAGTCATTGAATTTCTCCCATAAATATAATTGTTGTTTGTCATTGTTGTTTATAACAATATTGTTGATGTTGTTTGGATATTCCCTGTCAAGTCTATACAAATCATTTTCTTCCCCGAATATCACCTCTAGCAAATAGTAATATTTTATTATTTACACTGAAAGTGATACATTTAGTTTAAAATATGTGTGCATAAATTGCATATTTTTAAATTGCTGTGCACATTACCAATTTACCAGTATGAGTACAGCTTTTGCTTCAGAATTATTGTTTTACGTATTGCTGTCGACAGATAATGGACCTTTCCAGTGTTTACAGTTTTATGTAGTCTTACTACTGGATCACATAAAGGAACAAATCGTTTTGCACGTGATACTGTTTCTAAGCAGTTGACCAAGCATTGAATTGAGAAGGCGGGGCTAAATATTTTACTGCAAAAAAAATAAAATGGAACAGTCCATTGTTTGCATTGTTCGAAGTTATGGAATCAAAACAAACGGACAAGTGTATGTTAACCTTTAACCTATTGTCCACAACTGAACTTACCCATGTAACCAGTGCAGACCAAGATTAGACGACACATTTGTGCCATCTGATCATGGTCTGCTTTGTTCCCTATAAAATGATAAATGGTTCTGTCCAATTTGAAAAATGGATGAGTCCATTTCAAAATATTTAGCATGGGTAAGGGTTAAATGACATGTTCATAATGTTTTGAATGAGTTATATATATGAGACTACTGTTACAGGCTAAGACAAGGGTAAAGTATTTTTTTCTAGACTTATAGATGCATACAGCTAGAACCTTTGTGGTGTTGTTGTTTTTTCTGTATTATTATAAGTGAATGTGTTGTGTGATGGAAATAGAGATATGTTTTAAATTAATAATGTACACTGTGATTGACCATCAGGGCTCCAAAAAAAAAATGAATATATAGCTTTCAGTGATCAGTCTAAAGACAGAATAAAAGAGCCTGATTGGCATGGGTCCTACACATCTTTTCACAATTAAGAAGTAAGGGTCAATGGCAAAATTGGGGTAGGAAAATTGAAAACATACATATTTTTTCCAGAATGGTACCAAGCAATGTGTTTAAAGCTTTTTTGCGTCAGAAAACCATAAAATGTATTGGTATTTGTTAACATTTCATTGTTTTCATTCCATTTCGCATTTATTTCCATTTCACACTGTATTAAGGTTAAACTCAATGATGCATTAATTAAGGATACTTTTTTTGAATCACCTGCCCATTATTGGTTGAGGGTTGGAATCTTACCAGACCAGAGATTTTGACCACTAATATTGGGAAGAAATTTTGCTTACATCGAGAAAGTTTGTAGATTAATCCACAGTAGGATACCTGGGGTCTTTTATCTGGTTAGAAATTCTGGAAAGTCACTAAATGACTTGAATTTGTCCCCCTGTAATAAGATCAGTATTAAATGATTGTTGATTGAGTGTAATATTTCCCTATGAGTGCTGGTGTTTTTATTGTCTCATTTATATTTGTGAGCTGTTTCATTTTTTGTTTAGATATGTGTTTTATATTTACAGCACTTGCTAGATTTATGTTGACACTATGTACACTGTGTAACTGGATATGTACTTTAGCTACTAATTTCCAACTCCGCTTTTCTGACAGCTTCTGGTGGATAATGTTTTCTGGACTTGTATCTTGGCTTCATGTGCTTTAAATTACTATTATATACCTTATAAATGCATGCAGCTTGCATATATATGTTTGTATATATGTTAATACTGCAATCATTCCACGACTCCATGTCTTGAACATAATAATCATTATTATATGTTTTGTATCTGCGGGATATTGCAAACAGTCCATGACTCCATCTCTTAAAAACAATTATCATTATTTTATTTTATATTATACATTGTACCTTGATATAAAGACTCATACAATTTATAATAAATCATATCTTTGTCAAGGTTATTAGGAGAACAATTGAAAAAAGCATGGTTTTTATGCCCCAACTTAGGGGTAGGCAGGGCATATAGATTTGCCCTTGTCTGTTCGTCACTCTGGTCTGTCTTTCTGTCCACCTTTGGACTGACAATACAGTGGCATGAGGGGGCAACTGTGTCATATGGACACATTTTTCATGTTTTCTCTTTTTATGCCCCCGGGCATATAGTAATTGAACCGTCCGTCCGCCTGTCCGTACGAGGTTAACCTAGAACGGCAAGTTGGCTTTTTCTTAAGTTCTACCTGTACCAGTGGCTTCTAAGTTTACACACTTACTAATCAATACAAAGTACATGATCTGGTCAAGTTACATAACTATGGCTTTCATATTTACCAAGTAATTGCCCTTTTCAGCACTTAGAAAATGAATAATTTGGTTAACCTAAAACGGCAAGTTGGAAATATCTTAAGTTCTTTATATACTAATGGCTTTATAATTTCCACACTTACTTATCAATACAAAGTACATGATATTGCCAAGTTATATAACTGTGTCATCCATATTTCCCAGTTATTTCCCTTTTTTCGCTTTGAAAATAGGGCCTTGTCTGGTTAACCTATTTCGGCAAGTTGGATTTATCTTAAATTTCTCCTAATTGCTTAATTTCTTTCATTATTTCTTTTCATTTGATATCTTTCATATTTAGTAGGTGGATACCTTTGATGGTCCTCTAATTTTTTGTGGAGTAAGCGGTCTCTAGGGTCAAGGTCAAGGTCACTGGTTTAAAAAATAAATATAAACATTTTTGCTCATACAGCCTTTATTTTTAGCTCACCTGTCACAAAGTGACAGGGTGAGCTTTTGTGATCGCTTTTCGTCCGGCGTCCGTCCGTCCGTAAACTTTTACTTTAAATGACATCTCCTCATAAACCACTAAGCCAATTTCATCCAAACTTCACAGGAATGTTCCTTTGGTGGTCACCTTTAAAAATTGTTCAAAGAATTTAATTCCATGCAGAACTCTGGTTGCCATGGCAACCGAAAGAAAAAACTTTAAATATCTTCTTTTAAAAAACCCAAAGAGCTAGAGCTTAGATATTTGGCTAGTGAGTGTCTACCAAGTTTGTTCAAATAAAAGCCCTGGGGTCAAAATTGGCCCCGCCCCAGGGGGTCATTGATTTTCCCTATATGCATATAGTAAAAACTTAAAAAACCTTCTTTTAAAGAACCCAAAGAGCTAGAGCTAAGATATTTAGCATGAAACATGTTATAATGGGTGTCTACAAAGTTTGTTCAAATAAAAGCCCTTGGGTCAAAATTGGCCCCGCCCCGGGGGTCATTGATTTTCCTTATGTGTGTATAGCAAAAACTTAAAAAATCTTTTTTTGAAAAAACCCAAATAGCTAGAGTTTAGATATTAAGCATGAAACATCTTCTAGTGAGTGTCTACAAAGTTTGTTCAAATAAAAGCCCTGGGGTCAAAATTGGCCCCGCCCCGGGGGTCATTGATTTTCCTTATATGTGTATAGCAAAAACTTAAAAATCTTCTTTTAAAAAACCCAATGAGCTAGAGGTTAGATGTTTAGCATGAAACATCTTCTTGTGGGTGTCTACCAAGTTTGTTCAAATAAAAGCCCTTGTGTTAAAATTGGCCCTGCCGGGGGGGGGGGGGGGGCAGAGGTCATTGTTTTTATTATTATGTGTGTAGTAAAAACTTAACATCATGAAACATCTTCTAATGGGTGTCTTCCAAGTTTGTTCAAACAAAATCCCTGGGGTTTAAACTGGCCTCGCTCCGGGGGCCTATATACAGGTGAGCGACCTCAGGGCCATCATGGGCCTCTTGTTTCTCTTTTTTTTACTAAAATTCTCTTTGGATTTTTTCTCTTTAGTTTTCATCTCTTTAGAATTAAAAAAAAAAAATCATCTCTTCATAGGCCATGTCATTGTTCTCCAAAATAGGATTTAACTAATATTGCAAGTGTGTTGGATAATGGCGATTGGTATTAACAATTTTTATGCATGTAATGTTATATACATGTTATTTTAGTCTTAAAAATGTTAAGAATTGTAATAGTTTGCATATATGTCGCCTGTATAGAGATAGGCCAGATGGCATTTCATTGCAGGCTGACCAGACTCTATACTACTTCGCAGCTCAATTATTGAAAGCCCTAAATATTACAATGGGCAGTTTCAAATTCAAAGTAGGGCAAATCCATTATATAACTTAAAGTGGTGACAGGGTTTGTCTGGTATTGCTATATTGTTATATCTCCATAATTATTAATATCTCCATAATTATTAATTAAGAAGAATGATGGCTGTTGGTTTTTAACACTTTCTGTGAATTTTACTACATTTTGGCTTTAATCTTTTGGATGTCTGATTCTATATTCTGATATCTGTTCTATATATTATATTTAACATTAACACATTTAAAAATTATTTTCTTGCATAGTGCATAAAATTGAATGACGTTGAGGGTTATACTAAGTCGTACGTGTGGAAGAGCTATTATATATTTTTATATGTGTAATTTACATTAAGGCAATTGTTTTGTCTAAAACATTTGAGTGTACATCGTTGAGCATATATTTTTGCTTGTGAGGAGAAAATATGTGAAAATTGTGTTTACATTTTTCATTGGTGTGTGTTATGATTAATAACAATTAAAGGCCAAAAAAATTACTTAAGGTCCCCCTACCAACCTTCTTTTGGTTTGGTAGGGTGGGAGCTAGAAACATTTTTTTTTTTGGCCTAGGGTAAACACAGTAACGTACTGTGATATATTTAAGTGACATTTTTTCTATAACAAATTATGTAATATTACAGTCGTAGAAGAATGCAGTCTGGTTCTGCAGTGCAGCGAAGTGAGGTGAATGCCCCCATGGACGGGAAGTTGTCACAGTTTCACCGAGAACTGACGGAGACATGTACAGATGTTATGGCGAGATATGCTTTTGGAAACTTCTCACCTTTACCACATAGGTTTGTATGATACGTGTTATGATCATTTGTTTAGTAATACAGTCAAACTTTTGTTTAAGACCACTTGTGAATAAAGACCGACCACTATTTGACAACACTTCTGATTCAATAGACTTGGGTAACCTCTAAATAAAGACCACTGTCCACGATGTTTACTCCTTTTATGGCCTTTGTTCACAGTTTTAACTGTAAATTCTATTCTATTTTTAAAATATAAAAGGTATGAACTTTGTATTGTTTAAATTGGTTTTAAATTTCTAAATTTTGAAAATTACTATAAAGATTATATAGTTTAAGACTCTGACTATTAACATTTTTCTTAAACCATCAGATCTAACATGGCCGAGTTCCTGTTAGCTGGTGGCCAGTGTCAGTCGTGGTTGGTAGGTAACAAGCTGATCACAATTACAACCAGTGGCAGTGGCAACAAGAGCGCTAACTCTGGTGTCTGTGAGAAATGTCTGGCAGCTTACCAGGCCGTTGAACAGAAGGACCAGAGAGGCGGGCGTCGTAGACATAGGTCTGCGGTGGTCTTTAGTCGAAGTTCGAGCACGATGGAGCCTGGATATAAGTCAAGTCAAGATGATTTTACTGTTCAGTCTAAAACAGCTTTTGATGACATAGATCTGGACTTGGCAGGTCAAGATGTTGGTGTACAGACTGGATCATCTCTCAGCGATGGCAATGTCTTAGAAAATGAACCATTAGAATCTCTCATATTAGGTAGGTTTACAATCTACATATTACATGAAGCTTGATATTTCATTGAGGAATTAAAATTGAATGTGTTTTCGTAATCTCATTAACTTCACAGTTTTAGCTTGACTTTTTCTCTAAGGAAATTTAGGAAAAAATACAGGTATTGTTACAGTCATAGCAGTGGTTCGGTTGCCATTACCATCTGCAAATATTAACCTTGATCATAACTTTTTAAGTTCTTGGTGTATTGTCTTTATACTTGGCCGCAACAACCTTTGGGAGAGAACCATCAGAAAGATCAGACTAAACTTGACCTTCATTTATAAATGACCTTGACCTTCAAGGTCAAATGTCTAAATTTTGTTTGATTTTGCTGTTAATGGCTATAAGTGAATATAAAACATTTATTTATAACCAGTTTTAATTAGTTAGTCATAGTTGTGGTACTCAGTACTTACTTAAGCTGAAGAATTTTTATTTGTAATTTAATAAGATCGTTTTCAGATATTTTGTTTATTAATAATGTTACAGGTATGAAAAGTTCCGACCCACGGCACTTGCCGCTCAATATTTGTAACTGTTGGTGTACCAACTGGGCAGAAATCTACATCCGAGCTCCTAGTGGAAATCTCTCTTGGATGATGAGAATTGAAAATGAAGCAGGACTTCTCAATCTTTCAGATTCCCAGGTTAGACAAATGAAGTTGTTTTGTAACTGTAAAATATTTTTTTATATTTCTTGTCACATATAGGTTGTTCGTGATTTTTTTACAATATTTTCCGCCCTTGCCAAAAGCGGTATCCATTTTGGGGGTCAAGATTCTATAATTATAATTGACAAAATATGAAAAAATCAATATAAAGGGCTGATTTATGTGAATTGTCAATTTTTTTTAATACATATGCAGCAAAATATTATTATAGCACCAATATGTAAAAAGATTTTTATCAGTTTTCATGAAGATGATAGAATTATTAGAGGTTTTTATATTAAGCATATGATATATTGGGAATGACCCCCAAAATGGTGATCAAGGGAGGTACATGTAATAATTGCTATGTGAAAAGCATCTATTTTGCTTGATCAGACATTTTTATGTTTCTTTGATACCCCTATGAGTGAAACTATAACAAATAAAGAAGAGTAAAAGTGACTAATTCAGGCATCTGATTGCTAATTTGTCAGATAAAAAATTTCTTTCAGATTAGAATTCCTCTGTCAATGTTAGGTCATATGCTTAAGATTAAAATGCAACTGTCAAAATCTGTTATTTGCTTTGTAGATTTGAACCCAACTTTGAGCCCAACTGTCAAAGTTTGGTAAGATCATATTCAAACTGCCAAATATGAATTGAAGATTCATGCAACATTTGAAGCAGTAATTTATTTGTTTCGGTGCTATAATTTCAGGTTTCTGACATCACTATGCTGTTTGCATCTATGGGAAAGAAACGTAAGCCTGACGTAACACGGCAGAGTCATAGGATAGAGAGTGGTAGTATAGGAGAAGAGGAATATGAAACCTTATATAAACAACATTTTGAACATAATCTCAAACATGGTATATATAGCTTTTATATGTTTCCTGTTTGATTTTAATTGTGCTTTTAAGTTACACAACAATTGGTCATATGGGATGGTGTGTCCAGCTTTACTGGTGGAAGAAGTTGTCATGTGCCCCTTTATGCATAATTTCATACACAAGATAATAGAACCTTTAACCTATTGGTAAAAAACTAGCTTGATAGCTTCTTCGCATGAAAGAATCCAAATCCATGTCTGGATTTGAAAATACAGTGTCATGAGGGGTATGTCTTATGTGTTTCTATGACATTGACAGGAAATAATTTACCATGTATGCCCCCCTATGCAAAGAACATGGTGTTATGACTGAGTCAAAAGATCCTAAAACAGGTCACATGTTGACTTTTTAGCTCTTAGACACCTATGTGCCTCAGTATATTATTATGTTAGATGATTTTCAGCACCTTTATAGACCCATTAGTCTTTCTTTAAGCCAACTGGTGCCCTCATGTGATATAATTTAAGGTTATGAATGAAATTAAAATGTAGTGACGGTGAAGTGAGGCAGATTCTATCATCAACAAATAGCGCCATGTATTTATTTTGTTGACAAATTGTTTATTAAATAATGTTAGGTTAAAAAAAAATTTATATTGAACTTGAATTATTGTTTTCTTACAAAATTGAGTAATTAATAAAGTTAGTGATTTATATATTTTATTGTCTCTATTTTTTTTAAAAAAATTTTTGCGTAAAAGGTTAGTGATTTAGACTTCATTCATAAACCATGCTGATCACTCTTTTTTTCACCGTCAATTTCCAGACAGACCTGAAGTTTCAGCTGGCAAGTCTGAGTTACCAGAAATTGCAGGTATGTAAACCCTTTTTGTTAAGTTTATTCACAGAAATTCATATATTTCATTGTCTCATGTGATTTATGACATTCTCCAAGTAAAAGAAAATATGTAAATAATGTCTACTACATGAACAGTACTTCATTCTTCTATTAATTCATCATTTGAGCCACGTCATGACAAAACATACATAATGGGTTTGTGACCAGCATGGATCCAGACCAGCTTGCGCATCCGCTCAGTCTGATCAGGATCCATGCTGTTCGCTTACAAACCCTATTACAAGTAGAGAAGCTGATAGCGAACAGCATGGATCCTGATCAGACTGCACGGATGTGCAGGCTGGTCTGGATCCTTGCTGGTCGCAAACCCACTATGTTGGTTTTGTTGTGACACGGCTCATTTGTTATTTACCTTTTTGACTGATTGATTAGATTAGCTGTCAATACAGCTGAAGACTGGTCTTTAAATACAGGTTTAATTGTGTGCAGGTATATTATATTATAATGCTGTATATGTATGATAAAGACAAAATGTAATATTATATATATCTAACTTGCAGAAGTGGATTCATCTGGCTCTATAAATAGACCTGGAAGTCTGGGATTCATTGTCTCTAGTGCTGAAGAAATTTCAGACACCCATCAGGTAGATATGAATTAATTAATCTCCAAATTTACTTACAAGTTCCCGTAAGACATTTTGTAACGAAAAATAATCTATGGATAAATTTGTTCTAATATTGACACCAAATTTATTATGTGGGTAGCTTATATCAAGACGCAACTTGGGATTGCTACCCAGGTGTCTGTGAACAAGGTCAAGGTCATTGTTGCTTAAAAAAGAAATTCAGTTTTCATGTAACACTTTAGTTTGCTTTAAACACCATCTTGCTGTGTGGCAGCTTGGGATTGCCGCTTAGATATCTTGGAGCAAGGTCAAGGTCATTTGTTTACAATAGAATTTTCAGCTTCTACTCAATAACTTCAATAACATCAGTGCACTTTGACCTTTTGATGTCTGTCACATCAAAACTTAGTTGTTGAAAACCTGGTTTTGTTGCATTGCGGCGCTTCTTGTTCATTTATGTTTATTTCACAGGTGTCAGATGCTTTACAGATACCGTCTGCTGAAAGTGCGAAAAACCATGACATTTCTCCAGGCTCACTAAAGAGGTCCAACTCTTCACCATCGATAATGAGTGGCAGCTCTGATACTCTGTCTCCGCGGGACAGTATATCTGATATAGTCCAATTTGGACCGTTAACAAAGTTGGACAAACAGAAGCCTATTCCAAAATCTGTTGATTCAGACAAAAGTGATAATAATGATAAATCTTCCCGACCAGAAAGTGCCAAAATTGATTCTGAGGAAGTGAAAGAAGAGGAAGGTGGGAAAATTGTGAAATTCGATGTTTGTGATAAAACTGACGGTACAAGTGCATCTAGTTTAAATGTAACAAAATCTTCTGAAGAGAAGAATAATCAGAACAAAGCACCACTGCCAGCTAAGTTAGATCTGGGCAAAGAAGTAAGCACGAGCATGCCCAAGGATTTCACGAGTATGCTCACACGACAACTGAGTCCATCACCAGCGAGTTCGGACACATCGTCGACGTTTGATGAGGTTGGGGAGCTACCGTCGCAACTACCCAGGCATAGAGGTCATACTGTGTCAGTTGTCCAGCATAGTAATGCTAGAGCAGATAATGGTGTCCCTAAAACGTCAAAGGGCACTGGGTCAAGTGATAATTCAAAGGTGGGAGTCAGCCCGAGTTTTGTGTTTCTTCAGTTGTATCATAGCGGGCAAGTTCAAAGCAGCGATGTTCCTTTGTTACTGCCAAACAATGATGTAAGTTACTCATTAAGTTGCCTTTGTACGTATTTTTTACATATATTTTGATTATGGAAATATAAAAATTATCATTTCATTTCTAAAGTATAGGTATAAATGGAAACTATTTAAATTTTAAGTTTTCTAATGGGTTTTTAAATGTTTATGCTTGCCAAACATAGAATTTTGAAAGACTTCAATGATTTTGATATAAAACTATGTATGGAAATTTTTATATAAAATTTTGTTATAAAACTGTTTTAATATGGAAATTTTTATAGAAAACTTTTATTATTGAAACTGTTATTCCAGACCACAGAACGTGCCATCAAGATGTTAGATCATATTTATCCTTACGAGACTCACAAAATTGGTGTCATATATGTAGGACCTAATCAGGTAAGTTTGGGCATCTTTGGTTGAGTGATTAATGTTGCTTACTTCAAATATCTTGCCCCTTTGCTACTGTAATGTTCAAATCCTGCTGAAGTATTCTATCAAGCTAATTGAGGTCTTTCTGTACAAGTAGGGCTTGAAAGCTCTCATATGGCCTTTATCGTGTCAGTGCCACATAATCCCTATAGGTGATAAGGGTATATGCTTGATTATACTAAATGATATGATATTGATGATCTTTTAACATACTGACAAAATAAGGAAAGTTGAAAAAATACAGACTGTTTTTCTACTGCAAGAAAACGTTTTTGGATTGGAACTTAATAATTTGTCAGTGAGGAATCTTGTGTTCATAATATTTTGGAATGGAGGAAATATCATATTTAGCAATTTAGCATTTGTTACGGGATAATTAAATGTAAGATTTGTTAAATTTCATTTTGGTGTTTTCTTCAAATAAATGTACAAGTTTTGTTTATGTCACTATAGATAAGTCAATGTTTCCTTTTCTTACTTCATTTTATACAAAAGTAAATGTATAAACAGTTTATTTTGTAAATACATGTACATTGACAATCAAGTTGATATTAAAACTTTGGTCTTCATTTATTTCAATTATAAAATGGTATACACTTTTTTATTCCATAAATTTGTCAATGAATATTGTTTTCTTAATTTATTTCAACAAAAGTCAAAAGATGAGAAGGCAATTCTGTCAAACACGTATGGTAGTGATAGGTACATGAAGTTTATACAATCTCTCGGCACTTTGTTCCGGCTCAAGGACTGCAACCCACAGCATGTTTATCTTGGTGGTCTCGACACGAAGGGAAATGATGGAGAATTCTCTTACGGATGGCAGGATGAATCAACACAATGTAATCTTACGTTTTTGTTTCCTTCAACTTAACCTATAACCAGCTTGTATTGTAAGTTATTAGCATTTCCCATCAGTATAATGCCTGGCAGGTCAGCATCATCAGTACAGTCTGACTAGGCTCTATACAATTGGTAGCTAAAGATTTGTATTTTGTGAATGAAATCCCTTAAAATATCCATTGGACCATTCCAAATTCAAAGCAGGGCAATTTCCATTATACAAATTCAACAAATTATGGGTTAATTGATTAAACTGTCAATTACATTCTTCAGACATGATGTTAATAATTTTTAAGTAGAGTGATGTTTGATTGATTGTACTTTGAAAGCCATACAGTGTTTATTTGATATTTTTCATCTTTAACATTTTGTATCAGGATTCAACTTCATTGTCGGTTATTGAGAAGTTATAGTAAGCTTAAGGCCTGGACTATAAGCTTTTTAATTGGAAATGAGTTTTATATAAATTTATCTGTAAGATAATCAATCTTTTGTTATTTTGATAAATTACCTTATAATGATTTATTTCAGTGATTTTTCACATAGCAACATTGATGCCAAACAAAGACTCGGACCCGAACTGTAATGCCAAGAAACTACATATAGGCAATGACTATGTAACAGTTGTTTATAATGATAGTGGGGAGGAATATAAGATTGGAGTGATGAAGGTGAGTTCATATACACATAGTTACTTATCAATTAAGAGGCATAGATCCTTCCAAGATCATGTGGTCCAAGCTGGTTGACTGAAATGCTTGCTCCTTACTGCTGTGAGTTTGAATCTCACTTTGGACATTATATTTTTCCAAGTGTGAATCTTTTTGGCTAGTTTATCAAAAGGTTGAATCTTCACACACTCATTTTAGAACATAATAGGTCACTATCCACGATTTTGACAATATTATGACCCTTTTTGAACTTCAAAAATTCAACATTATTCAGGTTTGTCCTACCGACAACTCTTGTTATTAATTTTATCATATGTTTCTTAATTGTTAGGTTAATCTATACAAGGGACGTGTTTCTCCATGTAAAGAAGACACCTGTTTAAGTTTTGACAATGACAGCTATAAAGTTTATATATGATGATCTCTGTGCAATGTAAAAGTGTTATTGTTTTAAAAATAATTGGTTCTGAAGTCCAAATAAAGCTGTTAAATACATCAAAGTACCTCAATGTAAAGACCAAAGCGAAATGGGGTCTTGGTGGCCAAATTAATAGGAATACTGACTTCTTATTATTTAGTTTTTACAGAATTATTTTATTTTGATTGTATATGAGGCTGGTATAGGCTTAGTGAAACACTTTCAAACCTCTTCCTTAAACCAATCAGTAATGAGCAATGAGTGTAAGGAAACAAAGGCCAGCCTTTTACAGTGTTTGAACCTACACAACTAGGGAACCTTAGATTACTAGTCTAATGCATTATGCCATTAACCACTCGGCCACACTCATCTAATTTAGCACTGGCCCAGTGGCCCATGGCCAGTGAAAATTAGTTCAGGCCAGTGAAAATTTTAAGAAAATATGGTTAAATATATAGTAAAATAAATTCAAAACTGGAATTCGGCTAGTAAATTCAAAATCTTAAATTCATTGACTGATGACTGATATTGGCTGTCATTTCTTAATATAAAAGGATCGCTTGAAATGTATCCAGTGATGATCATGAAGGAAATAACCATTAGAATTGAATGATATTTACCAATATAAGTTCAAGTAAAAAAGTAATACACATCAATATTAAATAATATTTATAATAATTACTAAATTATTTGTTTTCAGGGCCAGTTTAACTATGTTAACATTGTTATAAAACCGTTAGATTATAACAGTAATGCTGTCACACTACAAGCTAAAGAAGGTAAGCTGTGTTTGCTTGAACTCTTCTATTAGCATGCTTGTTTATTCTGTTTTTATGGTTACATGCTTCTTAGTTAAATAACACAAAGTTATAAAATGCTTAGTTTAACTGTAACAATGAAATTTTCAATCTCGGGGGGTTTCTATTGCATGCTAGTTATACGTTAAAGTAATTACATTTCTAATATTTACGTCATTTATAATGCAGTGCTTGCTAAGAAAATTAGAACTATTATAACATGTTTGTGACATTTTGATGTGATTTGTGATAACTTAGAATTGATACATTAATAATATTGATTTTTTTTTGTCTTTTCTTTAAAGGGGTTATTTTTTTCCTTCTTTTGCGTGTTTATTTTAATGTATGTTGTTTCGTTTACCAGTATTAGATGGAGACTCTTAAAGTATGAACCTAAACCTTTAACTATGCATTAATTTTGACTTTGAAAGGAAGAATAAAAAAAAATATGAATAAATGAAAACAAATGGTGGGTCACCATCCTGTTTAAGTTATCTCCCCCTGAAAATGAGCTCACAAGCAAGGCACTTTTAGATTTTTATGACAATATTTCAAAAAAGGTCTACTTGAATTCCTTCTCCAGTGAAAAATATTTCTTTTATGATTACTTCCAGCACTGCTTTTGAACATACAGCATAGTTAGACAGGGTTGGGTATTTTTCTACAAAGTTCTTAATACAGCATTGATGTTGTTTCTATTATCGGATTGTATCAAATGAATAACAAATTCAAATCAATCAACTAATGAGATACTCATGCACTTATAAGTTACTTATAACTTTCTTTGTTGTAGTGCCCTTCCAGGACCATGTTACTGCAGGTATTACTTAACTTGATTAATTCTATGTACTGTTCAGAAATATTGCATTATTGTTCTGTAACTCTTACATCTTTCTCTATAGCATATTGAACTTTTTAAATCTCTATTTTACTGTGTTTGATAATGACTAAGTAGTTTTATGTATATAATTAAAGTTTTAATCCCTGCACAAGATTTTTGCCTATAGATCACTAGCCCTGCCTTGTTAAGAATATTTGACTGTAATTATATACAAAATAAAATATGTGCTTGAAGCTCTGTAAATGCTATTTGAAGTATGTCTGGCTGTAGCTCTGTAAAAAGCAGTACTTGTCTGAAGTTTTTGACCTTTGCACTGTTAAGAATATTTGACTGTAGTTATGTACAAAATAAAGTACTTACCTGAAGCTCTCTAGCTCTGTTTTGTGACAGTAGCTCTGTAAGAAACATTACTTGCCTGAAGTTCTTTAGCTCTGAACTGTTAAGTGTATTTGACTGTAGTTTATATAAAGAATAAACCTTAACCTATTCAGCTGTGCACTATGAATTATTTATGACTGTAGCTCTATGCCAAACAGTATTCTTGCCTGATGATCTTCAGCTGTGCCAATCTCAGTATATTTGACTGTAACTGTAACAAAACAGTTAATATATGCCTGAAGCTCATTTGTTATGCACTGTAAAGTATATTTGGCTTTAGCTTTTCTACAAAATGTATTCTTGCCTGAAGTTCTCCAGATCTACAGTGTGGAGCAATTTGGCTGTAGCTCTTGAATAAAACAGTATACCATAAAATTCCTAATAAACGCCCCCGGGGGCTAAGCATTTTCCAAAAGGGGGGCTATTATTACAACACAGTTTTTCCTAAATAAAAAAATCACTGTAAATACATTTAGTGTTAGCAAGTGCTGGTAATGACATTAAAAAATGTTATGGTTTTAAAGTTCATATTATACATATTTGTGTTTACTATAAAATACTATGGATTCTGAATGATTTGAATAAAATTATGACTTTAATTATGAGTTCAGCACTGATGAGTAGATTGTTTTCCCTATCAAAAGGCCTGGGGGGGGGCCTTTAGTAGGGGAGGGGCGTTTATTAGGAATTTTACGGTACTTTCCTGAAGTTTTCTAGATCTACACAGAAAAAGCTTTATTCTAGGTCTTTATTGTTGATTACGTTTGCCTGTAGCTCTGCAGAAAACTATACTTTCCTAAAGTTCTCTTAATCTTTACTGTTGAATATATTGGGCTGTAGGTCTGTAGAAAACTATACATTATACTTCCTGGAGTTTTCTAGATCTATAGTATGGAGTGTATTTGGCTGAAACTCTGTAGAAAACAATATTCCTGCCTCTGACTTGTGAAATTTACTTGGCTGTATCTTTGAAGAAAACAAATTGCTTGCTTGAAGTCATCTAGCTGTGCCCTGTGAAACATATAATGACTTTAGGACGTTTTTGGGAGTTTTCATATAGACATATAGGCAAAATTAAAACTGTTCAATAGAATTTCTTTAAACTTGGCATGTTGTTAGAATATGATAACAGAAACATTTTAAGCGAAAATAAAATTGGGGTTACGTTCTCGTGGTGACATTTATCTGGAAAAAATATTTTCAGTCCCATCATGTCAAAATACCTCAGTGGAGTCCCTTTAAGCTCTAAATTAAATAGAATACTTGCCTGAAGTCCACCAGCTCTGCATTGTGAAGTGCTGCTATGTGTTACGCAGAATTTAACTGGTTACTTTTGAAAAACTACTTTTGATTTTAAAGCTACTTAGTTTTAGAATGAATTTTTATGTCCTTGATTGATATAGTATATTTATTAAAAGTTCTATAGACCTATTTGACTATAATCCAGTACTTATATTAGACTGAGGGTTTTCGGGTTTGTAATAAGAAGTGTATTTTTATGAAGTTCTGTAGGGTTTATTTTACTATAACTCAGAATTAGACTGAAGGTTTATGGCTTTGTACTTTGTAGTATAATTATGTAGTTGTAGTTCTGTAGATCTGTTTGACTATTGGTCAGTGTTTGACTGAAGGTGTAATTGAAGTTCTGTAGCCGTGTATGTCTAGTATTTGGTGTATGACTAATATGATAACCAAAATGACTGTAGCTCTATATGTTTTACCAAAAATGACTGTAGCTCTTTATGATTTACCAAAATGACTGTAGCTCTATATGATTTACCAAAATGACTGTAGCTCTATATTTTTTACCAAAATGACTGTAGCTCTATATGCTTTACCAAAATGACTGTAGCTCTATTTATTACATGCTTTTCGGTGGTTTATAGAAATATATCAGTGATATAAAACTGGTAATTTCACTGTTTGAAACAGTGAAATTACCACTTTGATAATTTCACTGTTTTGAAGTTAAGCCCCTTACGTTGTTTCAGTGAAATACAAGCGTGCACAGTACTGGGTACCAACTTAATGACGTGACGTCGTAAATGACGTCATGTTGTATTATTATTTGGGGCGCTTTTCATTCAGTATTAGGTTAAATGTCTTTTTAAAACGTTTCTTAGCATATAATAAAAAGAAAATTTGTTTAGTTTAGTGTAAGATTGAAATATATTTCACCTTGTGAACACCAAAAGTTCATATTTCACTCGTGGCTGCGCCACTCGTGAAATATACCTTTTGGTGCTCAATCGGTGAAATATATTCCGATCTTACACTAAACTAAACAAATATCCTCTATATGTTTTACCAAAATGTCTGTAGCTCTATATGATTTACCAAAATGACTGTAGCTCTATATGATTTACCAAAATGACTGTAGCTCTATATGTTTTACCAAAATGACTCTAGCTCTATATGATTTACCAAAATGACTGTAGCTCTATATGTTTTACCAAAATGACTCTAGCTCTATATGATTTACCAAAATGACTGTAGCTCTATATGCTTTACCAAAATGACTGTAGCTCTATATGTTTTACCAAAATGACTCTAGCTCTATATGATTTACCAAAATGACTGTAGCTCTATATGTTTTACCAAAATGTCTGTAGCTCTATATGTTTTACCAAAATGACTGTAGCTCTATATGTTTTACCAAAATGTCTGTAGCTCTATATGTTTTACCAAAATGACTGTAGCTCTATATGTTTTACCAAAATGACTGTAGCTCTATATGTTTTACCAAAATGACTGTAGCTCTATATGTTTTACCAAAATGACTGTAGCTCTATATGTTTTACCAAAATGACTCTAGCTCTATATGTTTTACCAAAATGACTGTAGCTCTATATGTTTTACCAAAATGACTCTAGCTCTATATGTTTTACCAAAATGACTCTAGCTCTATATGTTTTACCAAAATGACTGTAGCTCTATATGATTTACCAAAATGACTGTAGCTCTATATGTTTTACCAAAATGACTGTAGCTCTATATGTTTTACCAAAATGACTGTAGCTCTATATGTTTTACCAAAATGACTCTAGCTCTATATGATTTACCAAAATGACTGTAGCTCTATATGTTTTACCAAAATGACTGTAGTTCTATATGTTTTACCAAAATGACTGTAGCTCTATATGTTTTACCAAAATGACTGTAGCTCTGCACTGTGAAGTATATTTTAGTGAAAATTTATTTAGTCTTATTAAATTAAAGAGAGTGTCTTTTCAAAAGTATGAATGGCTTTAAACAAATAGGTCACTACTGTTTGATTTTGATAGAATATGAGTAAGTAAATTTGAGTCTTATAAAAAGATTGTATTGACATGACAATATCAAATTAACCTGTCTTTGAGTATTTATAATATTTTGTTTACTTTGTTACTAATTAATACAGCAAAAGTTGTATAATAAACATAGTGTGCTGCTTATAAAATGACTAGAGAAAGATTAAGAAATCATAAATGAGCGGTGTCACGACAAAACCAACGTAATACGTTTGCGACCAGCATGGATCCAGACCAGCCTGCGCTGGTTTCTCTACTTGTAATAGGGTTTGTAAGCGAGCAGCATGGATCCTGATCAGACTGCGCGGATACGCAGGCTGGTCTGGATCCATGCTGGTCAAAACCCATTATTTTGGTTTTGTCTTGGCGCGGCTCAAATGTAAAATAAAGCTGAATTTATGTAGTTTATATTGACCTACAAATTTGATATGGAATTTCACAAACATAAGTCTGTTTCATATGACATTTTATGAAAGCTGCACAAAAATTTGTAACGAAAAAGAAAATATGTTTTGTTTGCAAAAAGGTTGATATACATGTACTAATTTAATGGAACTCTTTTCATCATTAAGTTTGTTACAGTGTTTTACAACAAATATCTTGTTGTAATATTACTTGGTTGGTTTGTTCTTTAATGCAATTTTATCATCGTACATACATGTATAACAAATTCCTTATGATAACATACATAAAAAGAATTATATGTTTACTGATGTAGTAGAAAGTATTTATGCTTTATTCTTATACATCTTTATTTATACGTGTATATATGTGCCCGATCATCCTGATCATGCCTGAAATAATGCACAGACGAGCACCTGAGCTCTTCCTAGACCAGAGTGTTAAACTGGAATACAGTGTTAGTGTAAACCCGACCAAACAAACAAGTTACACTTTTTTTCTTATTTTAAACACTGTCTTCCTATTTATTTTTTACCTGTTTGTAGATAGAAAGATCAACAATCAACAATAACACTATACATGTAACTTATATTATAATTGTTTCACTGATCCCATGGGTAAAATTTGTTGCCTGCCAAAGTTCAACATCACTCAAAACTAATTGCCTTTATATGTAACTATTTGTGGACTTTCTTAACTTTAAAGGAACTTTTGCTAGTTTATTATTATACATGTCCTCTAAATATTTAGACAGTCTGTTGTAGGTTTTAGGTTTTTCAAGAGAATTAATAAAACTCATTGTATAAATGATTTTATTGGAGTAATTCAGAAACAAAGTGGTATACATATATTGTTATATGTACTTAACTATAATCATATGGTTTAAAAGAATTTTTAAATACAGGCCAGATGCATTTTTATGTTTAGGTTTTCCTGTATGTTGTTTTTATTCGGAAATTACTTTAATCACCAGTTTAACTGATTTACTTGTAATTATTCTATTAGTGGTGTTAAAAGTTACTTTCATATCAGGAATCTATCCAGCCAGCTTATAGAAGGTCAGTGGTTCTACACAGGTGCCTGCTTAATTTTGCCTGAAATAATTTAGCAAGGGCCAGGGCCACCTGAGGTCTTACTCTAGAAGTCACCTTATATAGTGTAGTATAGTCATGACTTAAAGTCCAAAAAAAAACAAAAAAAACAAACTTATTATGGCTAGTTTAAGGTGAATTTTGACATTTTTGGGGTAATAAGGGTAACAATAAAGGCATGAATGCACACACATTAAGATAATACATGAATGTTTTGTTTGACTGATGTAAAAATGATTGTTGTTATTTGATTATTTCAGATATTGCAGGTATACTGGGACATACGGATACAAAGGTGATCTCTGATACAAACTTAGCAGCTCTAGTACGACAGATTGCTATACATTGTAATGTAAGTTTTATAATTGAGCTGCGCCATGACAAAACCGACATAATGTGTTTGTGACCAGCATGGATCCAGACCAGCCTGCGCATCCGCGCAGTCTGATCAGGATCCATGTTGTTTGCTTACAAACCCTAAAACAAGTAGAGAAACTGATAACAAACAGCATGGATCCTGATCAGACTGCGCGGATGCATGGTCTGGATCCATGCTGGTTGCAAACACATTATGTTGGTTTTGTCATGGCTTGGCTCAAATGTTTCTAATGTGCATGAAACACTTATCATATAGTACAGAGAGGCGCGTTGACACCTAACCTCTTGCCCATCAACACTGTAGGTTGAAATCTAACAAGGGATTTTGAATTCTTCCATGTCAGGAAGGTGTCCAGCTAGCTCGCAGAATGTTGTTGGTTCTTCTTTGATGCTTACTAGTGCTTGTGCCTGAAATAATGCACGGAAGGGCTCCTGAGGTCTTCCTCCACCAGTAAAGCTGAGAAGTCAACTTATGTGTGGTTTTTATCTAAGATGCCTACTCGTGCCTGAAATAATGCACTAGGGGGCACCTGAGGTCTTCCTCCATCAGTGAAGCTGGATAGTTGCCATATGACCATTACAGTGTCATTTGGCTTGAAACCCAATGAAACAAAAGTATATGAAAGATAATATAGAGAACATGACAATTACTGTATTCCTAGAAATGTTCGCGGATACAATATTTCGCGTTTTTCACAACGTCAGCATTTTCGCGGAGACAAACTTTCGCGGATATGTAGTAACCGCGAATTCCACGAATGTTTAGTCGCTACGGCCTAAATTACAGTTTTTGGTGGCTACGTTTTTGATGCATGACCTTGCCTGTTGGGTGCTTTTAATTATTTTATTTTTATGCCCCCGCCATGTAATGGCCGGGGCATATAGTGTTACCCTGTTCCGTCCTTTCATCATTCCGTCATTCTGTCATTCCGTCATCATCAGTTTCCGTTCATTATCTTAGTAACGGTTGCAACACATTCAACTCAAATTTGACACGTGGATATGTCATGAGAAAATACAGGTCAAGTTCGAATTTGGTCATGGTTCGATGATTTTTGGCAGAGTTATGCCCCTTTTACTTTGAAAATTATATGAAATTTTCAGTTTCCGTTCATTATCTCCCCAACGTTACAACACATTCAACTCAAATTTGATAATGGATATGTCATGAGAATATACAGGTGAAGTTTGAATTTGGTCATGGTTCGATGATTTTTGGCAGAGTTATGCCCCTTTTACTTTGAAAATAATATGAAATTTTCAGTTTATGTTCATTATCTCCCCAACGTTACAACACATTCAACTCAAATTTGACATATGGATATTCAATGAGAAAATACAGGCCAAGTTTGAATTTGGTCATGGTTCGATGATTTTTGGCAGAGTTATGCCCCTTTTACTTTGAAAATTATATGAAATTTTCAGTTTCCCTTCATTATCTCCCCAACGTTACAACACATTCAACTCAAATTTGACATATGGATATGTCATGAGAATATACAGGTCAAGTTTGAATTTGGTCATGGTTCGATGATTTTTGGCAGAGTTATGCTCCTTTTACTTTGAAAATTATATGAAATTTTCAGTTTCTGTTTATTATCTCCCCAACAGTACAACACATTCAACTCAAATTTATCGTATGGATATGTTTTTGGAATGCCCAGGCCAAGTTTGAATTTGGTCATGGTTCAATGATTTTTGGCAGAGTAATGCCCCTTTCACTTTGAAAATAATATGAAATTTTCAGTTTATTATTATCTCCCCAACAGTACAACACATTCAACTCAAATTTGACATATGGATATGTTTTTGGAATGCCCAGGCCAAGTTTGAATTTGGTCTTGGTTCAATGATTTTTGGCAGAGTAATGCCCCTAACACTTTGAAAATAATATGAAATTTACAGTTTCTGTTCATTATCTACCCAACAGTGTTACATATTCAACTCAAATTTGACATATGGATATGTCAAAGGAATGGGCAGGTCAAGTTTGAATTTGGTTGTGGTTCAATGATTTTGGACAAACTTATCTTTCTTGAATGCTGGAAAAATTTTGAACTTTCAGTTTCAGCACTCATACTTTTGTGGAAATGTAAGTAACCATTATTTTGGCTACAAATATGAAATATGCTATTTTCAAAAGGTTGAGACTGAATAATTTCAGTGCCTTGAACATTGTATGAAAATGGTTTGTGTTAACATTGAAAAGTTTTAAGGGCTTTGAACTTAAAATGAAAACAATAATTTGTGCAAAATAAATTGGAACTAAATATTATAACATCTGAAATTTTGGCTGCATGCGGGGGCATCCCTGGCATGATGACACATTTCTAGTTTTTGACAAGTCGCGCCTAAAGCGCAACGTTACTCGATACATTTTCATCTATTGACTACTTTCATGTTTCTTTACCTTTTTCATTATGTGATTAAGTAAGATTTAGTCAAACCCGTTAGCTTTTATTCTCATTTGAATCATAACTTTTCTTCAAAATGTCGATACGTATTTTTTACACATTATCGGACTGTACATCGCTTTCATTATAACAACATAACAGCTGTTTATCAATGTAGCGCTTGATCGCTTTTGTACTTTTAACAAAGGATTACACCTACTCCAAGCAAATAAAATCCAAGTCATTCAATGTTCACAAACTGTAAATGCGTTTTGTCAACGCGGTGACTAACCGTCAATTAGCATGATAATTACTAATAATTGATATTTTCTTTTTCAGCGTGCAAACTAGTATCAATAACATACATAGATAATTCTTTACACATTTCTATAGCACCTGTGTTTTTATTATTTTTGTTGTGTGTGTAAGTAGATTATAATAAATATTCTGCACTTTTTATGTTATATTTGGTTGAAGCTAGAAATGTTCGCGGATTTGTTATAAGTGACATATTCGCGGCTTTAAAGATTCGCGGAATCATGCCTACCGCGAAAACCGCTGACTTAAAATGCGCGAAATCTTTTCTAGGAATACAGTAATTATTGCTTTTATAAAACAATTGTTGCTTTTCTTATCAGAACAAAAACTGCTTAGACTATAGTTTTCTAGTGTAATTAGTAGGTTTAAGTCACAGCCCATCCTGTTTCAAATTTGTAAAGCTTATCAAGGTATCAAATAAAAAGTTTATAATCACTATTTCAGATGATAAAATTGGAATGGTGTTGGTCATATTAATATATAAATTAAAGACATGCTGTGTCTAATTGAGCTTTTTTGGAGAAACCTACACAATTTATGGGCATTTTTAAAATTCATATATGATTTTCATCTGGTTTTTTTATGGGTCCCCCCCCTCCCAGTTTGCAAAGTTTAAGAATTAATTTAATTTCTTATGTATTATTGTTTTCAGCTGGCATCTATGGTGCTTCAAAGACAAGCCTCGCAACCAACAGATCCATTTGCTAATAACTGGTTAGAGCGTCTGCGTAAAATTCGTCGAATGAAGACTACATGTATCATTACAGACAATCGTCCTGAAAGTCCTTCCGACACAAAATGTGAGGACTTCACGCAATATGTGTAAACACCCAACAAGACGTGCACAGGTTTTACAGAATATGTTAAACATATATGTTGTTACTTACACTGTATGTGTGTAAATGTTCAGAAATTATGTTACTGATTGTACAAATAAGATTTAACACAAAATGTTTGTTTTTTTTTTTTTTTCAGAAACATACACAAATGCTGCATTGAAGAAAAAAGCTTTTTTTTTTATAATTTTATTGAATGGAAGTTAAGGACATTGTTATTTTAAAAAAGTGCTTTAAATCGAATCAAATTGTATTTGACAGAAGGTATGCGTTTTATGTTAAATATATTATTGTTTTGACTGACATTATAAAGTCACTTATAGCTGTATGTTAAGTGCTTTTAATTGCATAAGGTGATAACATTTTTTTTTTTTTTTTAAAATACAGTGTAACTTCCAAAAACCGAACACCCATGGGACTTGTCAAAAAGTTCGGATTTCAGAGGTTTCCGGAATTCAGAGGTTTATGATAATGTGAACAAGAGTAAGCCACTTAATATCACTAAATGCCAAGGAAGATGTGGCCATTACTGTAATATCATATATAATAGTCTTTTATCAAGATAAAGATGTGAATGAAAAGAATACATTTTATCTTACCTGCAAATGCTTTTGAATTTCTATCAGTTTGTAGAAATATTGTTAATTGCATAAACTTACATATCGTCCGATGCTAGTTAATTAATTATATCATCAAATGCAATAAAATCCTTAAAGACATTTGATGCATACATTGTCCAATTTATTGTCATTTAATCCGCTAATAAACACTTCAAATTAACTGACCGCCCGTAAATTACTTTGATTAACCCCATCACTTCAAACATACCATTTCACACAGTTTGTGATTTTTAACGCGTGTCAAATTACACGATCACCAGCTTATTAGTAAAACAATAGATTAAATCTTCCTGCAGGGTAAAACATTCTCGATTTACAATGTATTTCACACCTTTGGATATTTCCGGTTTTTGAGGTAAAATTGCATTGATTAGACTCTAATTTTACGAAAAAAGCGTCCGGAATTCAGAATTTTAGAAGTTCCGGAATTCAGAAGTATTATATTCATATAAAATAGAAGGGAAAAAAATCGGGACCGAAAAAATAGTTCTGTTTTTAGAAGTTTCCGGATTTCAGAAGTTCCGGAATTCGGAAGTTACACTGTATTATTTCTACCATTTGTTAAACCATATTTTTGGCATTAACATTATTTCTTCCACACCATACATGTTATTAGATGTATAATTTAGTATTATTTTGATTTTATTTTTTTGAAACAGCTTTTTCTTAACTAAAAACTACATACAAATATTGGTGCTTTTAAATTTTTGATATTATCTCTTGCCAATATTATGTTATACTTACACACTGATAAGAAAAAAAAGTTATTATAATAAACAATTATTATGGCTCATTCAGATGGCTAAAAGGAGGTAGCAAAGTCACAGACTGTAGCTATTTGAAGTGTTTATTTTTAGCTTGTCTGGAATTAAAAAAGTGAGCTGTTATGATCCCCGCAGCATTGACTTCTTTTAAATTCTTTCTTAAACCTGTTCTTCTGCGTATATCCCTAACACAGGAATGTGAAAATAATACAGTATTTGTGCAGTAGCCAAATCTGTGCTGTATATGGCGGAAACCAGCAACACAGTTTGTATCTTTTAGCAGGCTTTGTTTGTATCTTATGGCAGGATTCGTACAGTCTTAAAAAGTGCTTAAATCTCGGTCCATCTCCCTGAATACCAAAAATTACAATAAAGTTAAATACAGTTACACATGTATGTGTTATTACACTAATGGATAGAATTGCCATCAATACTGTAGCCACGTTATAATGGTCTGGAATGATCTTGGAAAAGTTAACTTTTCGCGGAAATATTTGCAATGTGGTTAAGTCTTAGCAGCCATTTGCCTTAATTGATTTCTTTCAATTTTATTTTCTGCAAATGTATTGGTCAGTTTACTTCCTACATTCCTCAGTACAGTCATAAGGTGCACAGATTTGGTGTTATTTTTGCACAATTCCTGTGTTATTTTGACATTCCTGCATTACTGGATATACACAGAGATTGTCGTCTTCCTTTTAAATGCATTCTTAGCTAGCTAGTCAATAAAAGAGTAGAATGGTTTTTATTGTCGTCTTTTTGAATTGTGCTAATTTATTTATGTACTTGGAGATAGTGTGAAAAGTATATTTAAATATGTTTCTATGTGAAATCATAGTTTATTTGTGTTATTAAAAACATTTCTTTGTAAAAGGAATAAAGGTGATTTAAACAAATCAAAATTAATGCAGGAGAAAACTTGAACTACATCATTTAATTATTTAAAAGTTCTGCCAAGCAGAAATATGAAATTGTAAGATAGAAGTTAGTGACAGTTGCTCATAGACCAGTGTTATAAATTTTTGACTCCTGTTCACCAACAGATTTATACAGAAAAGTTTGAAATGCTAAAATTATTTTTTTGAAAACTTATTTCTATTTTTAATGACAATTGCATTGGTTGGTAAAAAATTTCAATCATACTGGTTGGAGACCATCAACCGGACACTTTTGGAACATTTTTCTGTACAGATTTCATAATTTTTAACCTAGAGACCAAAAAATTTGACAGAGTTCAGCTAGGTTCTTCTCCTAACTAATAAACTAGTTTGTTTATTTCTGATTGTATTGACACTTATATCTGAGGCTCTACAAGGAGGGTATCAAAATTACCTAAATTGTCTACACTACAGTACCATGTGTCCGGACAGATATGTACATGACATGATTTAATTCAGATAAAAGCCTGGGTGTTTTGATTTTTGATTTGTAACATGATATACAATATGTCAGCAACAAATGCTGAAGTTTTGGATATTCTATAATTTACTCTGCAAATGATTATAGCTGGTATATGAGGTCAGGCATTGCTTTCTTGACCCCCAAATTTCAACGTCAACATTTTTGAAATAGACATTAAAATATTACGATTTACGGAGATTGAAATAAATTTATTTACTTAATTTTAAAAGAAACCTGCACTTATTGTTGATAAAAAAGTAACTGACAACCACTGAACAAAGAAAATACTAAATCAATCATTTTCGGGGACGTCCGGGTTTGGTGGTTGTCCGGTTTTGGTGGTCCCCAACCAGTAGAGTTTAAACCTAAACAAAAACCTTCAAACAAATTGATCTGTTTTGAATAAAGATTCAGGATGTTTTAACATTTAGAGTAAGTGAATACTGAAATTGTAATAGTTGACACAGGACCTAGTGTATGACTAAAAGTCTTGATGTACATGTATATGGGTCAGAATTACTTTGTAAATAGCAATATCCCACTTTTATTTTGGAGATTGTATAATAGTAGTAATTAATGTGTCATATTGATGTAAAAACTGCAATAATATCATTTTTGTAAATCTCTGCAGTTTTTATTAATGAGATTTTTTTGTTACGAAAGCGGCCATTGCCAGTTTAAGCAGGTAATAGGTTGAAACATATTAGTATAGCAGTCAGCATTAAAGAGTTTGGTCTGATTTAAGGAATGCACATGCTGGCTGGTCAGACAGTCATATTAATGGTGTCATAGACTTGTGTTATTGGGGCTTGCATTCTAGGAGTTGAAATACTTATAGGAAAGAATGACTGATATTTGCCAATGTACAGTTTCTTCAAGATGTAAATAAACCTTACATTTTAATGATGATTTAGAAAATTAGAATACATGTATTTATCTCTAAGATGTGCATTATCAAAAGCGTTAAGACATTCTTGTTTCCATGTTTTATTATAGTAATCTATATACATCTGAGAGTGCTTTTGTTTGGGTCTTTAATATTGCTGTCTAGCTTTAATGATGATAGAAAACCCAAAGAAAAACCACTTTCAAATCATTAGTAAAGATAAACGATTGTACATGTCTAAACATTTACTTAGACTGAGGATAAGATTTATTTTCATTTGATGATGTTATATCGTTCAGATATTATTATATATACTTATTATATGTACTGAAATATTTAAGAAAAGATATTTTTATATATTATCAAAAAACCATAATTATATATATAGTATAATGAAGACTATCTATTTTTCAATGTTAGAAATTAGAATCTTTCATTACTCAAATTCAGTGGAAAAGAACAATTTAAAATTTTTCACCATATACAGAGTTCGTAGAGTCTTCAAAAAAGGACTTGAACTTGAATCCCTTTCTTTAAAAATGCTTAAATTTAGAAAAGTCTTAAAAGTCCTTGAGTATTGGAAGTGCTTTAAGTGCTTAACTTGTCTAAAAAAGTGCTAGAAATGAGAAAGATGACAGTAACATGGTGAAAAGTTGATATTTTCAACAATTGACCCCATGTATTACCAATATAATATATATATAATTATAAAATATGCTCAAGATTACACTATAAGCCATATTGTAAAAAAGCACATATAGTCACTTTATGGACCTTTCCGGTTTTTTCGTAGCGGAAACATTTGCCACACCTTTTACCATTCTTGCTAGGTCAATGCTCAAAACAGATCACAAAATAATTCACTTGTTTCTTTTGTGGGGAAAACCAGGTAACCAGGGTGATATTTATTTATCTCAGTTGGAGCGATTGGAAAACAAGGGTAGCCCCAATTTTACAAACACTGTAAAACACCGGAAAGGGTTCCAGGAAAAAGTAAATGAGTTTAACTCCTTTTTTAAATTAATAGAGTTAACCTTTTCTGCAACTAAGGGTGATGATTTGTGTTATAAAAAGTGATAAGACAGTTCAAAATAAAGGTGTAAATGTTTTATCATTATGACTGTTACGTAATTGGAAATAGTGATATATGTGCAAAATTGGAGAGAAAAAAAATGCTTTTTAAGCACTGTGTTGACAGATTCATGCTAATTTTCACATGAAAATTTTAAAAATGTATCTAAAAGTGAAATATTGTGAAGTGAACAAAGAAAATACAAGAACACATTGCATGCAGCACTTGCAGCCAACGATAATTACCAAAATAGGTCAAAATAAGCAAAAATAGTAATGCGGTAGAAAATCTGCCAACTTAGTCCTTTATCCCACATAACATGTAAATTGTTACTTAAATCTTTTACTTTTCTTAGTACTTTTGCAAAATGTTTAGCTTTAACACCACAAACGATGGTCTTGTTAACATTAATAAGTTATAGACAAAAATATCGCACTCTTTTTTTTTGTGCTTATACAACAAGTAAAACAGTCATTTTGTAAGTGCAGATACAAAACTCTAATCATGTTTGAAAATTATTAAAATAATATTTCCTTTTATAATATATTTGCATTTATACTTAAGCATTATGTAAATAGTCTGAGTAAATGAAGGAATTAATGTGAGCCGCGCCATGACAAAACCAACATAATGGGTTTGCGACCAGCATGGATCCAGACCAGCCTGCGCATCCGCGCAGTCTGATCAGGATCCATGCTGTTGCTTACAGAGCTTTAGCAAGTAAAGAAACTGATAGCGAACAGCATGGATTCTGATCAGACTGTGCAAATGCACAGGCTGGTCTTGATCCATGCTGGTCGCAAACCCATTATGTTGGTTTTGTCGTGACACGGCTCATATTTGAACTAGATTACATTTATTAGATTAAAGAAACTCCACTGAGGTCTAATAGCCTAAGAACCTGAAATTTTGATTTGTTACATAGATCAACAGGGGCACTTTCAACAGAAAGACAAGCAAAAGTCAATTAAGAAATATACTTAGAAAGAAATTGAAATTTATATTTTTGTGCTATTCTTAGACTGATATTTGGATGAGACGTTCTTGCATAGCAGACTGGCGTTTCCGTGAGTTTCACCCATGCCTGAAATATCATCTGGCATGGGGGGAGGGGGGGTGCCAGATGAGTCCCGTGCCATACAACGTCATCTTAGCGCATTTTATGTATGAACCGCGTTAAAATGACGTCATTTTAGAAGGAAAATATGTGCTTAGGATGATAGTTATGGATGAAATGACTTTTAATTTCCATGAACATATATCATATTGAGGTAAACCATTTTAAATATGAAATAATATGGCAAAATATGCAAGAAAAAATATCTGACATGTGTTTGCGGTTCGGATCGGAATATCCGTCCCCTGGGAACCAGCCCATGGGCGGGTCCCCTCGGGACGGATATTCCAGTCCGAACAGCAACATATGACAGATATTATTATGCTTCAATGTGATTTGGGTGAAACGTATTTCAATGTTGTGTAGATGAAGATCATATTTCAAACTTAGAATGATTATTCTGGAAAAAAGGAGAGAGCGAATCATCTGAAATTTTGCACATAGATTAATGGTCTAGACCTACATCTAATGGTACAAAAATCTCGAAAAAATTATTTCCAGCCTGGTTATGTCAAAAAACCTCAGTGGAGTCCCTTTAATGTGCGATTTGGTTAATTGCCCAAAATCGACCCTTAGATTACAAATCTGATTCACTAAGCAGGCAGACATATTTTTCAATATAAGATTTGATTTTTTTTTTTTTTTATTTACTGTGTTTGCTTGTGCTTTTCACTCCCATACTCTTTTTTTATTGTACAAAGCTTTAGAACATATAAACACATACTTAAAACTGAGAGAAATGGCATAGGAATGGGTAATTGTGTCTGTTTTCAATGTTTATTGTTTTTTTTTCTCTCCATTTATTCAAAAGGTGTTTAAGCTAGTCAAGAAGCTCAGATTTTTTGCTCGACTTTTTTTTGGGATGTTTAAGTAAGAGGACAGTATGTTACTATGTTAGATGAAATAGAATAATTATTAGAAATTTTATAAATATTGAAGCATTACAAATATTAATACAGGTTCAAATTTGTTTACATTGAATTATCCTTCTAATAATTGTTATTTTTATTTTTTCAGGGAACACTTTTTTATTGTTTGGCTTATTTAGAATGTCTTAGAATTGCTCATATTGAGTAGGTGTTTTTTTAGTATGTTGATGTAAAGTGTCTTTTGTGGAATTTTAATGTCATTTATGTCATGTAAATTCATGAAGTGTATATTATAATGTAAGAAATAATACCTTTTTGGATTTCAACAATATTTCATTTTTTGTAATCATAATGCATCAAAACATTTTTTCCTCCTCATTGCCAAAGGTTGTTAAGCTTTGCCATTCGTTGATAGTTGATCTTGCTTTTTCTTCATGTTTGACCATAATATTGCACATTTGTAACAGCGGTTTTGATTGGACAATGGTGATGTTTTTTTTTTCTATATACACAGCTGCTCCAATTTTATGAATATGTTTAATTTGTATCAAAGAAAGAGACTGTGCAGTGTTATAAAGATTTAGACATGAACAAAGATATTGTAAGAAATAGATATTTTTAGTACTATACGTTTCATAATTTGAGCCGTGCCATGACAAAACCAACATAGTGCGTTTGCCACCAGCATAGATCCAAACTGCACATCCACACAGTCTGATCAGGATCCATGCTGTTCGCTTACCAACCATATTACAAGTACAGAAGCTGATAGCGAACAGCATGGATCCTGATTAGATTGCGCGGATGCGCAGGCTGGTCTGGATTCATGCTGGTCGCAAACACTATGTTGGTTCTGTCATGGTGCGGCTCATTTTTTATTGTCAAATAAGGAGTTTTCAAAATTTCAATTTAAGGTAGATTTCAAAAGTGCTAAGTATAATATTCTAAGCCTTCTAATCTTTGTGAATAGAGGAATATATGGATGCTTAATACATACTTTGCAATTAGCACACTGGAATGGTTGTGTAGAAAATAAAGAAAATTGGCACTCTGAATCATAGAAAATAAAGTTACTTGACACACTGAATTATAGAAAATTATTTTATTTGGCACAATGAATTATAGAAAATTATTTTATTTGGCTCAATGAATTATAGAAAATTGATAATATAGGACAGGATTACATCAGTCATAATTAACAGCTGTAAAATTAAAAATTATAAAGACAAAACCTAGTTGTTAAATTATTTACTCAATTTATTGATTTTAATAATGTGCATGTATGTGTTGTTGTTTTTTTTTGTTTTTTGTACAAGAGAATCATCTTTTTTTGACCACCTGTATTTTATGTTTTGCCTACAAGCATTTTACCTGACCATTGCTTAAGTAATGTGACAAATGTTTTTTATATTACAGAAAAAAATGTACAGTGCACATGATATGTATATTTCTTTGACCAAGTCAATCTTTTATAGCCAGATCTCTGTAATAATTATTAGTTGTGTAGGCATGTTTTTCAATAACTTTACCTATGCCAAAGTCCAGTCTATGAATGTGTATATACATGTGTAGTATATGATAACAGTGGTATAAATGAAATATGAGCCGCGTCACGACAAAACCAACATAATGGGTTTGCGACCAGCATGGATCCAGACCAGCCTGCGCATCCGCGCAGTCTGATCAGGATCCATGCTGTTCACTATCAGTTTCTCTACATGTAAAAGGGTTGGTAAGCGAACAGCATGGATCCTGATCGGACTGCGCGGATGCGCAGGCTGGTCTGGATCCATGCTGGTCGCAAACCCATTATGTTGGTTTTGTCATGACGCGGCTCATATTTCTATCAATTTGTAAACTGATCTTAATCTTGCAAAAATAATTATGAAATAGTTTTCAAAGTATATTCAAATCTTTTTTTTTCTAGGCATTACTGACATATGCTATAATGGACAGAAAGAAACACACATTTAATGGTAAAAAGAAAGACAATTTTAAGGTATTTCTACATAGAACTGGTAGAAATTGTGTATTATTATTCTTTTGTGCATTTATGAAATTGTATTTATAGTGATATTATATGTATCCTTTTTACCATTATACCTGCTTGTAAAGCAATTTTGTGATACTATGTGTAAAAAGGAAATAAAACTCTTAAAATGGTAATACATTTATTTGTCTTCTTTAGTAGATCTACCCTTAACATTAATAAATCTTCATCATGAATATTAGTTTTGATTCACGATGACTGGTCTGTATTTTCATTTCAGTTTGTAATTAATTTTTCATTTGAACTGCTGTCCGAATATTAGTCTGTAAATGTATTGCGATAGTGAACAATTTGGTTATGAACACTGCCTTTAAGTTTTGAAATATTCTTGGCAGTAGATCATTTTTGTAGCTTTGAAAAAGTTACACATTTTTGTGTTGAATTTTTAAATGGACTAAAAAAAACGAAATTTCAATGCTTAGATTCGTTTACATTTGAGATATTTCATGTTTTTTTTGTATGTGTGAAAAACATCACATTTCCAACATTTTCTCTCAACTCTTTGTTTCATTGTTGTCCAAAGCAATCTGGTGGGGCTTAAGGTCAGTTGTTTTACGTGGAATTACTTTCTGTATCAAAGTTTCTTTTACTGAATGTTTCATCATTGTCTCCAGCAGTAGTTCCCACGGTATCACTTGTTGAAACATTGTTTACAGCATCTCTTGACTGTTCTGAAACATCTTGGATGTCATTAGTAGCACCAGATTCACCATCATTTAGTTTGTGTTCAACAGCACTGTCTTTATTATCATGCTGGTTTTCTTGTTGATCATGGCTACAGTTATTTCTGTCATGGCATGCCTTGCACGAGCAGTTCACAAAGCTTGGCGTGTATATTCTGAAAACAAGAAAGTGGCACAGTGAATTTATTAACAAGATTTTTTGTTTGTTATTACGTCGCACCATCACAGAGGTCATATGGTGACTTTCCAGCTTAAATGTTGGAGGAAGAATTCAGGTGCCCTTTCCGTGAAAAAAAAAACACAACAAAAACAAACATATTTGTGTCTTTACGAGAGTAATTAAAGACACTATCATATTTATTATCATATAACTTAACCGGGATTTGAATAAATTGTATGCCAGAAGTAATACAAATTGACTGAAATATGAAGATTTTTTTCCAGGCAATCAATAACACCCGCATGTAATGTAGGTACATATCAAGAACAATATCAAACGGAAACAACAAACCCCAATAGATATGCGTGTCTGTGGTTTTAGTGTATTGAAACTAGAAACTAAAAGAGACACAAACATATGGTCTTATTCATAAAAAGATATTAGTGAAAAAAGCAATGGATCAGAATCACTACATACTAAATCTAGGACAGATAATAAAAAGAGAATTACTAAATAATAGACCAACCTGCTTCCAACGTAATTATTGATTGCCGCATTCAGTGGAGTGATATTTAAAAACACCAGCCCGATCGTAATACCATTGCAAATTGTAGACACAACTACCTGGTTCAAATGAAAATATTTCAATTATAACATACATACATCCTCTACTTTTAAGTATCTGTTAAATTAGTATTATGAATTTCTCGGAATTAGCCGTGGTAAATACAAAATATTTCATGTTTGAATTACATTACTGCAATGAAGCAACCGACAAGTATAGTGTGGTTCAATAGCACGATGCATGCTGCATAAATAAATACGCTCAAATTCTTCGAATACATTTGTTAAAGTTGAGGAAATTGTTGTGTGATTAAATAACAAAAGTTAATGGTCCAATAGTGATTGATTACAAAGCTAGGTGGTCCAAGAGTGATTGGTTACAAAGCTAGGTGGCCCAAGAGTGATTGGTTACAAAGCTAGGTGGTCCAAGAGTGATTGGTTACAAAGCTAGGTGGTCCAAGCGTGATTGGTTACAAAGCTAGGTGGTCCAAGAGTGATTGATTACAAAGCTAGGTGGTCCAAGCGTGATTGGTTACAAATCTAGATGGTCCAACAGTGATTGATTACAAAGTTAGATGGTTCAAGGTTTCAAGTCAAAAGATGTGAATACTATAAATTTTGAGGCAAAGCAACAACAATGATCATAATGCTATTTTTCATAAAGAAAGCAGCGACAGATCATATACAGAAAACTAATAATGACAAAAGGTGAAAATATAACAGTTTTATGAATTATTTTAACTATATGTATATTAATTAAATGGAACATTTCATTAATATGTTAGCCTCATATTACAAAAAGTTAACATTCATTTTACATTTCACTTATTAATAATTATGTCTACAAGGAATGCCAAACAAACAAGCTGGTGCATTCACTCTGTAACAGATAGCAAGGAAAAGTAAAGTTTATAAGTGAAGTTCAGAACCTACCGCTAATGTCCGTGGAAGATAAGATTGACTAAGAACCGTTATGCCTATACCTGTTATGATTGGAATGGTGAAAACAACCAACGTACGCACAACTTCCCACAACAACTGCACTTTCGTTCCTACCGACGTTACCTGAAATATGAAACAAATTTCATGAAAGCATGCAATAGTATAACCGGGAAGTTTGTCTTCCCAGAATGTAACAAGGTAAAAAATTCGATAGTCGCATACATGCACATATATTTTATGATTTTGTACATGGAAGAAGTCAAAGCAACAACGAACTTGCATGGATGCAGGGAAATTTGAAAAGAAAGGAACATTGTATATAAAATGTCAAATGTCAACTATTAAATGCCATAAAGCATAAGCATAAATTTTCCCACAAAACATATCAGGGTGCACGTGGAAAACCATGATTTGTACGTAACTTCAAATACCGCAGGATAGATCTGAAGCTGGTTTAGCAATTTTTCAGGACAACATCAATGATGTACCCATAAGTGCAACACCTACGGTTAAAACTAATTAATATTGCAAAGATATTAGTATTTATCAGGTTAAAATGAATCTAAAGATATAACTACACAGTAATAAAATAAAACCTGATGATCAATTGTATAATTTCCTAACCTGTTTATACAGTTCGTTTCTAGCTTCCTCCAATTCTTGTGCCAGTTGCTCACCATAGTCAACCATGAGAAACTCTGTTGAATAGAAAGAAAAAAAACCCCTGACGCTTGTGGAATGAACACTTTCACTATTGTGAAAGAAGGAGGGGGTTGAACACGTGCACATTTTAAAGTTTTTCAGAATTTTGCCAAAATTATACACCAAATTTATTGCTAGTAGGTAAAAACCACTAACATTTAGATATCCTTAACAGTTTGTGCACGTGACCTCCCCTTATTCTTTCAAAGTGAAAGAGACATTCCACAAAGCGTCAGTACGGCAATTATGTTTTGTAAAAAAGATATAGAGGATATTTGTTTAGTTCAGTGTAAGATCGGAATATATTTCACCGAGTGAGCACCAAAAGGTATATTTCACGAGTGGCGCAGCCACGAGTGAAATATGAACTTTTGGTGTTCACAAGGTGAAATATATTTCAATCTTACACTAAACTAAACAAATTTTCTTTTTATTACATGCAAAGAAACGTTTTAAAAAGACATTAAACCTAATACTGAATGAAAAAGCGCGCCAAATAATAAAACAATGTGACGTCATTTACGACGTCACGTCATTAAGTTGGTACCCAGCACTGTGCACGCTGGTATTTCACTGAAACAACGTTAGGGGCTTAAATTCAAAACAGTGAAATTATCAAAGTGGTAATTTCACTGTTTCAAACAGTGAAATTACCAGTTTTATTTCACTGATATATTTCTATAAACCACCGAAAAGCATGTAATAAAACTTTCTAATATTTTTTAAACCATCGTTTTGAGAACGATGTATTTTATGAGATGCTGAAAAATGAAACCATAGACTACTGTAGTCCTTAAAACATATGATTGATTCCTAATTATTATTAATATCATGTAAGTATTTTCGGCTGACTCCAATAAAACATTTATTGAACAGCTTCTTTGGCTGTAGGAATCGTTCCAACATATTCACTATCCCACTATTAAAGTATTTATCTCTGATATCTTAATTTCTTTTTTTGGTAATACAAACGATCACTTTTGATATATTATACGCCGCTTTCCCTGTCTAAAGTTTAACAATTCATTTACTTTGTTAAACATGTAACTGTTTTGATTGATTTGGCTCGTTTGCCATCTTATATTTATCAGTTAGCTTATCTCTCCGTACCTTAGTTACGAGGGTTGTTTGATAAATTCGTAGAAATCACGTCTGAATCTTACATTTCTTTACAACTTCTTGGTACGAAGGACTGAGTAAGTCACTGAAGCACAAACTCCAAGTAGCTCAAAATAGGGTTGTGCGTTTTATAAAAGACTATACCCTGAGGACTTCTGTGACACATAAGGTTCTGTCTGGTCTTCAAAAATTGAATGTCAACGACAGAGTTAGACAATTAAGACTTAACCATATTATAACAAAAGCCCTTCTTATTTAAGGAACCAGTGATTTTTTTTGTTGATTTTGCCCCTGAAATAAGGCCTTTTCAGAATGAAAAAAAACCATAAAAATTCACAAAAATGTGTAAAAAATTCACAATTGGCAGGATTGCTTTTCAGTACCAAACAAAATAATGAACTGACAAAACTTAGTGACAATCTTGAGAATTTGATTGATGACATTTAGGCAATAAAAAGAAGAAAGCTTAAACTATGAATAAAATTATTAAATGTATGAATAAAGTGACTACATGTTATGATTTATTCTTGTTTATTTTTTCACAATTTGACAGATTATCGCGGTAAAAATTCACAATTTCAGGGGTATGGGTTGTTGCGCAAAAAGTAAAAAAAAATTACTGGGAACTTGTTTAAGGTGTAAGGAATCCAATTTGAGGTCTAGTAATTTTAATTTTGTTTTGCCTCAAAATGATTCTCATGTTACAAACACATTTTTCTACAATGCCACAAATGACTGGAATTCTTTACCAGACAGCATTAGGTCAATCGAAAATATCCAAGCATTTAAAACAAAAGTTAAACTTTTTTTAAATAATAAAAATGGCAAACAAGTGAATAATATGTTAGTTATATATTCTAACATTCCTCGTAATTTTGTCACCATAGACAAAGAAGAAAAAAACCGGTGTTAAACTGCAAATAAACACTGGTTAGGGACTGTCATGTTTTCACCCTCTATTATATAGTTTACAAAGCCTTTTAAAGCAACAATAAAAAGTATTTTTATTGATATTTTCAGTTCTTATAATGTTTTCTTTTCATACAATACCGAAATAATATCTCACATACACTAACGGCACAGATTTGATCCATATCAGTTAAAAACGGCGCCAATCCGTAAGCAGCGTAATGACATCATCCTAAGTATACAACTCATTCATAAACGCTGACGTCATTTCAAACATACAAGAATGATAAATTATTGGGCACTGATATAAACACAATACAATCCATTCTAAGACGTAAGTTTGTATTGTTGAAAACTTGATAAAATAACTTTTTTATCTTATAATATCTTTTGTTAATAATTTCTGTATCTTAGCAACAGTAGGGTGCGAAAACGAACAGCGTTATACGACAATCGGCACCGGAAGTTATTTCCGCTGGAAAAAAAATATCAGTGATCTCCCTTATTTTATCTTGTTAGACTCGAATATCGGTCTGAGCGGTATTTATCGGCTATTATTAAATAACTTTATGCTATTAGTCCTATAAAAAAAGCACCTGCCACGTTCAATAACACGATGGCCTGCCTTATAACAAGGCCAATATCTATATCAATGTTTCGGTCCGACTTAGATTGCAAAGTCGTCTGCGTCTGGGAGACAACAGAAAAAATGTCGAAAGAATCGTCACGCAGCGAAGAAATGCTAATGACTTATTATATCTAGATAAATCATGTGAGGACGAACAGTTAGATCCAGATGTACTGTCCAAGCTTGAAGAAGAGTCGGTGGATTAGCCCCACTCATTAACAAATTCAGAACCGGATTCTGCCGGACATGGGGAACGCTTTAAGAAAGTTTCAGTAGGAGACTGTGTCAGTTTCATTAAAGAAAATGAAAATAAAAAAACACACTATAAGACCAGAAGTGATGTTAAACTAATGTTTGACTGGATGAAAAGCGTCGGTGAACATAGAGATCTTGAGAAAATTCCACCTGAAGAGCTTGATGTGCTTTTAGCAAGATTTTTTCGATTATATAGAGATAACTAAGCTTGTGTGGAATAAACATGATATTTATCAGGCGAGGCTAAGAAACTGTAAGGGGGAGGCTTGCCTAGCGCTTTCCAGTTTCGTGCCGAACATGATAAATTTATATGTGCATACAACAAAAGAAAATGTCAGTTTCTCCATAGAAATACGTGTGATTTGTATTTTTAACACTTTGCGGCGCATGTTTGATTTGAATCACAGTAGACAGTCTGACAATCACATTTATGTAATATGTAATAATTTAGGTCAAACTGATAAAATGTTGTTATTTTTCCAGTTGTCTTTGTTATAAGTTAAATATGCTAGAATTCGATTTTTACAGTTGTTCTTTGTTATAATTAAAATATGTTAGAATTGAAATAAGAAGAAATATCCGACGATTAAATGTAAAATATTATAAGTATATGTTGTTATTTAATAAAATTGTCAATAAATAAGTGATTTGATATTGGCCCTGTTATTTGTCCTCGGGTCAGTCGTATTGGACCCTCGGCCTTCGGCCTTGGGCCAATATACGACTGCCCTCGGACAAATAACAGGGCCAATATCAAATCACTTATTTATTAACATATATTTAACACCGGTTTTGTCGTTTTGATGCGAAAAAATAACCACTCAGGCCTACAGCCGTCGTGGTCAATTCCTAAAACCGGTGTTTAATAACCGATAAACACCGCATTGACCGATATTATTTCTTAATTTTTACACTCCTCGTGATTATGTCACTATAGACAAAGAAGAAAAAAACGGGTGGTAATCTGCCAATAAACACCGTCACCGATTAAGGACTACTTGTAGCGGCTGATATGCTTTCTCCCACAATTGTATAGTGTACAAAGCCTTTTAAAGCAACAAAACAATCATTTTTATTGATATTTCAGTTCTTTTAGTTTTTTTCTTTTCATACAATACTGAATTAAATAATATCTCGTATACACTAACGCCACAGATTTGATTCATATCAGTGACAAAACGGCGCCAATCCGTAAGCAGCGAAATGACTTCATCTTAAGTATACAACTCATTCATAAACGCGCTAGAATGACGTCAGTTCAAACATACAAGAATGATTAATCAAACACTGATGTAAACAGACGTTAGTTTTTATTGTTGAAAACTTGATCAAATTACTTTTTATTTCCTTATAATTTCTTTTGTTTAATAATTTCTATATCTTATGAAAGTGTACGTAAATTATACAAATACAAACCAATTGTTGCTTATAAGAGACCGAGAAATTTACAAGACAATTTAGTTCATACTCATTTAAATGCCAAATTCATGGTTGGTTCAGTATCTAAATGCTGTCGACCTCGTTGTACTCATTGTAATAATATTCTTGAATCTAATAATTTTTCAAGTACCTCTATACCTAAAGAATTTGCTATAAAACGTGATTTTCATGTATATCTTTAGATGTCATTTATCCTATAACTTGTAAAAAATGTAAAAAACAGTATGTTGATCAAACTCAGCAAAAATGTAGTCAAAGAATGAATAGTCACAAATTTGATATTAAACACTTTCCTGACACTATTACCAATGTATCTGAACATTTTAATTCTGAAGGCATTCTATCAAAGATTTTTCATTCATGCCAATTGATAAAGTAAAGAATAATTGGCAAAGATTATTAAAAGAAACTTCATGGATGTATAAGCTAGGTACAATTATTCCTGATTGCATGAATTCCAAAATACTTTATTAATTTTGTAGATTATAATTCTTCATTTTATTTTTTTTATATAAAAATTGTATTTTCTACTTTTTGCTTTATATGACTTAAAACTAATTTCATGTCAATATGTATTTTTATATATCTTATTCTAACACTCCATGTGATTTTGTCACTATAGACAAAGAAGGAAAAAAATCGGTG